CTGGACGGCACAGAAACTGACTCGGTAGAGCGCGAGGCTGAAGGTGGTGGGTTCGAGTCCCACGTCGGGCCAAAGATTCCCGGCTTGCAGCGGGTTGGAATGGATGACCTTCGGGGGTCCCGTTCCAACTCGACAGTCCTGTGACGCCAGGAGCTCGGACGGTGGTGGAATCCCCTTCGCTGGAGGTTTTAAATTTATTTAACATAATTATTACAAAATACAAGCAAAATACTGCAAAGACATACATATGTATTTCAGATAAGGACACACATATAAAAAAGAACAGAAAAGAAGAAAGGAGAAAAAGAAGAAGAAAAATTGGAATAATTTCTTCAAAATTTATTCTACAAATATCTCAAGTCCGTCGCATGGATCACAGGGGCTAGGCAAAAATCGTGGCTAAAGAACCGCCGGCAGGGGGCCACCCAACCTCTCCAACAAAGGAGAGCCCGCCAGCTTCCAGGGGGGTCTCAAACGGCTCTTAACCCCCAGAAATTTCTTCCTGATGTGGAGTCCGAATCTTCTTTCTTGTAACTTGAAGCCATGGGTTCGAGTCCTGCTCTCTGGAGTAGCAGAAGAGACAAGTCCATCAACCCTTGCTGGCCAAGCAGGTGCCCCTACGAAGACTGGAAGCAAAACCCAAGCGCAAGGGCAGCCTTCTCCCTACTTGTGATTGGAAAGGGCAAAAAGAGACCTTCGCACGGCGCCTAGTTAGACTGTGGAACTCTCTCCCACAGCAGGCAGCCGATGGACATCAATTTGGATGGCTAGGCTATTGTTGTTGTTTAGTCATTTAGTTGTGTCCGCCTCTTCGTGACCCCCTGGACCAGAGCACGCCAGGCCCTCCTGTCTTCCACTGCCTCCCGCAGTTTGGTCAAACTCATGCTGGTCGCTTCGAGAACACTGTCCCACCATCTCGCCCTCCGTCGTCCCCTTCTCCTTGTGCCCTCCATCTTTCCCAACTTCAGGGTCTTTTCCAGGGAGTCTTCTCTTCTCATGAGGTGGCCAAAGTCTTGGAGCCTCAGCTTCAGGATCTGTCCTTCCAGTGAGCACTCAGGGCTGATTTCCTTCAGGTTTGATCTTCTTGCAGTCCATGGGACTCTCCAGAGTCTCCTCCAGCACCAGAATTCAAAAGCATCCATTCTTCGGACATCAGCCTTCTTTGTGGTCCAGCTCTCACTTCCATACATCACTACTGGGAAAACCAGAGCTTTTACTATACGGACCTTTGTTGGCAAGGTGATCGTTGCTTTTTAAGATGCTGTCTAGGTTTGTCATTGCTTTTCTCCCAAGAAGTAGGCGTCTTTTAATTTCATGGCTGCTGTCACCATCTGCAGTGATCATGGAGCCCAAGAAAGACAAATTTATGGGCTATCGATGGCTACACACCACAGCTGCTGTATACTACTACAACAACAACAATTAATAATTGTATTATTTATATCTCACCCATCTGGCTGGGTTTCCCCAACCACTCTGGGTGGCTTACAGAATATATGAAGCATAAAAAAGCATCAAACCAAACCTCCAGCATCAGTATACCTTTGAACACCAGTTACTGGAAATCACAAGTGTTGCTCTCGCACTCAGGTCCCAATTTTTGGATTTCCGGTCATGCGCATCTGGTCGGCCACTCTGGACAAGATGGAGCCCCTTGGACCGGATCCAGCAGCCCAGGTTCTTATTCTCATTAACATTTAGCTTTAATAATAATAATAATAATAATAATAATAATAATATTGGATTAGAAATGCCATCTTCCCAAGAAGCATTGCCATTTAAACCGCAAGTGCGGAGAAGGAACGCCAACAAAGAAAAGCGAAGGTGTAACCAGCCCTCTGCTTGATGGTTTTCCTCGTCTGCTAATTAATCTATGCAAATCTGTCGCAGGAAAATCTTGTTATTGCTTCGTATCGCTGGGACTACACATCACATTTCTTACCCGGGAGGCGGGTTATTGCTTTGTTTGTTTTTTGTTCCTGTTTTTATTACGTATTCTGCGTTTTTATCTAATATTTTTTACGCTGTGAGAACTTGGGACGAAGGGCGCTATGCAAATTTAATAAATAACAACAATAATTGCAGGGGGTTGGAATAGATGACCGCTGGGGGTCTCATCTAACTCTGCGAATCTACGATTCTATGAAATATCCCAGCATATTCTAGTCTTTGCTCCTCCTGCTCTGAAAAAGGCCCAGAACTCCGCTTCCTCGAATTCAACCCTATGAACGTTTATGGGAAATAAACCCCATAGGAATAAATTGAGAAAAGATGGTTAGGATGAGGCGGCAGGGATTTCAGCTCGGGGACAGAATTACCCGGATTTTTTGGCAAGCTCTGGAGAGTCCTGTCGCCCTTCCGCAGGGGACCCAGGAGTCCGGCCCTTAAGACAGGAGACATAACACATACGCTCGACTAAAAACAGAGTTTTCTATCTCGGCTGCTGGCCAAAACAGGGGAAGCCCTGCGCTATCATTTCTGACAGTCAGCAAAATCTATTATTTGGCTGCTTCCATTATATATCTCCCCTGCAGACCTCTCCCGTTCCCATCCACCCAGCGCTCAGGAAATTCCTGCACCCGCTGCCAGGCATTCATCCGCGCAGAGTTATTGTTCTGCCACCAACTGCAGCGGAAACCTTTATCACAGAGGAGAGGGCAGATCTATCCGTGCGCAAAAAAAAGGGATTTTTTTCCAGAGGCTCTTCGGACGAAGACTCAGCGCCGCTCGCCGCCGCTCACTGGATCTCCCCGCCTCCTGCGGCTGCGCCCATTTCACAGATGAAGGGGCCGGAAAACTGAGTCTGGCCGGCAGAGGGAACTCCAAGGCTTCAGTCGGAAGGGGTGCTTTGCCAGGGTCCTTGACTCAAGGGGCATTGGCTGCATCTGCCAGCGGTTCTTCAGATCCCAGTCCCTGTGGATGATGGGAGTTGTAGTCCATCACCCTCTGTGGGTTCAAATTTGAGAAAGCCTCCCTCGTGAGGACACGGTAGTATTTTTCAAGGGCACCTTTTTCTAACCTGGCCTTGGCCAACCTGGGGGGCTTCCTTTTTTAAAAAAAAATTTTTTTAATTGATTTTAACATATAAATTATAAAATGTACCACAAAACTTGTCACTTATACAATCTTTTTGGACTTCCATCAGCACCTCTGATGCTCCACCATTTTAACCACTTCTTACGCATTTATTAACTTTATGTTGCCTTTACATCTCTTAACAAATGATCCTTCCCCTTCTCCATTTTTGCAATTCTTCCAATAATACGCCTCACAAAACTTCTTGCAAACCTACAAACATCGTCTGATCTTCACAAATACTTTTCAAATAGTCCGTAAATTTACTCCAGTCTTCTGAATTTCTGGTCCCGCCGGTTTTGAATCCTTCCTGCTAGTTTATCTAGTTCTGCATAGTCCATTAACTTCATCCTCCATTCTTCAATCGTCGGTAATTCTTCTTGCTTCCATTTTTGGGCCAATAATATTCTTGCTGCTGTTATTGCATATAAAAAGAGCTTATATTCCTTTCTATTTATATCACTCCCAACAATACCCAGTAAAAATGCTTCTGGTTTCTTTATAAATGTATATTTCAACATTTTTTTCATCTCGTTATATATCATCTCCCAGAAGCATTTCACCTTTTTACATTCCCACCACATGTGATAAAATGTTCCCTCTTTTTCTTTACATTTCCAACATTTATTACTAATTTTATACATTTTCACTAACTTGACAGGTGTTTTATACGATCTATAAATCATTTTCATCACATTTTCTTTTAGGGCATTGCATGCAGTAAATTTTAAACCTTCTTTCCATAATTTTACCCAATCACTCAGCTGTATATTATACCCAAAATCCTTGGCCCAGTGAATCATAACCGACTTAACCTCCTCGTCCTTCAAATGCCAATCTGGGGGGCTTCCAGGTGTGTCAGACTACAACTCCCATCAGCCCCTGAAAAGCACTGATGGGAGTTCATAGAATCATAGAATCATAGAAAAGAATCATAGAATCATAGAATCCTAGAGTTGGAAGAGACCACAAGGGCCATCGAGTCCAACCCCCTGCCAAGCAGGAAACACCATCAGAGCACTCCTGACATATGGTTGTCAAGCCTCTGCTTAAAGACCTCCAAAGAAGGAGACTCCACCACACTCCTTGGCAGCAAATTCCACTGTCAAACAGCTCTTACTGTCAGGAAGTTCTTCCTAATGTTTAGGTGGAATCTTCTTTCTTGTAGTTTGGATCCATTGCTCCGTGTCTGCTTCTCTGGAGCAGCAGAAAACAACCTTTCTCCCTCCTCTATGTGACATCCTTTGATATATTTGAACATGGCTATCATATCACCCCTTAACCTCCTCTTCTCCAGGCTAAACATGCCCAGCTCCCTTAGCCGTTCCTCATAAGGCATCGTTTCCAGGCCTTTGACCATTTTGGTTGCCCTCCTCTGGACACGTTCCAGTTTGTCCGTGTCCTTCTTGAACTGTGGTGCCCAGAACTGGACACAGTACTCCAGGTGAGGTCTGACCAGAGCAGAATACAGTGGCACTATTACTTCCCTTGATCTAGATGCTATACTCCTATTGATGCAGGCCCAGAATTGCATTGGCTTTTTAGCTGCCGTGTCACACTGTTGGCTCATGTCAAGTTTGTGGTCAACCAAGACTCCTAGATCCTTTTCACATGTACTGCTCTCAAGCCAGGTGTCCCCCATCTTGTATTTGTGCCTCTCATTTTTTTGCCCAAGTGCAATACTTTACATTTCTCCCTGTTAAAATTCATCTTGTTTGTTTTGGCCCAGTTCTCTAATCTGTCAAGGTCGTTTTGAAGTGTGATCCTGTCCTCTGGGGTGTTAGCCACCCCTCCCAGTTTGGTGTCATCTGCAAATTTGATCAGGATGCCCTTGAGTCCATCATCCAAGTCGTTGATGAAGATGTTGAATAAGACCGGGCCCAAGACAGAACCCTGTGGCACCCCACTAGTCACTCTTCTCCAGGATGTCCAACGCACCTGGAGGGCAGCAGGCTGGCGAATCTTGTACCAGGCAATAAATTGGCAATAAATTTCCTCATGTCATAGCTAAAAGCACAAACCCCTCTTGAGTTTTGTTTTGTTTTGTTTTTCCGGGGCCGGGGAGATTAAAAGGCAACTGGTTTTCCACCGAGAGCCTTATTACAGTTCTTTATTTTTTTCTTTTTAAATTTTTATTGATACAGCAAAAAAGAAAAAGAAAAAACACAAATACCAAATTGCACACAGGAATAAGCATAGACACATAATTTTCTTAACAAACGATAAAACATATATTGGTCTTAACACTAAAGACCCAACCTCCCATCTATTCCATGTTTCGATTTCATATTACTTATTGCCAATACACACTTTTATCGTAATTACATTTTCCTAAATAATATTGAATTTCTTATATCCACCTTGCAACTATTACTGAAGTTCATTGAATGCTGCAACAGAATTTAAACTGCTATATCTATTTTTCAAATATTCTTTGAAAACCTCCCATTTTGAAACAAACTCCTGTTTTGATTTATTCTTTGTTTTTTCTTATTACAGCCTTATTACAGTTATTACGCTGCATATAATATATGGCACATATATAAAATCTCACTACAAACACTCTTGAATAAGGAATGGTTCATATGCGGCAAGGTTCAAATATATGCAGGGGTGTCTTTAAATCTTGCTGGGCATGTTCCCACTGGCCTCAGTGGTACCTCTGGAAAAAGATAGGGGGGGAAATCAACATTTTTTAAAATAAAAAAAACCACTTTTTGATTTGGATATGGCAGCCTAAAGTCAAATTGGTTTGGTAGGGAGTGGTAAGTGTCGGGTTCCTGATTGCTTTTAAAATAAACCTACTGCAGATTTAATAATAATAATAATAATAATAATAATAATAATAATAATAAAATAATAATAATAAAATAATAATAATAATAATTAGAACCACTGAATCATAGAACTTAAAAGTTGCAGTGGATTCAAATGGACACCTAGAACAGTTTCCTGAGCCTCCTGCAATTATTATTAATAATTACTTTTATAATAATAGCTATGAATAATATTATTAATTATTTGTTATTTGTTATTATTCACATCTATGCTGAGAGCTGGTTTCGAACCGGCGGAGTAGTGTCTTTTTGGGCCGCCATCTTGCATTCAGAAAGAACCTGATGCGCAGGCGCAGCTTCCGCACCACCCTAATTAACCCAGAAGGCCGCCCTTGCCTCCCTCCCTCCCTTTCCCGCCGCTCATTCTCTAGATAGAGCGCTCCCAGCTCGGCCGCCATCTTCGATTCACAACGAGGCTACGCCCCAGCCCCGCCCCTCTGAGGTTACGCTTGCAAAGCCTCCTACCTTTCCTTAGAGGGCGCGAATGTTACGTCACGGGAATTGCCGGACTGGGACTTGCTGCGCCGCGCGACTCTATGGCTCTCCATGGCTTTAGATAGGGCGTTTTCAGGACAGGCGCCATCTTGGACCGAAAACGAGGCTGCTCGCTTCCTTTTGCACCGCCCGCTTCAACCGTCCCCCGATTCTTCCCAGCCGGAGGCAAAGAGTGGAGTTTAGACGAGGGAGAAGCCGAGAAGTGGAGGGGCTTGGAGATAAAAGGGGGTAAGGGGCCGGGTTGGAAACGGGGGGGGGGGGGGAGGAAGGTGTGCAATGTGCAATTTGGGCTTTGCAGAAAATGTGCAAAGGCGGGGGGTTGCAAACTGGGATCCTGCAAAATACTCCCCCCCTAAAACATCAAAAGATCCCTGCGGCATCCGGATTCGACCCAGGGCCGGACTAAGACTTTTGCAAGCACCGCAAAAATTTATGCTGTGAGGCTCCCCGCCCCCTCCCAATATGTAATTCAAAATAAAAACAAAACAAAACGCTAAACTTTCGCATGATGAATTCTGCATATAAGTTAAATAAGCAGGGAGACAATATACAGCCTTGTCGTACTCCTTTCCCAATTTTGAACCAATCAGTTGTTCCATATCCAGTTCTAACTGTAGCTTCTTGTCCCACATCCTGCAAAATAAAAGGTAAAGGGACCCCTGACCATTAGGTCCAGTCGTGGCCAACTCTGGGGTTGCGGCGCTCATCTTGCTTTACTGGCCGAGGGAGCCGGCGTACAGCTTCCGGGTCATGTGGCCAGCAGGACGAAGCCGCTTCTGGCGAACCAGAGCAGCGCACGGAAACGCCGTTTACCTTCCCGCCAGACCGGTACCTATTTATCTACTTGCACTTTTTGGAGTGCTTTCGAACTGCTAGGTTGGCAGGAGCAAGGACCAAGCAACGAGAGATCACCCTGTCGTGGGGATTTGAACCGCCAACCCTCTGATTGGCAAGTCCTAGGCTCTGTGGTTCAACCCACAGCGCCACCCGCGTCCCTACCTGCAAAATACTCCCCCCTTAAAACATCAAAAGATCCCTGCGGCAGCTGGATTCGACCCAGGGCCGGACTAAGACATTTGCAAGCACCTGGGAAAATTATGCTGCGAGGCTCCCTGCCCCTACCAATATGTAATTCAAAATAAAAACAAAACAAAACACTAAACTAAACTAAATTCTGTTTTCCAAAATGGCCCAAGGCTTACATGTATGCTGAAACGGGCATGCATGGATGTCACGCGCAAAGCCGGGTTGGATCTGATTTCCTTGCATTATTTCGATTTAATGTTAGGACACCGTCCACCCCACCCCACTCCGGTTTAGGTGGGGATAAGGAATAAAAAGAGAGCAGAAAAATGGGTGTAGAGTGGAGGGTTAGGAAGTCTTAATGAAGTTCTGGTTTTTCCCTTCATGAATACTGGGATGCAGACCCAATATCAAATTCATAAAAATAAAATATAAAATCCCATTTTTCTCATGTCCCTGCTTTTCTGGTGCCCTAAACAAGCAGCAATCGCTGCCAGGTGGGCGGGGTAGAAATAATAAATTATTATTATTTATTATGGCAGTGAATTCCACAACTATCCATGAGGATTTGTTGTTGTTGTCATTTAGTCGTTTCCGACTCTTCGTGACCCCCTGGACCAGAGCACACCAGGCCCTCCTGTCTTCACTGCCTCCCGCAGTTTGGTCAAACTCATGTTGGTAGCTTCAAGAACACTGTCCCACCATCTCGTCCTCTGCCGTCCCCTTCTCCTTGTGCCCTCCATCTTTCCCAACATCAGGGTCTTTTCCAGGGAGTCTTCTCTTCTCATGAGGTGGCCAAAGTCTTGGAGCCTCAGCTTCAGGATCTGTCCTTCCAGTGAGCACTCAGGGCTGATTTCCTTCAGAATGGAGAGGTTTGATCTTCTTGCAGTCCATGGGACTCTCAAGAGTCTCCTCCAGCACCAGAATTCAAAAGCATCCATTCTTCGGCGATCAGCCTTCTTGATGGTCCAGCTCTCACTTCCATACATCACTACTGGGAAAACCAGAGCTTTAACTATAGAGACCTTTGTTGGCAAGGTGATGTCTCTGCTTTTCAAGATGCTGTCTAGGTTTGTCATTGCTTTTCTCCCAAGAAGCAGGCGTCTTTTAATTTCGTGGCTGCTGTCACCATCTGCAGTGATCATGGAGCCCAAGAAAGTAAAATCTCTCACTGCCTCCATTTCTTCTCCTATTTGCCAGAGGTCATGGGCCCAGTGACCATGATCTTCGTTTTTTTGATGTTGAGCTTCAGACCATAATTTGCGCTCTCCTCTTTCACCCTCAATAAAAGGTTCTTTAATTCCTCCTCACTTCCTGCCATCAAGGTTGTGTCATCTGCATATCTGAGGTTGTTAATATTTCTTCTGGCGATCTTAATTCCGGTTTGGGATTCATCCAGCCCAGCCTTTTGCTTGATGAATTCTGCATATAAGTTAAATAAGCAGGGAGACAATATACAGCCTTGCCGTACTCCTTTCCCAATTTTGAACCAATCAGTTGTTCCATATCCAGTTCTAACTGTAGCTTCTTGTCCCACATAGAGATTTCTCAGGAGACAGATGAGGTGATCAGGCACTCCCATTTCTTTAAGAACTTGCCATAGTTTGCTGTGGTCGACACAGTCAAAGGCTTTTGCATAGTCAATGAAGCAGAAGTAGATGTCTTCCTGGTACTCTCTAGCTTTCTCCATAATCCAGCGCATGTTTGCAATGCGCTGAGGATGGGCTCCCTCCAATAAAAACAGGGCTTAGTTAGGACAGCCTGGTGAAATCCAGATGTTTTGGACTACAACTCCCATCAGCCCCAGAAGCTAGTGCAAAACAAGTGGTGAGGACAAGGCTAGGACTGTCTGCTCAGAGCAGACGTTTGGAAACAGCGCCCTCTGCTGGTGGATGACTGGAAGTTTGCACTACTGCTGCTTACATATTGCATCAGTGGCTCCCAGAGTGGGCAGCAGTGCCCCCTAGGGGCCGGTGGGATTAATTGTGCAATTAATTATGTTTTGAATGTCATTGCGTTACTTCTCTCCCTTAGCTGTTCTGCATAATGTTTTTTATAGGGTGGGGAGTTTATGGAACCAAGGGGCAGTAGAGTCGGCCCCACCTGGCCTCAAAAATTGGAAACCACTGGTTTGAATACTCTTTTCTCTTATCTACAGGTTGCATTCGTCCCATGATGGCTGCTGTCCCCACTCTTACCTGCAGCGATGACACAGACAGCCTCCCTTGCGCTGCACCCGTGCCCCTCCCACCCCCGACTCCCCAAGGCTTGATCCCCGAGCCTGAGATGGTGCTCACCCCCGAGCGAGCCTGTGTGAGGAGGCCGGGGGGCGGGATCCTTCGGCGACCCCAGCAGGGGAAAGCACACCGTAGACAGGTGAGTGGGAGCTGGGAGCATGAGGAGGAAAGTGGAGAGGAGGTGGTTTGAAACTACCAAATCCGTCGCCAGATTTCCCATTAATTGGGAAATCTATGCAGGAAGTAGGGACGCGGGTGGCGCTGTGGGTTAAATCACAGAGCCCAGGGCTTGCCGATTAGAAGGTCGGCGGTTTGAATCCCCGCTACGGGGTGAGCTCCCGTTGCTCGGTCCCTGCTCCTGCCAACCTAGCAGTTCAAAAGCACACCAGTGCAAGTAGATAAATAGGTACCACTCCGGCGGGAAGGTAAACGGCGTTTCCGTGCGCTGTTCTGGTTCGCCAGAAGCGGCTTAGTCCTGCTGGCCACATGACTGTACGCCGGCTCCCTCGGCCAGTAAAGCGAGATGAGCGCCGCAACCCCAGAGTCAGCCACGACGACCTAATGGTCAGGGGTCCCTTTACCTTTATGCAGGAAGGCACAGAGGTAGAACTTGCCCACACCCTCTCCAGAGGGTAAGGGATGTAGCCCAGTGGGACAGCATCTGCCCTGCACCAGAAGGCCCCTCGTTGCACCCCAGAGAGGGAGGCCCAGGATAGGTGCTGCCAGTAAGTGTCAGCAGTATTGAGGTATAAGGACCTCCATGGTTTGGCTCATCTTTCCTGTCTTCCTGAGGTGTTTGCTCACAGAACTGAGGTTGTTCTGGTGCTTTTAGGGACTTTTTTTCCCAAGAGGGCCAGATTTGATGAAGTGAGCATGCATGAGGGCCGACGAAAGTTATTGATTTTATCTTAGGATTGAAGTTGTTGAGCTTTCAACAACAAAAGGATGTGGACTCCTTGGCCCTTGGCAGGTTTGGAATAAACATCCTCAAATCTATTAGTAGAACATATGACAGATAATGCAATGATATGTACAATTTTTAACATGCAGAGAATAATATGTGCAAACAAATCAGAGGGGGGAGCTGAGGGAAGTCCTTAGGGGGTGGGAGAAGGGGGGAAAGGGGGGAAAATGTAATTGGTTATTTTGATTGATAATTTGTTTTGTTAAATGGTTTAATAAAAATATATTTCTTTTTTAAAAATATTTTTATTAGGAATTTAAACAACGCATATTATCTTAAAACATATCATCCTTAATTCCCCCCCCCCCATACAACAACCCACCCTCCCCTCCCACCCTGACTTCCCTCAGCTCCAATCTCTGGTTTCTCCATAGATGCTATTCTCTGCATGTTACAGAATTGTATAAATCCTTCATTTATCTGACTGATTATTATCTATAAAAAGTTTATGAGTGTTTATTCAAAACCTGCCAAGGAGTCCAGTTTCACTTTGTTGCTTCTTTAAATACTTTGCAAAAGGTTCCCATTCATTTTTAAAGTCACAGTTATCCTTGTCCCGCAGTTTATGTGTCAATAATAAAAATATATTTAAAAAAGAAGTTGTTGAGCTTTTTTTACGGTTTCCCCCAAAGTTACTGAGCTTTTTTTTTAGGATTGGAGTTGTTGACCACCTTTTAGGATTTCCCCCCAGGAAATAAACAGCCACAGAGGCCGGAATTAACTGACTGGCGGGCCGGATTAGGCCCCCGCAACGGACTTTGGACATGCCTGGTCTTATGGATTTGCTCCTGGATTTACTCCTGAGCCTTTTCTTCTGCGGAAGATGTTTATCATTTTAGCAAGTTGTTCACAATTCACCTCTTCTTCCCCATCTCGACTGTCCATTTCCAGGTTCGTTTCAGGCTGGGATCCAAATCCGATGACATCGGGCCGGTCCCCTCAGATGCCCCGCAGCCTGGAACGGAGGTTGCCGTTCCTGCGAGGCGGGGATCCCGGTCGGACGATGTCCGGATGGTCAGCCTCAACCCCCCCAAGCCCAGAGTGGAGGTGGTCCACAGCAGTGCAGGAGAATCTCCCATCACCATCACGCTGGCGAGAGAGCCCTCCCTGAGTCCGGCAGGGGAGGAGAAGGAGGAGGAGACAGAAGAGGGATCGTGTCCGCCCCACAACCTGCTGGCCGGCCCCGTTCCCCACAGCACTCTTGCCCTGGTGGCAGAAGTGCGCGCCATGCGGGAGCAGGGCTTTAATGCCCGGCAGGCTGCTGAACAACTGGTGCAGCGCTCTTTTGTCGCTCGCTGCGCTGTGGAAGCCCGGGCTGGCGAGGGTGAGTATCGGGAGATGAGCGTTGGGAGGTAAAAAGAAAGCCCTTCTTTGGGCAGCGCGTGGTTAACCTATGGAACTCTCTGCCTCAGGAGGGTTATCAATGGTCGCTGGCCAGGATTGCCTCCACATCTGGAGGAAGCAAGGCGGCTTAATCCCAGCTGCATAAACAGCCTCGGTCCAGTAGACCTGAAGGAGCGTCTCCACCCCAACCGTTCAGCCCGGACACTGAGGTCCAGCACCTGGGGCCTTCTGACAGTTCCCTCATTGCGAGAAGCAAAGCTACAGGGAACCAGGCAGAGGGCCTTCTCGGTGGTGGCACCTGCCCTATGGAATACCCTCCCACCAGATGTCAAGGAAATAAACAACCATTTGACTTTTAGAAGACATCTGAAGGCAGCCCTATTTAGGGAAGTTTATAAACTTTTTGATGTACCGTATTTTTCGCTCCATAAGACGCACCGGCTTCTGGGATAGCTGCAGTCTGCATTCGCTTCATAAGACGTGCACACATTTCCCCTTACTTTTTAGGAGGGAAAAAGTGCGTCTTATAGAGCGAAAAATACGGTACTTTTAATCTTTGTTGGAAGCTGCCCAGAGTGGCTGGGGTACAAATAATGAATTTTAGTCCGTCTTCAAATATTCAGCTCCAGTTCGAGTGCGACGAGAGGCATGAGAACTTCTCTCTCCATCCATTTTCTCCACGCAATTCCCTGTTTTATAAACTCCTCGGCCTTTTCTCCCAACACACCTTTCGCAGGTATGAACATCCGTCGGGAGCAACAACTCTATCAAGGCCTCGTCAGCCTGGAAGTGCCAGAAGTTGAATTGCTCAGCTCAGCCGTGCAGGAGAAACTCGCCCTCGTCCGGACCCGACCTGAACCCAGGAAGGTGAGCAGGGAAGGGGGGGCGGCATTGAGGATTCCCCAGAGCTGGAGGAGATGGGTGACTTTATATTTTTTTAAACCATTTTTATTGATTTTCCAATAAAAAACATCCAGTTAATATATACAATCATAATACTCCAATTAAAATTTAAAAAAAAAACTAAAATAAAAAAAAACCATTTTCTAGTCCAAATTATAATTATTAATTTTTTTGAACTCCCCACAGTCTGGATCTCTGAAGCATATCTCCACATCTCAGTCCTGCCTCTCCTTGTTGCTTCCATATTTTCCACTAATAAAATAATAATAATAATAATAATAATAATAATAATAATAATAATTTATTATTTATACCCTGCCCATCTGGCTGAGTTACCCCAGCCACTCTGGGCAGCTCCCAATCAAGTGTTAAAAACAATACAGCGTTAAATATTAAAAACTTCCCTGAACAGGGCTGCCTTCAGATGTCTTTTAAAGAGAAGATAGCTGCTTATTTCTTTCACATCTGATGGGAGGGCGTTCCACAGGGCGGGCGCCACCACCGAGAAGGCCCTGTGCCAGGTTCCCTGTAACCTCACTTCTCGCAACCAGGGAACCGCCAGGAGGCCCTCGGAGTTGGATCTCAGTGTCCGGGCAGAACGATGGGGGTGGAGACACTCCTTCAGGTATCCTGGGCCTTTGAGGCCATTTAGGGCTTTCAAGCTCAGCACCAACACTTTGAATTGTGCTCGGAAACGTCCTGGGAGCCAATGGCGGTCTCTCAGGACCGGTGTTATGTAGTCCCAGTCACCAGTCTAGATTAATTGCAGTTTCCGAATCACCTTCAAAGGTAACCCCACATAGAGCGTGTTGCAGTAGTCCAAGCGGGAGATAACCAGAGCATGCGCCACTCTGGCCAGACAGTCTGCGGGCAGGGAGGGTCTCATCCTGCGTACCAGATGGAGCTGGTAGACAGCCGCCCTGGACACAGAGTTAACCTGCACCTCTATGGACAGCGGTGAGTCCTGAATAACTCCCAGGCTGCGCAGCTGGTCCTTCAGGGGCACAGTTACCCCATTCAGGACCAGGGAGTCCCCCACACCTGCCCGCCTCCTGTCCCCCCAAAACAGTACTTCTGTCTTGTCAGGATTCAACCTCAGTCTGTTAGCCGCCATCCATCCTCCAGGCACTATTTTGACGCTTTATAATTCTCCGTCCCCGAGTCTACGATTCTCAATCATGTCCCACATCATATACTTTCATCGAGACAGGTGACTTTAACCCCACCCCCCAAATTTGGAAATAGCAGGTGGGGTGTCAATCAATGGTCCAATGGGTTTACACCAGTGTAACGAGCGTCTCTCCAAACTGAAGGTCCAGCAACGGGGGTGAATGGGCTGAGTGATGTCCTGTGGAGGACGGGAAGGCGCTCCCTTAAGATCATCATCATCATCATAATTTATTATTTATATCCCACCCATCTGGCTGGGCTTCCCCAGCCACTCTGGGCGGCTTCCAACCAAATATTAAAATACAGTAATACATCAAACATTAAAAGCTTCCCTAAACAGGACTGCCTTCGGATGTCTTCTAACAGCAAGCATCCTGTTCTTGAGTGGCCAACCAGATGGCTCTTTTGGAAAACCCGCAGGCAGGATTCGAGCGTGAGAGCACTCTTCCCCTCTTGTGGTTTCCTGCAACCAGTGTTCACAAGGTTGACTGCCCTCTGACACTACCGTCAGCTCTCTTCTCTCAAGAATTTGTCTAATCCTCCTAGCGGTGCAGCAATAAGATTGCCAGGACGTTTGCAAAACTAAGGTTGCAAATGGTTGGCGTTCCTGAATTGCAGGGGTTGGACCGGATGTCCCTTGGGGTTCCACAGTTTAATAATAATAATAATAATTTTTATTTATACCCCGGCCAGAGACTGGCTCAGGGCGGCTAACACCACCAATAAAATAAAATCACAGTAATAGGGGAAAAAGAGAGGGAGAAAAAAAACCCAATTTAAAATACTGGGTTAAAATACAATTTAAAATGCAGCCTCATTTTAATAGTAGCCCATAGATCAAAACTATAAGGGGAGGGAAACATAACGGTCAGACTGAGTCCAAACCAAAGGCCAGGCGGAACAGCTCTGTCTTGCAGGCCCTGCGGAAAGATGTCAAGTCCAGCAGGGCCCTAGTCTTTTGTGACAGAGCATTCCACCACATCGGGGCCAGTGCTGAAAAGGCCCTGGCCCTAGTTGAGACCAATCTAACCACCTTGTGACTTGGGACCTCCAAGGTGTTATTTGTGGACCTCAAGGTCCTCAGTGGGACATAACAGGACAGGCGGTCCCATAGGTACGTGGGTCCTAGGCCACATAGGGCTTTAAAGGTCAAAGCCAGCACCTTAAACCTGACCCTGTACTCCACCGGGAGCCAGTGCAGTTGTTAAAAGCACTGAATGACATTGCGTTTCATTAAGGACTTTAACATCACACTTCATTAAGGACTTTCCCTCCTAAGCAACCGTCCCGTCTCTCTCTGCTAGGAGCTGGATTGCACAGGCCCCGACCTCCTGGCCTTCTACGACCCAGAGCAGCTGTTCACGGAGAGCCCCTTCCTGGAGGTGGAGGGTCTGCCCCCTCTGAAGCTGCAACCTCGAACTCGGGACCCAGCCACCACTTTCTTCATGTACCGAAAGCTGCGCCAGTGGGACAGTTAAAGGGCCTTAGGGGATGATGGCCCGTCTGCCCCCCAAAACTGGACTCAAGACTGCTGTGTGGTGCAGGACTATTTATTCAAACGGGACTCCCTTTTGCACCCTTTCCCCACAGTTCGCTTTTCATACATAAAACTTAATCCGAAGCACATGTCCTCTCCAGTCTCCCAGTTATTGATCAACAGGGTGGCGTGTCTTCGCCTGAACGCCAACAGCCGCCCTCGAGTCTCTCTTAAAAAACCGCGCAGACCCTCTTCCCCCGAATGTGGCGTTTAGCCCAACCTCCACACAAAACACATAGATTGGTAATAATCCGTAGGCTTTTATTTATATATAGAATCAACTTTTTTTTTTTAAAGAAAGAACTCCAGAGAAGGGGTCCCCTTCAGATACACCCCCAAAAAGGCAGAAAGGTCCCCCAGAAAGGTGGTGTTTTTTTCGTGGGAAACAAGATGGTGGTGGTGTTGTTAAAAGTCGTCTCCCCGTCACACGCTGAAGGCAACACTCTGCTGAGCAAGGCATCAGACTTGAAGATGGGCAGGGTACGTCCGCAATCCAGGCATGCGTCTTCCTGCTGGCTGTGTGGGGGCAGAATCCTCGTTGCCCCGGGGACTCTGGAGCAGGGAGAGGGGAGGCCTTGAACATCTGCTGCTGGCCAAGGCAGGGGAGCGCCCCACCCGCTCCCCAATACAGATGTTAAGACACCCTTTGCAGGAGGTGGGTGGAAGCAGCAAAGAAAGGCTAGGTTTCCCTGTTGTTCTTCCAACCCAACCTGAAGCTATCAAGGGACGATCAGTGCCGCAGATGCCCCCCTTTTGCACCAGCTTTTGAATTCTTCTCTCTCCCTGGCTGCGGTGCTGGTGGGAGTTGTAGCACAGCAGCGCCCAGAAGGCGCCCGCTGGGACGTGGACGCCTCTTGAACAGGAAATGGCAAAAGGGACAGAGAAAGAACTTCTTCTGCTATGCTAAAACTCCCAGCCATCCGGTCTCCCAGCTGCCCACCCTGCCTCTTCCCCCCCAGATGTTGCTAAACTGTTGGCTTGAGCGACGGGGAGCTGAGCACCCGACATATTGGGGGTGGGGGAGCTGCAGCCCATGCTCTCCCCGCTCCAGGGACTAAGAAAACGACACCTCGGTGCAAACGCCACCCCCCTGGAGTGCACCCCATAACCTCTCAACCCCCCACCCCACCCCATAACAGTAGTCAAGGTCCTGCTCCAGGGCGAATCTCCGCTGCCCCACTGCAGTCTCTGGCTGTCTTTGAAGTCTGGCTTGCTCCGTCCTGGCCGGGAGGAAAGGCTCTCCCCTCTGCCAGCAAAGTGTCCAACATTCATCCGTGAGGGGGGTCGCGTTAGCCCCCCCCCCCCGGCCCCAGCAAGTGGCTGATTCGAAAAGGAGGGGCGAGGCGTCAGCGGCAGAGACGCTCTCAGTGGGCGCCAGGGCCGGCCTTGTGGAAGAGATAGATGGGTCGCTGGAATCCTGCGGGGAAGAGGAGAAGAGTTAAGGAGGTGGCAGAGGGTGCGTTGAGAAGCCCCCGACCCCTTGAAAAACCTCAGGAAGCCTGGAAGAGGGGCCTCTAGAGCAGTGCTTCCCAAAGGGGGTGGTGCTGCCCCCACATGGAGGGCAGTGGAATTAACTCCATGGCCTCTGGAGATCTCAGTGGCTTATCAAGACTTTGGAAAGCTGCCATCACGGAATGAAGCTCGCTCGTCCATTTTGTCGAATCGAACCCATTAAGTTTTAATTGGGCTTTGAACGGACGTGCAATTAATTGCTACCGTTTTGAACTCGGCTGCGCCATTCGCTTCCTTAGTGGGTGTGCAAACTGCCACTATGCATAACGGGTTGGGTTTCATTGCAGGGTAATACAGTGGTACCTCGGGTTAAGTACTTAATTCGTTCCAGAGGTCTGTTCTTAACCTGAAACTGCTCTTAACCTGAAGCACCACTTTAGCTAATAGAGCCTTCCGCTGCCACCGGAGCACGATTTCTGTTCTCACCCTGAAGCAAAGTTCTTAACCCGAGGTACTATTTCTGGGTTAGCGGAGTCTGTAATCTGAAGCATCTGTAACCCGAGGTACCACTGCAATAATTTTATAATTGATACCCTGCCCATCGTGGCTGGGTTGGGGGGCACTGCGGAGGATTGATGGAACCAAGGGGGAGGAAGGGAAGGTGGAGCACAAGGTCTGATTGACAGCTTTGTGTGCTCAAAATGGCACAATTCAGATGGGCATGGATAGGCCACAGCTCCCTTTCCCAAAGTGCCGTTCTTTCAGCAAAAGCTGTTCCCAAACATCATTTCCCCTCATTCAAATCATATGCTGTGGTCTCTGTACAGTGGTACCTCGGGTTAAGTACTTAATTCATTTCGGAGGTCCGTACTTAACCTGAAACTGTTCTTAGCCTGAAGCACCACTTTAGCTAATGTGGCCTTCTGCTGCTGCCGGAGCACGATTTCTGTTCTCATCCTGAAGCAAAGTTCTTAACCTGAAGCACTATTTCTGGGTTAGCGGAGTCTGTAACCTGAAGCGTATGTAACCTGAAGCGTATGTAACCCAAGGTACCACTGTATTCCAGTGGTTCCCCTCCCCACCCCCAAAATGCAGGTTATCTGCTTCCATTCTGTCCAGTCTCACAATCTAGACCCTCCCTCCATTTCTCTCTCTTTTTGAAAACTCTCAGGGCCTGTTGCAATTCAGCTCAGAGCCAAGCCTAGCCCAGGATTTAAGAGCTTCTCAGGGCAGCACAACTGAAGGCTGCAAACCTCACCCCTCTAGACCCTCGCCTTATAAACACGTGAGGTGGGGCTCCCCTTCTTCCTGCTCCCACCCAGAGGTTCACTTCAGAGGCTTGATACCTTTCGATGTGTTCCTGGGTGTAGCCACCAATTCATAGCTGCAGAAGCCCACTTCCGGTGAAGTCAGGTAAGAGGGGAACTGGTCTGGTTTCAGCTTGATCCGGTAGTAATGCCTGCATATTGTTTCCTGGGAAAGGAGGGAGGAGAAGAAATCAGTGCCGGCAGCGGCCACAGCGTACGACTGTATGATGCAGTAGGTGGTGTTGCAGGGATTTATGTATAGGTTTGGGGGGGGGGGTTGCCCCTCCAGCAGATATCATGCACATGCAGCCCACTACCAAAACCAGCACAATCTCTTTTGGGACTTTTGTGATTTGTCCCCACAAAACACTTCGTCGCAGTTTCTTCCTATCTATTCAAAGGGCCTTTGCTGCACAACACCAAATGTAAGAATTCACTGATCAATGGATCTCTGTGCTGGCTCACTGGGAAAACTTCAGAAATTCATATAGACCTGTGAGCTCAGCTGCTCAGAAGCCCCTCTGCCCGAGTGATAATTCCTGGCATCCTGATACCTGAGTGCCAGACAGGTGGCCATTCCAGAAATAACAAACCCAGATGAAGACAAAAGGGTGTGATGAACTTGGCTGGGAAACAGGGAAATGTAGATATATTTTTTGTTACACTTGATGGGTGTTTGGTGGAGGGCAAGGGGAACCATGGGGCAGGGTCCAGGATGCTCAGATTACTGCCGCCAGACCTCCCCTTTCATGATGTAACCGTGATGTAGTTTGGGGAGGGGGGTAACATGAGGATTAGCAGCTAATAAAAGTTTGGGTTCTCTTTTGTTTGGGGCTTCCCTCTTGCTTCACCTGGTGGCAGGTGGGAGTCCTGTGGCGACAGTCTTCAATCAAGACCAAGCCTCCTGGCTGCTGTTTTGCTCTGCTATTCCTGGCTGGTGTCCTTGTTTTTTGTCCAAGGGAGCCCTCAGATTTCTCCGTTAACAGCCCCGAGCATGTGCAGAGTGCTCTGGCCCTTGACCCACACAGAAAACACAACTGGCTCTGAACACGTTTGGGATGACATAGCAGACCCTGGCATCCCTCGTCTCGCATGGCACGAGGGAGGGGCACAGCCGTGAATGCAGAAAGTCCAAAGTTGCTTCCTTGCTCCTGTTTTGGATCCTGACCGCATCCTCCCACAAGGATGCCAAAAATTAGAGCGGAGAAGAGGAACTTAGCAGCAGGAAAGGATTGTGCCACGTCAATCTCACCTGGTCGCTTGGCCCAGGGGCAAATGGCTCCTGGTTAAGCTTGGTGACCTTTGCCTGCTGGGCACCGTGATCAAACCCCCCCCCCCCCCCAAGTTGGCTGCTCCCTTGAGCCCACCTCTGCCTCTCTCCTCCCTGCTATCTTTATTTCTCTCTGGCATCCTCGAACAGGCAAGGCTGGCGGTTTCGGCCTGGGCTGCTGAACTGCAGCAAGGCCTTCCGGGTAGGAGCGATATGGTGATGCGAGAGCCATCTTCAGATATCTGAAGGGCCGTCACGTGGACGGTGCAGCGAGCTTGCTTTCTGCTGCCCTGGAAGGGGTGGGGGACCCAAAGCAACAGACCCGAAGGACGGGAAAGGAGGTTCTGCCTAAACAGCAGGAAGAACTTTCTGGGAACTGTTCCTGGAGGAAGAACTGCGAGGGGAGATACTCCATCAGGCAAGGCCTCCTTCCACCTGCCTTGCCCTAGTCTCTGCTTCTCAATGTGTATTGTATTGTTTTATGTACTGTGGCTTGCCGTTGTTTTATTGATTATAGTTTAGATATTATTGTAACTGTTGGGTGGGTTTCTGTTTAATTTTTATAAGCTGATATTATTATTTTATACTATTCTAATGTTCGTTGAATGTTACCTTTTTGATGGAGGTTGCCTATTTTAAAGTTATGTTTTATTATCACATTTTTGTATTGCATCAGATTGTTACAAGATGTACATTTTTTCTTTCTTCGGCTTGTAAACCGCCTTGAGTATTGTAAGATAGAAAGGCGGTATACAAATTAAAAATGATGATGATGCCCTCGGAAGATGGCGCGCTCTCCTTCGTAGGTTTTTAAGCAGGGGTTGGGGCAGGGGGGCTGCCTGCCAAGGATCCTTTAGCTGCGATTCCTGCATTGCAGGAGGTAGGTGTGGATGGCCCTCGAAGGTCGCTTGCAATTTCAGGACTCAAGAGTCCCAAAATTGTAGAATTGGAAGGGATCCGGAGGGTCATCTCGGCCAGCCCCTTTGCACTGCAGAATCCTGCCCGCAGCCATCCCTGGGTGGGCTCGAACCACCAACCTTCTGGTTAACAGCCAGATGCACAGATACACTGTGCCGCCTGCGCCCAATGCTGCTGCGATTTCCCTGGGCCACATGGCAGACAGGCCTGTATCTCAAGGAGGGCAGCAATGCCCGACTGCCCCACTAGGAACTGGCCACACTAAGCCACCTCCCTACAATAATAATTAATTTTTGTTGTTATTTATATCCCACAGGTCTGGGTGGGTTATGCCACATACAGTAGTACCTCTGGATACGAACAGGATCCGTTCCAGACCCCGTTTGCACCCAGAAGCGAATGCAACCCGTGACTGCGCGTCTGGTGATTCTCAGCTTTCGCGTGTGACGTCATTTTGACTGTCTGCACATGCGTGAGCAGCAAAACCCAGAAGTAATGAGCTCCGTTACTTCCGGGTTGCCGCGGAGCGCAACCCGAAAGCGCTCAACCTGAAGCACATTTAACACAAGGTATGGCTGTATAGTTAAAGCTCTGGTTTTCCCAGTAGTGATGTACGGAAGTGAGAGCTGGACCATAAAGAAGGCTGATCGCCAAAGAATGGATGCTTTTGAATTCTGGCGCTGGAGGAGACTCTTGAGAGTCCCATGGACTGCAAGAAGATCCAACCTCTCCATTCTGAAGGAAATCAGCCCTGAGTGCTCACTGGAAGGACAGATCCTGAAGCTGAGGCTCCAAGACTTTGGCCACTTCATGAGAAGAGAAGGAAAAGACCCTGATGTTGGGAAAGATGGAGGGCACAAGGAGAAGGGGACGACGGAGGACGAGATGGTGGGACAGTGTTCTCGAAGCTACCAGCATGAGTTTGACCAAACTGCGGGAGGCAGTGGAAGACAGGAGTGCCTGGCGTGCTCTGGTCCAGGGGGCCACGAAGAGGCGGACACGACTAAACGACTCAACAACAACATGGCTGTCCAAGAGATGAGGAGGCAAAGGAAGCCAAGCTCTCCGCCCCCCCCCCAGCCCAGCTGCAAACCTCTGGGCTCACCGTCAGGTTCTTCCTCTTGCCGTAGGAGGACCAGGCCTGGGGTTCGAGGATCAGGATTCCGCCCGGGTGCAGGTGGCGGTAGAACCGCTTGAAGAGGCGTTTGAGGCCGTCGTCGCCCCAGTTGAGGTGCACCCACTTGGTGAGGCTGAGGCACAGGATCACGTCGTACTCGGGCTTCTGGGCCTCCAGCAGCTCGTCCTGCTCCAGCACGTAGTTGCCCTGCAAGGGGGAGTGTGGAAGAGAAAAAGTAGGGAGGGAGATCCATTAGAGAAGGCCAGCTGAAGACTAACCCGCTAGATGCACATTCTGCTGCCCAAAGGGCGGCCCACATTGTTGCCCTCTCCCCAGCGCAGTCCAAATGCCAACTGCCCCATCCCTCACCAAAATGAATAAAAATAAGAGAGCCGGTCTCCTTGCACAATCTCCACTGCACATGTTGAAAGTCTAAGGCAGGCTCTCCAAACTGGAAAAGTGTAGCAAGGCCACAGCCTCCCCTCAGCTGAGCAAAAAACCAGACTCCAGAACATGGGTAAAGGTAAAGGGACCCCTGACCATTAGGTCCAGTCGTGGCCGACTCTGATGTTGCGGCACTCATCTCGCTTTACTGGATGAGGGAGCCGGCGTGCAGCTTCCAGGTCATGTGGCCAGCAGGACTGAGCCACTTCTGGCGAACCAGAGCAGCGCATGGAAACAACGTTTACCTTCCCGCCGGAGTGGTACCTATTTATCTACTTGCACTGGTGTGCTTTCAAACTGCTAGGTTGGCAGGAGCAGGGACCGAGCAACAGGAGCTCACCCCGTTGTGGGGATTCGAACCGCTGACCTTCCGATCGGCAAGCCCTGGTCTCAGTGGTTTAACCCACAGCGCCACCCGCATCAGAACATGGGTAGCAGGGGAGAAAGTGCTATTCTGTGCCCCACCTCCCGCAAAACAAGCAAACAAACCTAAAACAATAGTCCTGTAAGAACACAAGGAGAACGTGGTGGTTCAGGCCAAAGTGGGCCCCTGTAGTCCAGCATCCTATTCTCACTGTGGCCCCAGAGTCTGCCAATTAAGCCACTTCCAACACCTTGGCTAGATAGCTCTGGAACTAGCCCTGGCAGAGAGGGGCAACCTCACCCAGAGAGAGAGGGGTGAATATTGTCTAGGCAAGTCCACTCTTCTGCTCCTGCTGGGACAGGGAAGAGGGCCAGGAACACAGCTAGGTTTTAATCACAAACGTCTGGGGGGAGTTTATTGGCTTGTTTTTATTTTATAGTGTTTTGTGCTCTCATTTTGTCTTTTTATGTTGTGAACCGCCCCTCTGATCTTTGGCAGTACAGTGGTACCTTGGGTTACATACGCTTCAGGTTACAGACTCCGCTAACCCAGAAATATTACCTCGGGTTAAGAACTTTGCTTCGGGGTGAGAACAGAAATGGCGACACGGCGGCAGTGGGAGGCCCCGTTAGCTAAAGTGGTACCTCAGGTTAAGAACAGTTTCAGGTTAAGAACGGACCTCCAGAACGAATTAAGTTCTTAACCTGAAGTACCACTGTATACAAATTTAATAAACAATAGTAGTACTAGTAGTGCTGGTGGTGGTAATAATAATAATAATAATAATAATAATAATAATATGGTGGTACCTCGGGTTAAGAACTTAATTTGTTCTGGAGGTCTGTTCTTAACCTGAAACTGTTAACGCGAGGTACCACTTTAGCTAATGGGGCCTCCCGCCGCCGCGCAATTTCTGTTCTTATTCTGAAGCAAAGTTCTTAACCCAAGGTACTATTTCTGGGTTAGCGGAGTCTGTAACCTGAAGCGTCCGTAACCTGAGGTACCACTGTAATCAGAGGCAGCACCTGTTGGCAAAGGCGCAGCATGAAGTATTTTTTCCAGAGTTGCAAAGGCCCCAAACTCTGACCACTTCACACACACACACACACACACACACACACACTCTGCTTTCCAGGGTTGAAAGTGTCTCTTCCACACGTCACCCTCGCTGGACCTGTCGTGTGGGTGGGAAGCCAGCCAGCCCCAATCAACCTCTGTATAGCTTTCCAGTGGGCAGAGCTAATCAGCAGCTTGGCTGCAGAAGGAGGCAGCCAAGGGATCCTGCCCACCCACCTATGTGGCAGAGGGCTGCTCAGCTCCAACAGAGCTCCTTGCTCAGGGGGAATTGGGCTTGTTGTTAGGCCAGGTGAGGCGGGGACGACACTTGATCTCCCCTTTGAGCCCAGCGCATCAAAGGCTGAGGGCAGGCTGCAGTCACAACAGCACAGGGGAGGGTTTCTTTATGAACAAGGTGCCTGGGCAGGATTTCAGCTGAGCTCTCCCTTTCCTCCTCCTGCGGAGCGTCCTTCCAATTTCTGCAGGAAGGCCATCCTGGCCTCAACTTGACTGCAACTCCGCTGCCAACGCAACCAAGGATCCTCCTCTCTGTACATTTTCTCCCACACGGCTGCCGTCGGGCACCAGGGGGCCCTGCCATGCCAACGCTTTACACAGAAGGAGAAGCCATTAAGACGCACGTGATTTGTGGCCTGTTCCACCCAGCGCCGCCTGGCTCCGGGTAAAGGGTGTCTCTGCTGTAGCTGCCCAAGATCCTGCAAGTGGAGGTGCCAAGGGGCGACCGTGGGCTCCCTTCCTCCCCGGGAAGTCCCATTGCCCGCTCAATGGGACAAACTTAAAAGAGTAACAAGGAGGCACCCGCCCCCCCGCAAAAAAAAACAACACCCAAGCAATTGTCAGGACATCCTTTTCCCTACCATCTCCATCCCTGGAGAAACATTAAGCAAACAGGTCCAGTCAAGGAACTGAAGTTAAACTGCGGAACTCCCTCCTACATGGCCAGCAGCCTGGATGGCATTAGAAGAGAACTAGGCAAATTCATGGAGGAGAGGGCTAGGCCCTAGACGGCCTAGGACCTTCGTACCTACGGGACCGCCTCTCCTGATATGTCCCACAGAGGAACTTACGGTCTTCAAACAAAAACATCTTGGAGGTCCCGGGCCACAGGGAGGTTAGGCTGGCCTCCACCAGAGTCAGGGCCTTTTCGGCTGTGGCCCCGATCTGGCGGAACGCTCTACCACAAGAGACCAGGGCCCTGCGGGACTTGACATCTTTCTGCAGGGCCTCCAAGACAGAGCTGTTCCACCAGGCCTTTAGCCAGGGCACAGCCTGACTCCCTCCTTTGGCAATCTTCACAGAACATCTAGCCCAATGGTTGCCATTAATTTGATTGGAATTAATTTTATAACGAAATGATTTTAGAATGTTTTATCGTTTTACTGTTGTTAGCTGCTCTGAGCCCAGCTTCGGCTGGGGAGGGCGGGATATAAATAAAATTTATTATTATTATTATTATTGATGGCTACTTGTCACAATTGTCCACAGTCAGAGGCAGCAATGCGTCTGAATGTCAGCCGTTGGAAATCGCAAGCCACCATCAGCAACAGAGAGGGGAAAGGGAACTAAATCGCCAAACTGCACTGGGCATGAACGCAAGAACAGCCAGTTGGATCAGGCCAGTGGCCCATCCACCTTGTTTTCACAGGGGCCAATTAGATGATTACAGGAAGCCCGAAAGCGGAATTCAAGCGCAAGAGCTCTCTTTCCCCTCCTGCGGCCTTGAGCAACCAGAATTCAGAGGATGATCTGTGCTCTGGAAGCTGATCTGGCAACTGGATTTATTGCAGGCTCAAACAGTGATTGTTCTTAACGACCCAATTAACCAAGGGTGGTGGGGGACGTTCTACACCCCCACAATCACTCCTTGGAAGGAAGAAGCACATGGGTATTGGGTCTCACCTGCCCTGCCCCAAATCCTCCCAAAGGCCCAGTTCTTTATGTGGGGCCTTGTGGCTTTCCCCAGCAAAAGCCTTTCTGCTGTTCCCAAACAGCTAAGCCAGATGCCTGGAGACCGTGGTCCAATCTTGCCCACTCCCCCTCCTCCTGGACAGGAAGTTGCCTCCTAATCCTCCCACCCTTCCACCCCAATTGGGCCAATCGTGTCACTCTGCCGAGGTCGCCCAGTCAGAAGAAAAAGCCTCATTGGCTCCTCCCTTCCGAGAGGTGGCCTTGGTAGAACAGGGCGGGATGTTCCCGCCTCCTCCCCATCCTTATTCCTTCACGGCATGCCTGCACATGTAGGAAAGTAACTGCCATGTGGACCCCCCCCCGAATCTGCCCCCCCCCCCCGCTGTCTTGCAGGGGGTTGGGCTAGATGACCCCTGGTGAAATCTTCAAAGCCTACAATTCTAGGATTCTAAGCCTACCACCCCTTGCACTGAGGAATGCTGGGAAATGGCAGTTCTAAGGAATGTTGGGAAAAGGAACTGTGACAAGGCAACTGGTGCCAAATCAACTTTAAACTGGCGTATTTTAAAAGTCAGAGCTGAAAAAGCCAGGTTTTCAGACATCTTCCCTAGAGCTTCTACAAGCTGAGAAATCATAATTTTGGAGGTCTCCTCTCTCGCCTTACCTTGACGAAAAACACATTGTTGGGGAAGACCGTGGCGTCCACCCCGTCCTGGGGTACCCTTGGTGCAGCGATGGGCCCTCGGCTGGCCATGAGGGAGGCCGGGAAGGTTTTCTTGGCACGCCTGGCCCCTTCGCTGCTGGTGCCACCACCATCGTGGTCCCGCTGCTGCTGCTCCTGCATCTCCTCCGAAAGGTAGTGCCGGATGTTCTGGCGGGCCGAGTGGATGAGGGCGCCGTCAATGTCCACCCCCACTATTCTGGCGGGTCCCCACTTCTTGGCCACGCTCAAGGTGAGGTGCCCCACGTTGCAGCCCACGTCCAGAACCTCCTTGCCCTGGAACCACTCGGGTTTCATCACCCGCAGGCGCGGGTCTTCGCAGTTGGGGTTGCGGTAGCCGTAGTACTTGCAGTAGTTGCCGTACTGGAACTTGTGGCGTGGCGGCTGGCGCCGGACCGACTGGCCAGAAGCAGCCGGAGGGTGGCGGCCCCTCGGCACACTGTGCCCCCGGTCCGGGCTGCTTCGGCAGGGCTGCTCGCCGGACGTGGAGGTCCCCGGATGCCGGCCTCCTCCTCCTCCTCCCTCTGACTTGCTACTAGTCCTGCGCCGCTTGCGGTGGTGGCGGCTGCTGCTGCTGCCCCCGGCCGTCCAGGAGGCCACAGAAGTGCCCGACGGTGTGGCGCCCCCAGAGGCCTGCTGCCCAGGCTGAGCCTCCCCTGCGGCCGGCAGCAGGGGCGACACCACCTCGTCCCGGCAGTTGATGGCCGTGTTGAGTTCGTAGGGCTGCGGCGTGGCCCCGTTACACGTCTTCTGGCACGCTTTGCACGAGGCGGGCAGCGGGGGTTTGCCGCCGCTTCCTTCCAGCCCGGCCGTCCCCCTCTGCGCCCCCCGGTGCCGGTGCCGCTTCCGCCCGGGCTTGACGGGCGACGCCAGCACCGGGGGGTCCTCCTGGGCGTTGTTGAGGCTCAGCGGGTCGGTGATGTCCTTGGGGATGAGGATCTCCACAGGGTCCCGTCCCTTGGCGGGCAGCGGCGAGGACTTGGGGGTCTCGGCGTTGACCGCCTGGTTGACGTCTTCGTCCAGCAGGCTGTTGAGGTTGAGGGGGTCGAAGATGTTGCCCCCCAGCAGGAACTCGGAGGGCAGCACCGGGTCGCACTCGGAGTTGACGCGCCGGCGGCGCTTGAAGGCCGGGTGCTTGAAGCCTCCGCCGGCGTTGCAGCTGCTGCGCCTCTTGCCCCCGCCGGGGGCCCGGGGCTGGTGGTGGGGCGGGGGCTGGAAGCCGTTGCGGGGCCGCTGAAGCTCGGAGACGCTGTCTTCCCCTTCCTCGGAGGCTGCTGCTGCGAAGGGACCCCCTCCTTTGGCTGGGGGTCTGCGCTGGGCGGGGGGGTGAGGGTCCTGGGGCCCCTGGTTCACCCTGGCAGAGGAGGGGCCCCTATGAGCAACTCCTCCTCCTGCTGCTGCTGGCTGGGCCTGGGCGTCCTCCTGGGGTAGCTCCGCCGGGGCGGCCCCCTGACGCAGCTGCACCAGGGGGACGTCCCCCCCTCCGGCCCCGCCCCCTCCTCCTCTGGGCGGGGGTTTGAGGAGGGGCGGCGGCGGGGCCGGCACTAAGAAGGTCTCCTTGTCCGCCGCCATCTCGATCATGCCTTGCATGGGGCGGCGGCGGCGGAGGAGGCGGCACCGGCGGCGGGGAAAGGGTTAACGGGCCGGGAGCTCCTTCCTCGTCCGCCTCCCGCCGCACACTGAGCTCGAGGCTGCCGAGGCTCCTCCTCCCGCCCCGCGAGAGCCCCTCCTACGCCTGCGCCGTCGAGCTCGCCGCTCGTGCGCAGGCCCGGCGCGCGTGCGCAGTTCCCCCGGAATTTCAGGTCCCGGCGCGCACCAACAGACTCATCTCTCTCTCTCCGTGTCCGCTCCGCCCCAAAGTCCCTAGCGCATGCGCAGCTCCGCAGCTAGCCAGAGGGAGAGCGCTCCGCGCCCGCTGCTTTCCTGCGATGGCCAGCTCCCCCTGCGCTCGGGGTTTATATGCGCGGAGGGCGGGTCCGCCCGAGGGCACGCCCCCTCCCCGCAGAAAGGGCCAATCGGCGTTCGGAGCTGTCACCGCCCGCGTGGATTCTCGGCCAATCGGCGGCTTGGCCACAGGGCTCTCGAGGAGCCGCGGCTCCCCGCCTTCCTCCCGCCTTTTCGTTTCCCTGTGAGCCAATGAGGAAGCAAGGCCGGAGCGCCTGCGGCCAATCAAGGCGCAACACTCCAAGCTAATTTTTCTCCCGAGTGTGGGTGAGGGTCCTCGTTTGCACGGGGCGGTCCTGGTCAAGCGCCTGCGGCAGCGTTACGTCAGGTTCCAAAGCCAGAAAAAGAAACGACCAACCTAGGCACATAATATTCCTGACAGATATTATTAATAAAAAAGTTCTCAGCGCAGGGCGAGCGCTGACAGCTGCGAAAAATATGCCCCCAAAATCTAATCAGTGTTTTTTCCAGGCATTGATTTAGCCACCTAACCAAGCTCCCGGATCTTTTCCCCTCAGAAACATTGGCTCTTGCCAAGCGCTACGGACAGACTCCTCTTCAGTCTGAGGGGAAAGGCGCTGCGGAGTGTCAGCGCCTTTCGCCTTTGTGTATAATGAAACTCCACACAAACACAAGCAAAGAACGTTGTTTTGGGGTTTTTTAAGGCTCCCAATATGGACAGTTGTCAAGGGTCACGTGGCCTCGCTTCCCTAGGCCCCCGCCACGCGCAAAGCCCCCTGGGACCTGTAGTTTGGACTCGGAGGCTGAGGCTTTCGCGCATGCGCAGAGGCATATGCCCCCTCCACGAGCTCCTTTTATCTTCCGTGGAGAGCCGCGAACGTGGGAACGGTGCTGCACGCGCTCCTGAGCCTTTTGCCTTAGTGACTTCACGGGAGTGTTGTCGACGGGCCTTGGCAATCTTGGCGGAGGACGCGCTCCTCCTCCCGAGTAGGAAGCCGCCTCCTTTCGCTGCCATTCCTGCACCGAAGGGGGTTGGACTAGATGGCCTTTGGGGTACCTTCCGACTCTGTTGATTGCGCTGGCTCGGTATTGCCAAGCACTGACTGGCAGCAGCAGCAGCACTCCAGGGCCTCAGGCAGAGAAAGATCCCTTTCACATCACCTGTTACACAGAATTGTAGAGGTGAAAGGGAAGTCCCTCAAATATCACATAGTTGTTGTTGAGTCGTTTAGTCGTGTCCGCCTCTTCGTGACCCCCTGGACCAGAGCACGCCAGGCACTCCTGTCTTCCACTGCCTCCCGCAGTTTGGTCAAACTCATGCTGGTAGCTTCGAGAACACTGTCCCACCATCTCGTCCTCCTTCGTCCCCTTCTCCTTCTGCCCTCCATCTTTCCCAGCACCAGGGTCTTTTCCAGGGAGTCTTCTCTTCTCAGGAGGTGGCCAAAGTATTGGAGCCTCAGCTTCAGGATCTGTCCTTCCAGTGAGCACTCAGGGCTGATTTCCTTCCGAATGGAGAGGTTTGATCTTCTTGCAGTCCATGGGACTCTCAAGAGTCTCCTCCAGCACCAGAATTCAAAAGCATCAATTCTTTGGCGGTCAGCCTTCTTTATGGTCCAGCTCTCACTTCCATACATCACTACTGGGAAAACCAGAGCTTTAACTATACGGACCTTTGTTGGCAAGGTGGTGTCTCTGCTTTTTAAGATTTAAGATTTGTCATTGCTTTTCTCCCAAGAAGCAGGCGTCTTTTAATTTCGTGGCTGCTGTCACCATCTGCAGTGATCATGGAGCCCAAGAAAGTAAAATCCCTCACTGCCTCCATTTCTTCCCCTTCTCTTTGCCAGGAGGTGATGGGACCTAGTTGCTAGACTGCAACTCCCATCAGGGGGGAGCCAAGGCCAATCTAGTCCACCCTCCTGCAAACACACGTTCGGAGGCCGCCCAGCCCTCCGCTTGAAAGCCTGTATGGCAGGCATAGGCAAACTCAGCCCTCCAGATGTTTTGGGACTACAACTTCCATCATCCCTGACCACTGGTCCTGTTAGCTAGGGATGATGGGAGTTGTAGTGCCAAAACAACTGGAGGGTAGAGTTTACCTATAACTGCTGTATGGGAAGAGAGAGAGAGAGAGAGAGAGAGTCGTTCACCTCCTCCTCCTGAGGAAACCTGTTCTGCAGTTGGAGCGGCTTGCTCAGTCTGTGCTTCTTCGTAGCACAAATTCCCCCCCCCTTCTCATTTCAGCCCCTTGCTTTGGATCTGACCCTCTGGAGCGGCGGGGAATCAAATTTAGGCTAGGAGGCCATCTCAAGTCAGGCCACCCGTACAGCTAGCTCAGTGCTGTTAGCATATATCTGAAGATTGCGTTCGCATCCGTTCGCCTCTTCAGTAGGCTAGGCAGCCTTAGGGTTTGGTCTTCAGCACCCCTCTCCAACTTTGCCACCCTTCTGTCAATGCCCAGTATATTGATATTCTCATAGAATCATTGAGTTGGAAAAAGGTAAAGGTAAAGGGACCCCTGACCATTATGTCCAGTCGCGGACGACTCTGGGGTTGCGGTGCTCATCTCGCTTTACTGGCCAAGGGAGCCGGCGTACAGCTTCCGGGTCATGTGGCCAGCATGACTAATCCGCTTCTGGCGAACCAGAGCAGCGCACGGAAACACTCCCACTCCTCATCCAAGTCCTAGTCTGACTACACTTGACTCTCACAGTGACTTTAGGCTGATTTAAAAAAGGCCTGTCATAATCCACTTGGGAGAGCATTAGAGTCTTAATCTCAGGGTTGTGGGTTTGAGCCCCAGTTTGGGCAAAAGATTCCTGCGTTGCCAGAGGTTGATGATCCTCACAGCCCCTTCCAACTCCACAATTCAAATAACTGAAAGCCTCTCTTTAAAATGCAAAAAGCAGGTTAATTCGTAATTGAAAACAAAATCTTGTTTGCCAACCTTGGAGCAAGGACGCTGAAGGTGCAGAGCACCCGTTTTCGAAATAAGCAAATGAGCCATCCTGTTTCCATGACGCTGTGATACAAACCAGAGTTAAAAGACACTACAGGAAGGGCTGTGTATAGAAGGTTTCTTTGAGGGTGTATGGAAACCAAGCCGTCTTCTGCTGCTTCTTAGCCTTTCCCCCAATGGGAAAACCCAACAGTGCATCTTCACTCAGCAATCAGGAAGTCTTACTGAAGTCCAGGGAGCTTTACTCAGGATCTGATTTCTTTCCGCAGGCCCTGTAAGACAGAGTTGTTCCGCCTGGCCTTTGGCTTGGAATCAACTTGATCCCCTCCCTCTCTTTCCTTTTTCCTTCTGTGATGGAACTCCTATTTGGGGACTTCCCTGGCTTTTTTCTGGCCCACATAGGACCAGTCTGGATAGTTGGCCTTGGTGTAGACTTGACGTTTTCATCCCCCAAAAAGTTTTTGATTTGAGTTTCTACTGAAATGAGGCTGCATTTTAATGTTGTTTTTAAGTTGTATTTTAATCAATTGTTTTTATACTTGGTTTTAGCTGCCCTGAGCCCGGTCTTGGATGGGAGGGTGGGGAATAAATAAAATTTATTATTATTGTTGTTGTTGTTACTCCCAAGTAAGCCAGTGGTGCTGCAGCTGTTACCCTGGTTGCCTTCTGACCTGGAAGAGGCCTGGGTTCAAATAATAATAATAAATAATAAAAATAATCCAGTATGGATAGTTGGCCTTGGTGAAGATTTGACGTTTTCATCCCCTAAATTTTTTGATTTGAGATTCTACTGAAACGAGGCTGCATTTTAATTCTGTTTTTAAGTTGTATTTTAATCAATTGTTTTTATACTTGGTGTTAGCTGCCCTGAGCCCGGTCTTGGCTGGGGAGGGCGGGGTATAAATAAAATTTATTATTATTATTATTACTCCCAAGTAAGCCAGTGGTGCTGCAGCGGTTACCCTGGTTGCCTTCTGACCTGGAAGAGGCCTGGGTAATAATAATAATAATAATAATAAAAAATCCCCATTAAGTTCACTGGGGCGGCCTCACTATGAGCCTGCCTACCTCACAGGGCTGTTGTGAGGGATAAAATGGGGGGGGGCACCATGTACATGCCCCCTTAAACTCCTTATTTATTGCTCAATGCAATAAATAAATAAATAAATAAATAAATGGCACAGAAATGAAAAAAAAGTCTTCGCTGCAGGAAGGAGAGCAAAGCAACGTGGGTTTTTCAGCAGCACCTCCCACTGCGCATGCGCGATGGATGGTGCCGCCAGGCTCTTTCCGCCCGGCCCCGACGAATCTGAGCATGCGCGAAGACCGATGTGTTCCTCGAGGGCGAGCCGAGTCCTCCCTTCGCATTACCGCATTTCCATCTTCTCCCAGCGACGTGACCCGGATTGGGCTGCGGCGCGTGCGCAGTTCGGCTTCCTTTCCCCCTCCTCGCGCCCCGCTCGCTGGAGCGAGGGTTGGTTAGGGTGAGGCGCGTGCCTGTGCGCGTGCGCGCCGCGAGGGGTTTTTTGTTTTTGTTTCGGCGCATGCGCGAGAGCGACCGGGGAGGCGTTGAGGGGTGGGGGAAGGGGCGGGAAGGAAAAGGCGGCAAAATTCTAACCTGAAAAATCTTAAGCGCTTCCCCTCAGTCAGTTTCTGGTGAGGTAATTAAAAGGGAAGAAAAGCGCTACAGTTTGAGCCAAAGGGGGAAAAAAGCCGCAACCAAAGGCCTCTGATTACATATAAGAAGACTCATTTTGCGGGGGTTTTAGAATAAAATACCTCGCTGAGGAGAGGAGAGCGCCTTTTTCTGATAGGTATACGTGAGGAAAAAGGCAGCACCTCAGCATCCACTAATAATAATAATAATAATGATAACTTATTGTTTATACCCTGCCCGTCTGGCTGGGTTTCCCCAGCCACTCTGGGCGGCTTCCAACAAAACACTAAAATACAATAACCTATTAAACATTGAAAGCTTCCCTAAACAGGGCTGCCTTCCGATGTCTTCTAAAAGTCAGATAGCTGTTTATTTCCTTGACATCTGATGGCCCCCAGATTTTGACATCATCATTATAAAGCACAACAAGCAATAAATGAGGTTTATTTTACCTCATGAAATTCTCCTCAGCGGCTCCTGGGTGCTTCGTGGGAGCCGAAAATAATAGTGGCGATAGGCAGCAGAAATAGTAATAATTACCAGTGCTGCAGATATCAAAACAGAGCCTTTCAAAAAGGGGCTTTTATACTCAGTTGGAATAATTAATGTTTACTTCAAAACTGAACGTTGCCTACCAGAAGCTTTATGTGTTTTGATCCTTAAACTCACTTGCCAGTTTAAAAAGGGATCCAATGGATCTATCTACATGATTCTATGAGAAATTTGATGTTATCTTGTGTAGTATGCGAAAAAGGGCATCAAAATTTGGCTCAAAGGCAGCAAAATGGTGTCTTAGAAAAGAATTTAGGTTTATCCTTTGTGAGTACAATCCTGCCGACATTCACACTTTTCCCATTTCCGTTTATTTTCTTGCATCCCTTCAGCTCATGCTTCAACCTCTCCCACTGGGGAAAAAATGTTGTATTGACTTCAGGTAACTTCATCCCAGCTTATTGCCAAAAGAGAAAAAAGTGCTTATGGACAATTAAAAAACCGAAAAAACAAACACAAGTAAACATCCTTAAAAACCAGCAATTGTCTAAAACAGGGAGATCTAGCAGCAAATACCAGTAAAATATACCGTAATTTAAAATAAAATAAAATGGTGGTAAAACAGTTGTACTGATAATATAAGAGGAGAAGGCAGCTTCTGCCTGGTAACCACCACATGCCTAATCTTCAAAGATGGCGGGTGAGGAGCAGGGATCCAAGCAGATCTAAGTTGGAATGGGTAGATTCCTAGGGGAGAAGATGATCCCTATAGATACGGCCAGCACTGCCACATCCTCCAACAGTTAAAGTTTCCTCGGAGTTTTTAGAAGGGGCTTATTTACAATCTCCATCAAGCCATGCACGTCTGTGGGCAGATCATCTCTCCCCTGGAGACACTCTTCATATCTGAATGTGCTTAATTTTACCTGAATCCTACCTAGTATATTTAAGAGTATTTTGGGTGCCCAAGTTGCAGCCCAAAGGATTCCCAAAAGCACCCAACATCCTTGTTAAAACCTGCCGTGCAATCCTATAGGGAAGTAAAGCCCTGTTGTTCAGTGAGGTTTACTCTCAAGTAAGCGTGCATTAGAACTCTATCTTCATTAAACCCATTTAATTGAATGGATTTAAAGGCATCGGATAACTTGGTGTTGGATTGCGGCTTTCTTCAGACAGTCGTTTTTAGATCCTTATAAAATAGTTGGCTAAAGAGCTCAAGATTTTAGATTATCAAGATTTGAGGGTTTGGGTGGCAGGGCTGTGATGAAATTCTAGCTCTATAAAAAAATATACTGAACTCTCAATCCCACTTTCTTGAGAGTTGTGTAATCAGAGAAGGAAATAAACACAACCCCACATTTATGATCGCAATGAATGGATAGAAGTCTCTTTTAAGCAAATCCAAATATGCTATTGAAAGATGGGACCGACACATGTGGTTAAAAAAGAAAAGTGTGAGAGAAAACACATTTCACATCATAACTCCCAGACACACCAGCTATAAAAACAAGCTCCTGCTTGTTCTGAAACCACAGAGTCAGTTTTTCCCCCTCACAAAATTTAAATGGCTAATACTGTATTTGTTTCTCTGGCTTTCATGGAATTGCAGGCTAGCTGGATCAATACTATGTTACCAGATTTTCATAGAATCATAGAATCATAGAGTTGGAAGAGACCACAAGGGCCATCGAGTCCAACCCCCTGCCAAGCAGGAAACACCATCAGAGCACTCCTGACATATGGTTGTCAAGCCTCTGCTTAAAGACCTCCAAAGAAGGAGACTCCACCACACTCCTTGGCAGCAAATTCCACTGTCGAACAGCTCTTACTGTCAGGAAGTTCTTCCTAATGTTGAGGTGGAATCTTCTTTCTTGTAGTTTGGATCCATTGCTCCGTGTCCGCTTCTCTGGAGCAGCAGAAAACAACCTTTCTCCCTCCTCTATGTGACATCCTTTGATATATTTGAACATGGCTATCATATCACCCCTTAACCTCCTCTTCCCCAGGCTAAACATGCCCAGCTCCCTTAGCCGTTCCTCATAAGGCATCGTTTCCAGGCCTTTGACCATTTTGGTTGCCCTCCTCTGGACACGTTCCAGTTTGTCAGTGTCCTTCTTGAACTGTGGTGCCCAGAACTGGACACAGGACTCCAGGTGAGGTCTGACCAGAGCAGAATACAGTGGCACTATTACTTCCCTTGATCTAGATGCTATACTCCTATTGATGCAGCCCAGAATTGCATTGGCTTTTTAGCTGCCGCATCACACTGTTGGCTCATGTCAAGTTTGTGGTCAACCAAGACTCCTAGATCCTTTTCACATGTACTGCTCTCAAGCCAGGTGTCACCCACCTTGTATTTGTGCCTCTCATTTTTTTGCCCAAGTGCAATACTTTACATTTCTCCCTGTTAAAATTCATCTTGTTTGTTTTGGCCCAGATCTCTAATCTGTCAAGGTCGTTTTGAAGTGTGATCCTGTCCTCTGGGGTGTTAGCCACCCCTCCCAGTTTGGTGTGATCTGCAAATTTGATCAGGATGCCCTTGAGTCCATCATCATATGTAATTTTGCAATTACATATTTCTCTGTAACTCGTAAAAGAAGCTAGATTTGCATATGGTTTAAGAACATAATTGCATTAAGAGCCCTGCTGAATTGCGCCAAAGGCCTATGCAGTGGTGATCTTCAGGGTCCCTTCCAACTCTGCAATTCTATTAGTCAGTTTCTATTATTGTTTAGCTCCTGATCTACTCCCCTTCTCATTTGAATTAGATTGGAGTAGTCCACACCAGCGTGCATTTGAATTTGGGGAGCAACTTTGCTCTTCCCCATTCATTACCAGGAGGCATTCCTACTTTGGGCTCCTTCACACTTCCGCTTCTCCTGCCTCTTCCCCCAGGGGAAGCCTGGCTTCAAGTTACAGAAAGGGAGTTTGTGATTTAAACACCAGGAAGAACTTTCTGACCGCAAGAGCCATTCAACAGTGGAATGGTTTCCCTCTGGAGGTAGTGGACCCTCCTTCCTTGGAGGTTTTTAAGCAGAGGTTGGATAACCATCTGTCACCGATGCTTTAGCCGAGATTCCTGCATTGCAGGGGGTTGAACTAGATGACCCCCAGGGGTCCCTTGAACTAGATGACCCCCCGGGGGTTCCTTCCAACTCTACAGTTCTTTGATTTCTATGAATCGGAACAAACACCAACTGGGCTTTCCATGGAATTGACATTTGATCCGATTCAGCGATAAAGAGTGGGCTTTCCTGGGGAAGGGACACGGGTGGCGCTGTGGGTTAAACCACAGAGCCTGGGACTTGCCGATCAGAAGGCCGGCAGTTCGAATCCTCGCGACAGGGTGAGCTCCCGTTGCTCAGTCCCTGCTCCTGCCAACCTAGCAGTTCGAAAGCACGTCAAGTGCAAGTAGATAAACAGGTACTGCTCCGGCGGGAAGGTAAACGGCATTTCCGTGCGCTGCTCTGGTTCTCCAGAAGCGGCTTAGTCCTGCTGGCCACATGACCCGGAAGCTTCCTCGGCCAATAAAGCGAGATGAGCGCCGCAACCCCAGAGTCGGCCACGACTGGACCTAATGGTCAGGGGTCCCTTTACCTTTTACCTTCCTGGGGAAAGTGGCAGAATGCCTCTCAGGCCTGTGCTTTCTAGACATGAGACAAGGGGAGATGTGGACAAGCAAGACGGGCATAGCCAAGGGGGGGCAGGGAAGGGCAGCTGCCCTCCCAAAATAATAAAAATACATAGCTAACTGAGGTTCTGCCCACCCCAACAAAAGGCCTGCCCCTGTAACTAAAATCCTGGGATGAGCCCATAGTTGAGTTAGTTGATTCTGTAATGCTGATTAAGTACCAACAGGGCACGCACACAGATTTCCCTCTCTCTTTTTTTGGGAAAGAGAGTGCTGGAAAAACCGTATTTTTCTGTGTATAAGACGCCCCCTATTTTGGGGGACTCAAAATTAAGAAAATGGGGGGAGATTTCCCCCGTGTATAAGACTACCCCCCTTTTTCCCGTCTTATATACGGAACAGTACAGTAATTCCAAGCACAGCCAGAAACTAAATGAAAGCACTGAGGAAGTAGTGGGCATGGAAAAGGACATAGCAGAAAGTGGTGACTGATATATCCACCTCAAAACACTGAAATAAATAGTTAAGAATCCTGAGTGGAGTGGTTTGGAGCCCAAGCCCCCTGCAGTTCATTGGATTATGCTTGTTATAGCGTAAACTCCAATATACAGGGAGGAAGCGCTGAGATTTGTGTTGTTTGAGGGTAAAGTCAAGCGGACGATCCGAATGGGTTTTGTGAGAACTTTGCTGCTAGGGGTCAATATTCCCACATCTTTCTTTGCTTGTGCTCCTGGGAGGGAAAGCCCAACTGTTAAACTTAGATTTCTTACACAGAAATGTATTCGGTGTAGAAAGCCTTGTTTCAGCCCCCATGCAAGTGATATCAGGGGTCCTATTATTCACCAATTACTTCCGCCTCATGAGAACTAGAAACCTGTATTTTTTAAGAAACAAAAAAACCTCACAATATGATTGCTGGGAAGGCAGAGAAAGCCCAAGGCACTGGGAAGTGCTCAGAGCTAGTTGCTTCACCTGGCAACTTTTCCTGCTTTCTGATTCTGCGCTCCTCAGAATGCGAAGAAGAGACTCATTGTGTTATATGGAGACTCGGTGTTCTGAAATGAAGAGCAGCCCTCTGGAGTTTCAGGTTCAGAGGCAGCAATGCCGCCCAGGGGAATATCAGTTGCTCAGGAGAGATAGTGAGTGAGACAGCTATTGCCTCCCTGCTCTGCTCCTGGGCTTCCAGCGGGCTACTCTAGTAAGCAGAAACCTGTGTTGTGAATATCTATGTGCATTTTATTCATAACAGCTGGATTAAACAGGTCTTTGGTCTGAGCCAGCAGGGGTCTTCCAATGTTCTTAAAGACAAGGACTCCTTTGCACCTCTGCTATGTTCCTGAAAGGTCACAGTCCCTTGAACTCACCGTACAAGAGGGTTGAACTTATTTGAGATCGCATAGAAGAATCTAAACCAGCCTGGCGCATGTAACTGTTGTAAAGCAGCACTGATCGTGGTTACAGTTTTGTTTCTAATTGTGTGTGTGTGTGTGTGTGTGTGTGTGTGTGTGTGTGTGTGTGTGTGTAGTGTGCTGTTCAATATTAATTTGGAATTGTGACTGGTCAGTCACCTACTGAAACATTTTTGGTGTCAGAGTGAGCAGCGTTTAAACCCAGCGAAGAGTAGATTTTACTTGTAATCACATACATAGAAAATAACGTAGGTAAGAAAACTAGAGTGTTTACTGTACGAAATACCTATATCGGATAGAAAAATTAGCTCCTTTGCTTGCTCTTTTGTTTTCTCAGAGGATAGATGACCTCTCATTTTGAAGTCCAAGAGAGAAGTGTGAGAAGGAAATTGTAAAATAAGTCTGTCAATGAGATAGGAAGTCAGATCACGAAGTTAAAAGTGCAGGGGTAGTCTGGGAGTCTGGAGATTCCTCACTCCATTTTAACCCATGAAATACTATTCAAACTTCCAACAGCATCCACTTTGATTTTTAAATAACAAATGAAAAGGCAGGGCTGATGGTCGTATTAAATGAATAAAACCAACACTTCCTTATTTTTCCTGCTAAGAAGTTTCTGACCACCTGACCAGCAGTATTCACTCTGCTTCCGGGGCCTTGTTGTGTCCTGTATTTTTTTTGACAGGAACCAGGCAGCATTGGCCCCGTTTTAACGGAGAGAGGCCATTTGTCAACTAAATCCTGGTTGCGTAACCTTATCAAGCCTTAACAATAACCTTAATGCAAAACAGAAAATGTAAGGGGGGAGGTATTTATTATCCAGATTAATTAACCCAGTGTCAAAAAGTTCTGGTTTTGTGAATGCTCCCTCCGATATAATTTAGACCTGATGTTTCCCTACCTCCAGAGAGGGCTGCCAGCTTTTTAGGAGAAGAGGGGTCTCTGCCATGGGCGTAGCCAGGATTTTTGTTGGGGGGGGGCGCAGAACCTCAGTTAGCCACTGATTCTTATTGATTTAGTGGGGCAGCTGCCCCTCCCTGTCCCCCCTTGGCTATGCCCATGGTCTCTGCCTTTTTCACAATAGGCGGAAATCAACAGGTGGTACTTCTGCGGTGAATCTGAATACCTTAATAATTGGTTTTTGCTTGCTGTGCAGTGCAAGAATGAATGTAAGAATGTAAAAAGAGCCCGGCTGCTGGATCAGGCCAAAGGTCCATCTAGTCCAGCATCCTGTTCTCACAGTGGCCAGACAGGTGCCTATTATGGGAAACCTGCAAGCAGGATTTGAACACACCTGTGTTCTCCCCACTTGTGAATCTCAGCAACGGGTGTTCAAAGGTATCCTTAGACGGTGGAGGGTAGAACATAGGCATCATTATTAACAGTATAGATCCTCCCTATTTTAAAAAAAAAATCAGTTGTTCCTAGGTAGGAAAGCTATAAGGTCCAATTTACATTTGAGAGAACGTTCCAAGATCACACCGTTTAATTCCAAATTAATATTGAACATCACACTACACACACAATTCTGTAAATAATGCTTTGACTGCATTGAGAACCGCTCACGGATTTTAACTGTGGTTAGATTACGCAGTTGGGATTCCTATCTGAAGCTAGGATTTAGGAAATGCAGGGAAATCCTGGGGCCGTTCCCCGTCTTTTATCTTCTCAAAGAACATAATAACTCTTTAAAAAGAAAAACAGCTAATCATGTATTTTTATTGCTTTCTCTTCCTTCCCCTCCTCTCTCGTTTCTTAAGTTAGACGAAAAACGCACACCTCCCGGTGTAGACACACTGCTGATACATAATGGCAAGTCAGAACAATAAAGGCGGTAAGATCAGTGTGTGCTCCATTTATTTATTTTAAAGGAAGTACTGTGTGGTGTGGGCGTGTTTCTCAGGCGCAAGTAGCGTGCGGGGCAGGGGGGAGAGCTGCTCCTGCTCCTGCTCCTGCTCCACACAGTGCTACAAAGAGCAACTCCCCTAGCTCTTTACCACCACCACTTTCTGCAAGCTCTTAAAGAAATTGCAAAAACTGCTCCATTTTATCCTTCCAGGGGACGGAAAGAAGTTGTGTGTGTGTGTGTGTAAGTAGTGGTGGCGGCAGCAGCAGCAGCAACATGTGTCCCTAGATGTGCATTTAAGCACTAGAGATAAGAATATCGTGTTTTCCAGTTAAAATTGTGGTTTTGTTTCCCAGATGATGCCAAAGCTGAAAACTGTCAATTTCGCTCTTGTCAAAAGCAAGGAAATGAGATTGACAAAGGTTATTCTCTGCTTTGAGAGGGAGTGTGAACTCACACCACAGTCTTCCGATGCAGGAGTTTACTCATACTGTATTCTGGAGCATTGAAATAAAAGGATGGCAGCAGTAATTAACCATATATATATACACACACACACACACACACACACACACACACACACAGGATTTAGAAGGCTTGAGCAGTGCCTTCCAGATGTTTTTGACACCAACTCCCATCAGCTCCAGCCTGCACAGCTGGAGACTGACAGGTTGAGGAAGGCCTTGGATTTTCTGTCTCAGGCAGCAAAATATGTTCTGTGATGTTACTATGTTACTAGCCATATGTTATTATGTGCTAAACAACATGATGTGTTTTCTGCAACTTCAGAAGCTGGGAAAGTGCCCAAAAGAACGTTTGCTCCCCCAGTAGCTAAACCTCACGAGCTCTTTGCAAAAGGGGAACTGCTAGAGCTCCAGGACAAACAGGAAGGTGCTGAAACTAAAGGCATTCCTGCTCCTCTGCACCATGCCCATGCACCACGTGACAGAATTGCAGCCAAGCCCGTCAAAACACCGAAAGCTCAAGATAAGAGGAAGAAAGGGAGCCCTCCTGCTAGGACTGTAAAGGAAGAAGACTGCAAGAAGGATCCAGGCATGGCCAGAAATGTAGGTGGTGGAAATGCAGATGATTATCATTATTTATTGAATTTATATACCGCTATTTATATTTACGGTATATTTATGTACCGCTATAGGACGGGGGTGGCGCTGGTCTTGCTGATCAGAAGGTCGGCAGTTCGAATCCCCGTCATGGAGTGAGCTCCCGTTGCTCGGTCCCTGCTCCTGCCAACCTAGCAGTTCGAAAGCACGTCAATGTGCAAGTAGATAAATAGGTACATCTCCGGCGGGAAGGTAAACGGCGTTTCCGTGCGCTGCTCTGGTTCGCCAGAAGCGGCTTAGTCATGCTGGCCACATGACCTGGAAGCTGTACGTCGGCTCCCTCGGCCAGTAAAGCGAGATGAGCGCCGCAACCCCAGAGTCGGTCACGACTGGACCTAACGATCAGGGGTCCCTTTACCTTTACCTATTTATTATACAGGTTTGCTCCCTCAAGGGAGGATTTTTCCAAGTCAAATCTTCAGAGCTCTCTCCTTGGAAGCTCTTGGTAGATAACAACTCTAAAAAGCATATTTTAAAATAGTTAACATCCCACCCCGCAAAAACCACTGAAAGTTTTGCCCTTCTCGTTTTCAGAGGATACTTAAGTTGAGGGTTGCTTGGCCTGTGGATAGAGGGCCTGCCATGGTTGAGGGAAAGACCCCTCTGCATATGTTCAGAAGCACCCTCATCTTTATTCTTCCACATGCCCCAGGGCTGATCCCTGGCAATGGTTGAAAGCTTGTTAAATTTTGGCTCGGACTAAGCTATGAATGAGTCACATTTACCTCTGTACCGCTAGGGCACCGTGATGATACTTTGTGTTGCTGGGATGTAATCAACATACGTTAGAGACGCACTGCTTCAGGGACCTTTCTCCTAGCTCAGAGTTTTCTGCTATTGAGAAAACTTGGGAAATGTGGTGTTTACAGTCAACAACAGAGGCATCCCTTTCTCTGAGGAGGTGTAGACTTAGGACTAATCTACACTGGTCGGTTATAACATTAAATATGAGTTATAAAAATTTGACACCAGTGGGAGCTGCAGAGCTGCGAACTGCTGGCAATGGAAAAATACATTGCGCGATGTATAACAATATTTAACGTTGTTTTTACAGTCATACCTCGGGTTGAATACGCTTCGACTTGAGCGCGTTCAAGTTGCGCTCCTCGGCAACCCGGAAGTAACGGAGCGTGTTACTTCCGGTTTCGCCGCTTGCGCATGCGCAGATGCTCAAAATGACGTCACGCACATGCGCAGAAGCGTCGAAAAGCGACACGCACATGCGCAGTCTTGCTATCGCTAGTTACGTTTACTTCTAGATGCGAACGGGGCTCCGGAACGGATCCCGTTCGTATCTAGAGATACCGCTGTAATAGTGTTTTTAGAGATCAATGTAGATCCAGCCTTTAAAGCCCACATGAAATTTATATTCCTCCCCTCTCTTTTTTTCAGTTGGGGAATAGCTTGCCAGAGGTTATGATTTTCTTTGGCAGTTATTAAGCGTGGGCCTTGCTAACCTTATTTTTAATGTAAATTTCTTCCGAAGTTCAATAGCTCCTCTTCAGCAGGCCTTAAGCTATACTCACGAAAGGCAAGAGCACCACCCAGATTTGAATTAAAATGTGTGGAAATAACTTCAGGCAATGAGCGAGCGGTGCTGTGGGAAACAATCAGATAAATTCTTGTATTGCAGGGGGTTGGACTAGATGGCCCTTGGGATGTCTTCCAGCTGTGAGATTCTGTGATTCTATGAAAACTGTTCCCACAGGAAGCAAGCTAAACTTCTCTGAGGGAAGGTGTAAAATCTTGCACTGAAGGAATCTCATTATACAGGCCTCATTTTGCAGCTCCATATTTCTGGGACAGAAGAGTGCTATGGTTACGACCATCAGGTGCTTGCTTACCATTCTTCCACCAGTAAATACTCAGACCAGTTAACAAACAAGGCCAAAACCCATCTATATAAATAATACATAATATTAAATATTAAGACACATTAAAATCTATTTAAAACGTTCAACTAAAATAATTAAAAAACAGGGCTAAAGCTAGCGATTCAAAACTGGTTTGACTAAAAATGTTTTCCATTTCTGTCTAGAAGACAATGGAGGGAGAGCCGGGTGAATGACCACAGGGAAGTCATTCCAAAGCCCCAGCCAGGTCCCTCGTGCTCATTTCCTGGGAAGCAGAGCCTGCAAGGCAGGTTTTAAAGTGGGGCAGGTTGACCTGGGAGCAGGTGGTCCATGTGGTAACTGGGTCCAAGACCATTTAGGGTAGGGATTCCCAACACGGAGCCATGGTGCCCTCAGACATTGTTTTTAAAAAAACATTTTTTTAATCACCATGGTTGGGCTGGGCTGGAAAATAAAGAGCAGGCACATACTGTAGACAACATGCCCTTCCCCCAGAATGTTTCTGGGCATCACATTTAATCATAGAAATGTTGTGCTGGAATGGACCTTCCGCAAGGGTCATCTAGTCCAACCAAAAATAATACATTTATTTATTCACAAAAGTTTTATTCTACTTGATTCTAAGCAGTTTGCAGTTGTGGGTATTTTGCCTGTACAGTGGTACTACGGGTTAAGTTCTGGAGGTCAGTTCTTAACCTGAAACTGTTCTTAACCTGAAGCACCACTTTAGCTAATGGGGCCTCCTGCTGCTGCCGCACAGGATTTCTGTTCTCATCCTGAAGCAAAGTTCTTAACCTGAAGCACTATTTCTGGGTTAGCGGAGTCTGTAACCTGAAGTGTATGTAACCTGAAGCGTATGTAACCTGAGGTACTACTGTATTTTTCTTTGTTTTTTGAGAGGGTTGCTTTGTTTTTGTTTGTTGGGGGGGTTGCTTGTTTGGTTTTAGTGTTGCCTGCTTTTTTGCCTGCTTTTTATTTTTTTATTTGGTGTGTGTATGTCAGTGTTCTGCCTCATGCTTTTTTTGGAGGGGGTTTCTGAGAACTGGCAGTTTTTCTTTTGTGGAAAGGGTATTTTATAGTGACTGCAGCTATGCGTAAGATACATAAATGACCCTTGGTTTAAGGCTTTACACTAGCAAACGACCTTGAAAACAGAGCAGTAATAAAGAACTACGTAGAATGAATCCAGAGACAAATATGTTCTGATTACTGAGGACCAAATAAAAGCCTGGTCGCTGCATTTTGGACCAGCCGATGTTTCAAAACTGTTTTAAAAGCAGCCCCTCTGCCAATGCTAGCCTGGGGCCTATGCTTACTATACAGGGCGTGGTACTGTTACATTTGCTCATCTTTTGGCAGGAAGAAGGTGGCCTCACCGATGCACAGTTCGAGGAGATTGTCCAGAGTGCGCTTCAGAAGCCTTTGCAGGAGTGTATGGGTATGCTGGTTGGGGTGGGGGAGAGACACAAGGGCAGAAAGATGTTGCTGTAACATAGACATGGCCACTAAAATCTGAGGCACTTCACACACAAACACTTGGTCTTAATGTCAGTTGGTTTTATTGCATGGTTCCCTTGAGGGGCAAGGATGGAACGGACAAGGAGTGTTTAGTCCCCCAAAAGGCCCTCTGAATGACCCCTCCCCACAGCAGCAACGTAATATTGTGTTAACAGAAAGCAGGAATGAAGGAGGCTAGAGACGGAGAGCTGAAACTGGCTCCCCCCCCCCCTTGGTTACCGCAGCTAGATGCTGCTTAAACTCTTGCAGTACTTGCTTTGCCATCTGCCATGAGTTGTGCCACTACAGTTGCAATCATATTCCTACTTACCTGGAAGTAACCCCCTTGAATTAAGTCATACTTACATCTGAGAAGCTCTGTTAATGGCTGAAACCTTGGAAGCCTGTCAACTTTTGAAGATAATGTTTGGGAGCTGGCAGTGATTATTGCTCAAGCCAACATCAAACTATTTTATGAACTCATAATCCTTCAGGGCTTAGCTATTTAAAGCTGTTTTGCTTTTTTATTTCCAGAAGACTCTGCGAAGAGAACCATTTCGGCAAAGCCTACTGAGAAACAAGATCTGGGAAGGTGAGTTGCACGGCTGCATATTCGGCCTCGCTGCTGAAGGCGGGGCGCTCTTCACATTCCCAGAGGCATTCCCAAGCCGTTCCTCAAAAACAATTTCTGTAATTTGCACCTTGAACGTTGTGGGCTTGTTCTTCGCTACTGCAGGGAAGGAGCTGACCAGAACCCAAAGTGCTGCAAGCAAGGAGACCCTAAAGCAGGGCCCAGGGAACCTTTTTCAACCCGAGCGCCACATTGCCTCCTAGAGAACCTACTGTGGCGGGTGTGTGTGTGTGTGTGTGTGTGTGTGTACCTGACAGTGGTGGACAGTGCCAGAGGCAAAAGCAGGCAGGGCAATTGATGCAGATTTTACCTTTGTACAGTTTCTACACATACTCTCACACCCTTCTCTATCCTCCATCCATCCAGGCAAGCAAAGTGTTAAGTTGTGGGTGAACATATCAGACGACACAGCGATTCTCCAAACAGCTCTTGTTTATTCACAGGTCAGAACAGAACTAAACTGAAGGGTTCAGCCAGCCTGCTTATATAGAGCTCCACTACAACGCAACTGTAACACTTTCTGTAACTATCCAATCACTGAACGTCACTTTCGATCCCTTATTTGCATATGTGGACCTGAACTATCTACAGTATCCCCCTGTTGGCCCAGGGTGAGAACTTCAGTACATAACACAAAGGGCATTATCAGTGGTCAGGAACACATTCCAGCCAAGCACAAACACTCAAGGAGGGCGCAAAGCGGGGCCGTTGAGGGGTGTGTGGCCTGAGGAGATTTCCAAGTGCCAGACAGAAATGCCTGTAGTGTTGCACTTGACTTCTAAACCTGACATTCCCCATTCCTGGGTGGACAAATCAGGCCTGTATTCCTCCTATCTTTCACATGGCGCGGTAACAAAGGCTATCAGCTTTATGTACCTGACATTGTAAAGCAGGTTTGTTGAGCCTTTCCCCACCTGTGTCTTTAGCAGATATGTGACAAGCAGGAATACAGCAGGTGGAGCAGTTCACAACATGCAGCTCTGGCGATGGAGGAAAAGGGTTGCCTGCTTGGTTGTGCTACTGTGAAAGGCGTAGGGCCCCTGCCGGAAAAAAAGATAGCTGGGAACTTTAGTTAGTCAGTATGAATTAGATAAGAAATGTGTGGCGATTTTCCAGCTAAAAAGCGACATAGGAATGATAATGATCATCTTGTAACATCACAGGTAAATCTGAGAGCTTGGATGGTATGGTTCTATTAAGAGGGCAAGGAAAATTATCTCTTGCCAGAGGGAAGAAATGTGAAGGAGGCAGTAAACAAGTCTTGGTGTTGTGTTCCTGTGAGGGCACACCAGCCCCAGCAAGTACAGCTATTTGGAGTTGTAGTCCAAAGCATCTGGAGGGCACCAGGAAGGCTGACCTAAATTAATAAAAAAACCATAGATCTCTACCAGCAGTTTTATATTGCGAATTGCTAAACTTGCTCTGATGCTCCCTGATACGGCCTATTTCAATTTATGGGAGTGTTCTGTGTAAGTTGTGTGTGAATGTTATCTATTGAAGGACATAATGTGAAAGAAATGACTGCTATCAGTGTGGGATTTTCATTCACGTTTGCAAACCAGTGAAAGCAAAAGCTGATTTAAGCCTCAGTTGCGAAAAGAAAGCCCCGAGACTGCCTACCTGGGCAATATTATTTAGAAAAGCAATGCAGGAATCTCCAGGCATGTGAAAATCACGCTTTGGCCTCAGGGTGGTGCCCAAGTACAGGAAATGTCTATGTAGCAGAGTTTAGTTTTAGTTGGTGTTCCCAGGCGCCCTCCTTAGAATATTGTTAAAGAACACCTCCAATGGGAGGATGTTTAGTGGAGAAACAAACGGCAGCAACAACTTTGGTTTCTTACCTTCCCTTTACCAAAAGGTTCATGGGCAACTTAAAATTCAGTTAAAAACAGTTTCAAACCAATTAAGGTCACAGGATTAGGGTAAGTCTTGAAAATATATACAGTGGTACCTCGGGTTAAGTACTTAATTCATTCTGGAGGTCTGTTCTTAACCTGAAACTGTTCTTAACCTGAAGCACCACTTTAGCTAATGGGGCCTCCTGCTGTTGCTGTGCCGCCGGAGCACAATTTCTGTTCTCATCCTGAAGCAAAGTTCTTAACCCGAGGTACTATTTCTGGGTTAGTGGAGTCTGTAACCTGAAGCGTATGTAACCTGAAGCATATGCAACCTGAGGTACCACTGTATCTCAAGTGTCACAGAGACCAAGGCAGGGGTGAACCTAGGCTTTCTTTCACCAGGGTCAAAGACGTTGTTTGGCGCGCACACACACACACACACACACACACACACCCCACACTCATTTGCATACACATGCATACAAGCTGGGAGCCTCAATGTCACCCCTCTGCAGGGGTCACCAGGGCAAACCCCAGCCATGGCTCTGGCCAAGGTAAAGAGGTGTGTCTTCTGCAGAAGGGACGTGGCACTTAACCCTTTCTGCACATATCTTTTCTCTGCCCAAAGCAACTTCCTCTCTGTATCAGGGGGCTCTAAATGTAGCTAATAGTGTCTTTTAGATACACGGGGTAGACAATTAGAGCTGAGAAACAGTGGCAGTGGAAGAGTTAAACTTATTCTCTTAAAAAGCAAACTTTGGGGCTGAAAGAAGGTCCCTTATGTTTCTTGGGAGTGATGTAAAGTTCAGGGAAACCTTCACACAGCATCACTTCCCCTTGGATGAGGAGAGTGCACTCATCTCCATGTTTATTTAGCTACAAATTTTGGGGAATGATCCAGGAGGCTGAAGCCTGTTATGACCTAAGCTACAGCCTTCCCAGGTTCAAGTAGTGGTGGTGAGCGACATTGTTCCTTCCTCTAGGAATGGGGGCGACATTCAAATTCAGTTCTCATTTTAAGGTGAACCTAATTTGCCCTTTCTGAAACACTACGAGAACAAAGCCCCAGCTACCCCTCAAAATTCTCATTTCTCTGAATTTTGAAGTACAGTTCTTCAAGCCAAGTAATGCGTTCAAAAATGTACACAGTAGGTTAAAGTGTGCACAAACATGTGTGCATATTAGTGCAAATAGCATACAAAGGTATTACAGTTAGGGAAAATTGGTCTGCAAAATTATTGGTCAAAATTTTATACAAGCATGGGTATATTTGGAAAAACTAGCACTAAAATGCTGATGACTTTTCATGAGCACTTAAAAAATCCACAGAGATATGGACAACTGATCTTCCCACTGGAGAAATGAGAAACTGAGATTTGCTCACCCCTGCTGGAAACATATCAGTGCAACTTGTATCAATGTCCCCAAGCAGACTAGTTTTCAATATTCCACCCTACTGAAGTAGGCCCCAACTGTGTGCTTGTGCTCTTTTCTTCAGGAAGACTTTGGGGGTCTCTCCAGTGGCGGAGGACGTTGTCTTTGGAAAGAAAAGTGAGGTGATTGTTTCAGAATTGGATCAGAAGCGGCATCTGCTAAAAAAAAAGAACCACGGAACACATTCTGTGAATAAGGACAGACAGGAGAAAAGTAAGCCTATGTACATATTACTATTTACTCTGGCTCTAGTACGCTCCCACTGCTAGTGTTTGAAACTATGTACACATGGCTTTGGCACAATTCATATCCTGTGGTTTCTTGATAAACCCTGTTGTTCAAACTATCTTCCATCCGATTTGAAAAGGAAAGCCACATTCATTTTGCAGTTAAGCAGAGGTATGTATACTTGAGTCAGCCACTGAGCATGCTCAGATGACAGTTTTGTGAATAGGAGTTTTGTGGGGAGGGAATGCAGGCATGCAAAAACCAAACAGGTAATGTGCATCAGGTGAAGACACCCTTGCCCTCTCTTTGGTGTACACAGCAATGTGCAAATGCGATTTGAACCACAGTGGCAGAAACTACCTTGCTATGTTTTAAACCCCTAATGTGTACATAGCCTAAGTCTCTTGCATGAACAAACACTGAGCAAAACACACCAGGGATAAACCTCAGTTGAAATGAATGGGGGCTGTGCAAGATGGGAGCAGCAGGTGCCATTGGCCATGGGCCGAACGTGTCCGGGTGGGTGGGAAGCCTGGCAAAGGGAAGTGACTCAGTACCAGTGCAGCCCTAGGGAGAGGGGCCACAAGCCCTGTGTAGGGCAGAGATCCACATTCTTTCCAGTGTTTCAAAACAAGTTGCTGCTCTTGACTGCTAGGCAGCTCACAGTTTCCTCCCCGCAGTCACCAGCTCCACTGCTGCTGCCACCCCACCACCTCTCTCCCGGTGTTTTTGCAAAGAGGCAAACACGGGCGCGCACAACAACTTGTTTCTCTTTGTCTCCTGGCAGATGAGAAATCAGGAGGAGACAATGGAGGGCGTAAGGAAAACCGGAAAGGTGCGCCCAAGAAGAAAGTTCAAGGCAACGCCCACGTCCGCGTTGACCAAGAGGAAATGCAGGAGAAGGAGGAGGCAGACCGAGGAGGAAGTGGCTGCAGTGAGCTGAACCCTTGCTGCTGCTCCAGAGGGTTTTTAGGGAGGATGGGGGACAAATGGGGATGGGGGATCGAAGGCAGGTCAGCCAGGCTGGCTTTGGAGCTCTGGTGGGCTGCAGTGCTCCTGCCGTTTTTTTGTGCACAGTCCACAGGGGAAAGTCTTGGACATTTGGTGGGGATTGATGCAACCTTAAATAACTTGCTGTAAGAACAAGAAAGCTGAATGACCCACTGCTTAAAAATAATAAAATGAAGTGCATTGCCTCGCATAACACCTACAAAGGAGGCTGCAGAGCTGTTGTTGTTAGATATTCCATTAATTATGGGGAAACTGCCAAGGGTCTTGTGGCACCATAAAGACTATGATGGCAGTAGCTTTCTTTCTTGGCTAGACTTCACCTGCATGAAATTGGCAGACCCATATAGTTGGGAGTATTGGAGGGTGGGGAGGGGGGTGTAGACAGTGGTCCAGGGGGCTGTGGAATATAAGGCTCTGTGACAATGCTTTTAAGCCAACTGTAAGATGAGCACAGCGACCGCCATTCACAACAGCAGTACTAATAGGTGGCATTAGCACAATGATCACTTTGTGAGGTTATTTTACCACCTGTAGTGGGAGAGGAAGCCATTCTCCTGATTTCTAGTCCAGCAGTTTCATCCTGAAGTCTCCCTTTCAAGCTCCTTTGTTGAATAATGATATTTTGGACAGCCGCAGAGTGCCTCGGGAGATTCAAGACCTCTCTCCCACTGGTTTCTGAGTTGTTGCTGTCTTGGATGACAGATTTGAGTCAATTTATTATTTTACATCTCCTGCCATCCTAGCAGTTCGAAAGCACATCAAAGTGCAAGTAGATAAATAGGTACCGCTCCAGTGGGAAGGTAAACGGCGTTTCTGTGCACTGCTCTGGTTCACCAGAAGCAGCTTCGTCATGCTGGCCACATGACCCGGAAACTGTACACCGGCTCCCTTGGCCAATAAAGCGAGATGAGCGCTGCAACCCCAGAGTCGGTCATGACTGGACCTAATGGTCAGGGGTCCCTTTACCTTTACCTATTATTTTACATGGAGGTTGCCTATCCTATGTGTAGAGGGTGGAAAGCATAGATATTAGTCCACAGGAGAAACAAAATCCAAAGTAGGACAACCAAAATGTCAGAAAATCATGAGCACTTTTAAGTTCTCCAGAACTTAAACATCCATCAGGCTGGATGTTGAGGAAAGCAGCGGGGGCGGGTGTGTGTGTGTGAGAGAGAGAATTTGGCATGGTGTTGCAGCCACAAAGTATGCAATTGGTCATTGTGGCTTTAACATCATACCAGCTCTCTCGCTCTCGCTCTCTCTCTCTCTCTCTCTCCACCCTCCTTCAGTTTTCTTTAATATCCAGCCCTTCTGGCTATTGGCATTTTTGTTGTTATTGTTCTGTGTACATTGGAAAAAGACATTGTTGGCAGGTGACGGCATCTATCGTATTCAACAATGAGCAGGTCAGTGTTTTGACTGGTGTTCAGCAAGGACAGGCTTGCCACCCAAGGCACATGAGAAGGAAGTGCCATTGTCTAAACGGGTTGTAAAATCATTGCTGATACTTTGGAGTGGCTTTAATCAGGAGCTGTACATGACAACAAGTGGAGTTGTGTTGCTTGGTCTTCTGTGGTTGTCTTGGGCACAGCTGAAGCACCCTGCATTTCAGAATCCCTGAGTACCTTGGCTTGTGGAAGCCCCAAGGAACAACCAAAGATGGACCCACATCTGGAGAGTTGAAAGCCCCAGTCTCCTCAGAAGATAGGAACACATATCTTCATATGGTAGCCCATAACATAGCTACAATTCATATTAAGACAGATTGCTTTAATCCCCTCTAACAGAAGAATCCACACACTTAAAGTTAGCCTGAGTGATGCTCATCTACTCCACCTGCACCTCCAAGCATGTTCCATAAAGCTGAAGTCCGCTGTTTCATAATTTCCCCCCTTTCATCACTCTAGGCTGGTGCATGGCATGGGTCCAGTGCTCTTATCCAACCTGTGAGAAGTGGAGGCGGCTTAGCAGTGACATAGACCCATCGGTTCTGTCTGAGGACTGGACATGTAGCCAGAACCCAGGTAAAACAGAAGGGAAAGGCAAGCCTTCTCCTGTGGCTCTCCAGATGTTTTTAAACTCCACCTCCCATCAGTCCCAGCCAGCATGATCAATAGTCCGGAAAGTTGTAGTCCATAAATCAGGTGAAGGGAAATACTACTTGAGAAGCTAGAGAGCTGCTTCCAGTCAGAACAGACCAGACTTGGACAACAGCTCCCATCAGCCCTGGGCTGATAAAGAGTTCCAGCCCCAACATTTGGAAGGCACCAGGTTTGGGAAGACTGGTGTATCAGTCTGACCCAGTGAACATGAGATTATAAGGCATCGCCATCATCATATGCTCTTGACCATTGTAAAATCTACCCTTTCAAAACAAAGGCGTCTTGTGGGAGTCTAGAACCTCTTCCAGTCACTGCAATGGGTTGCTTTTGGTGCCTTCTCTATGAGTTATTTTGTTTTGCTGCTGTCACTATGTATTGTACCTTATGCAGCAGTACAAAAGGAAGGGTCCCTGCCCCAAAGGGGCTTGTATTCAGTAAAGGGGAGGGAGAAGTGAAAAGGAGCCGGGGTAGAGAAAATGCATTTATTTCAATTACACAGACTTCCCAGATTCTTTTCAGCGCGGTATTTATTTTCCGTTGCAGATCCCGAGCACAACAGCTGCAGCATTCCAGAGGAAACATGGTCAGGGTCTGAAAACGAGGTGGTCTATGCTGTTTATATTCCTGGGTCAATCGTGTGGGCCAAGCAATATGGATACCCATGGTAGGGAAGGAACACACAACTCTCGGGTGCTTCTAGGCAGAGGTCTGATATCACAAATGAGTCATAGAGGCTGCGTACACACTGTAACTTTAAAGCACATTCAAAGCACATTATTTCCCCTAGAGAATTCTGGGCCCTGTACTTTTCCCTTCACAGAGTTACAGTTCCTGAAACCACCCTTTGGCAAACTACAGTGCCCAGAATTCTTTGAGTGGGGGAAATGTGCTTCAAATGTGTTTTAAAGGCATAGTGTGTACGCAGCCTCAGATACTGCAAACAGGCTGTTTTATAACACTTGATTTTCTGTGGATTAAGTGGGAAGAAATATGGGCTGGCATTTTGATGCTGATGAAGTTATGTAGGCGCTGGGAGACACCTGCATAGATGAGCACCCACCCCACAACAAACAATCATGCTTTTTACTATGTTTTTATCATGGGATGTTTTGTAAAGTGTTTCTAATGTTGTACACTGCCCTGAGATCTTTCGGTAAAGAATGGTATATAAATTGAAATAATAATAATAATAATACTACAGTGGTACCTCTGGTTGCGAACAGGATTCGTTCCAGAGGTGCGTTCGCAATCTGAAAGGAACGCAACCCGCATCTGTGCGTGCGCGGGTCACGATTTGCCGCTTCTGCTCGTGCGTGTGATGTCATTTTGCGCGTCTGCGCATGTGCGAGCAGCGAAACCCGGAAGTAACCCTTTCTGGTACTTCCGGGTCGCGTGGGATGCAACCTGAAAACACTCAACCTGAAGCAAACGTAACATGAGGTATGACTGTAATGATAAGTCCCCCTTTGCCCTTAACATAGGCAAAGATCCTCAACATGTGTTACAAGGATGCAAGTCCCATTGAAACGAATGAGAGTGCCAAATTAGAAAGAGCGAGCCATAAACACAGCAGGGTTTATTTTAAAAAAAACGGGCTTCAGGATATCGTGCAGTGCAATGGCAAGAAAGTATTGATTGTGTGGGCAGCACACTACACCGTGCTAAACAAACCAGTTTTCCATTGCCAACTTATCGTCAGGCTTGGAGCACAAAACAGTAGTCCCAGCACTAGTTAACCAACGCACACACCCCACACCCCAAGGCAAAAATACACCTGCCCAGGTCTCTCAGAGTGAAAACCCCAGTTTTGCTCTGCTGTACTTAAATCTCAGCTCCTTAAAAACCTCAGTTCTATGTGTCTTGATCCCTGCAGTTTTTTCAGCTGCTGACCCTCCTTGAAAGGCTTAGCCAAAATAGCCAATCTTTCTTAGCACCCTTGCCAGTACAGCAGCTGCAGTCTTTTGACAGAAAAACTGGCCAAGAATGGGGCCTCTAAGCCGCAGAAAGGGGAGCTCCCCAGAAACACAGCTTTACTTACATGCCCAGTGCATCTCCGGGCTATATAGAATCTTAGAATTGGAAGGCACCCCAAGGTTCATCTAGTTCAACCCCCTGCAATGCAGGAATCTCAGCTAAAGTGTCCATGACTGATGGCCATCCAAACTCTGTTTAAAAACCTCCAAGGAAGGAGAGTCCACCACCTCTCATGGGAGTCTGTTCCACTGCTGAACAGCTCTTACTGTCAGAAAGTTTTTCCGAAAGTTTAGTCAGAATCTCCTTTCTTGCAACTCGAAGCCATTGGTTTGAGTCCTACCCTCCAGAGCAGGAGAAAACAAGCATGCTTCCTCCTCCATGTGACAGCCCTTAAGATATTTGAAAATGGCTTTCATATCTCCTCAGTCTCTTCTTTTCCAGGCTAAACTTACTCAGTTCCTTCAAGCGCTCCTTATAAGGCTTAGTTTCCAGACCCTTGATCATCTTGGTTGCCCTCCTCTGCATGCGTTCCAGCTTATCAACATCCTTCTTAAATTGTGGTGCCCAGAATTGGACACAGTATTCTAGGTGTGGTCTGACTAAGGCAGAATAGAGTGGTACTATGACTTCCCTTGATCTGGACACTGTACTTCTGTTGATGCAGCCTAGAATACCATTGGCCTTTTTTGCTGCTGCATCACACTGTTGCCTCATGTTCAGCTTGTGGTCCACCAAGACCCCTAGATCCTTTTCACATGAACTGCTAGTAAGCCAGGTGTCCCCCATCCTATATTTGTGCATCTGTTTCTTCCTGCCTAAGTGCAGAACCTTACATTTGTCCCTTTTGAAATTCATTTTGTTAGCTAGCGCCCAGTTCTCCAATCTGTTAAGGTCATTTTGAATTCTGATTCTGTCTTCTGCGGCATTAGCTACCCCTCCCAGTTTGGTGTCATTTGCAAGTTTGATGAGCATCCCCTCAATTCCTTCATCCAAGTCATTTATAAAGGTGTTAAAACAACAACGGGCCAGGACAAGAACCCTGCGGCACCCCACTTGTCACTTTTTTCCAGGATGATGAGGAACCATTAATGAGTACTATTTGTGTATCCTCACAACAACCTTGTAAGGTACCTACCTAGACTGAGACATTGTGATTGGCCTAAGGCAGTGATGGCCAAACTTGGCCCTCCAGCTGTTTTGGGACTACAATTCCCATGATCCCACTGGTCCTGTTAGCTAGGGATGATGGGAGTTGTAGTCCCAAAATAGCTGGAGGGCCAAGTTTGGCCATTACTGGCCTAAGGTCACCCAATTACTAAGTGGCAATTTGAATCCAGGTCCTGCCACTTGTAGTCTTCCTCCATCCCATTCAGTTTTCCTCATGTATCATGTCTTTTTAGGATTTACTGATGGTTTTCGCAAGCCACATTGGGAGCCTTTTTGCCTAGAAAGTGGATTTAGAAATGCTTAAAATAAATAAAAAGCAGCCTGACAATCTAACCACTAATTGCTCCTGGAATTGCCTCTTTTTGTTTTCCTCAGTGTCAAATTTTAGCTATCAAAAGAAAAACCAATGGACCTGGGTAATCAAAGTCTCCCCACTCCCTACCAGAAACTCGCATTGGAGCAATTAAGAAAGGCTATTGAGAGGAGGCAATTAATAGGCTGTTCCTCACTAATCCCCGACTAATCAGGAAGCAATAAAACAGGCTGAACTTGCAAACAGGAAGCATTTAATTAAAGGCACAGAATCCCTGAAAAGCCTCAATAGCACTTGACCCACATAGGTCAGGGAGACACCACAATGATGATTTATTGCAAAAACAATATGCAGCACCACAAACCATGTCTGAAAAAACAAAGGAGAGCAACATAGAAAAATCCTGGCATGCAACAACTGACTGCTCCATAAAAAGTATGTGAGCAAAGGATGACAATTGCAGAGAGACAGACTACTGTCAGGGAGACAGTGCTCCTGAAGGTAGGAGTCTATCAATTGATGAAGATGATCATCCAAATGTCATAGACCAAATGGAGCAAACAGCACGCAGACCTAGTGGTGGGAGGAAAAAATCCTTAAATAAGAGACACGGGGAATGATTAATGGACTTCAATGTCTGTACACTAATGCGCAAAGCATGGGAAATAAACAAGATGAGCTTGAGCTCTTGGTACAGCAAACTAAATATGACATAATAGGCATCACTGAAACCTGGTGGGATAAGTCCCACGATTGGAATGTAATAATGGAGGGATACAATCTATTTCAGAGAAACAGACCAGACAAGAAAGGAGGAGGAGTGGCATTATATGTCAGGGATGTGTATACCTGTGAAGAGATCCAAGATTTAGAACCTCAAAGCCAAAGTGAGAGCATTTGGGTCAAAATTAAGGGAGAGAAGAATAACAGTGACCTCATTGTGGGAGTTTACTATAGATCCCCAAGCCAAACGGAGGACATAGATGATGCCTTCCTGGAACAGATGGCCAAGCATGCAAAAGGAAGGGAGATAGTAGTAATGGGGGACTTCAATTACCTGGATATTTGTTGGATGTCAAACTCAGCCAAGAGCATAAGGTCAAACAGATTCCTCACTGGCCTTGCAGACAACTTCATTGTCCAGAAAGTGGGAGAAGCAACAAGAGGAACAGCCATTTTAGATCTGGTCCTAACCAATGTTGATGACCTGGTTAGTGGGGTAGAAGTGGAAGGATCATTAGGCGCGAGTGATCATGCTCTTCTGAAGTTTACTATACAGCGGAAAGGAGCAGCCAAGCATACTAGGACTCAATTTCTTGACTTTAAGAAAGCCGACTTCATAAAACTTAGGGAAGTGCTGGGTGAGATTCCATGGACAGTAATACTAAAAGGAAAGGGAGTTCATGATGGCTGGGAGTTTGTTAAGAGGGAGATAGTAAAAGCACAACGTCAGGCAATACCAATGAGACGGAAACATGGAAGGTGCCTAAAGAAGCCAGGGTGGCTATCTAAAGAACTTTTAACTGAGTTAAGATTTATAAAGGATGTGTACAAAAAAATGGAAAAGGGTGGAAACCACCAAAGAGGAATTCAAACAAATAGCCAGCACGTGTAGACACAAAGTCAGAAAAGCTAAAGCACAGAATGAACTCAGGCTTGCTAGAGAGGTTAAAAGCAACAAAAAAGGCTTTTATGGGTATGTTCGTAGCAAAAGGAAGAACAAAGAAACAGTGGGGTCACTCAGAGGAGAAGATGATGAAATGCAAACAGGGGACACAGAAAGGGCTGAACTCCTCAATGCCTTCTTTGCCTCAGTCTTCTCCGATAAAGAAAACAATGCCCAACCTGAAGAATTTGGAGCAAATGATTCAGCAGAGGAAACACAGCCCAGAATAACTAAGGAGATAGTACAAGAATACTTGGCTAGTTTAGATGTATTCAAGTCTCCAGGGCCAGATGAACTGCATCCAAGAGTATTAAAAGAACTGGCAGATGTGATCTCAGAACCACTGGCAGTCATCTTTGAGAATTCCTGGAGAACAGGTGAAGTCCCGGCAGACTGGAGGAGGGCAAATGTTGTCCCTATTTTCAAAAAGGGGAAAAGAGAGGACCCAAATAATTACCGCCCAGTCAGTCTGACATCAATACCAGGGAAGATTCTGGAGCAGATCATTAAGCAAACAGTCTGTGAGCACCTAGAAAGGAATGCTGTGATCACCAATAGTCAGCATGGATTTCTGAAAAATAAGTCATGTCAGACTAACCTGATCTCGTTTTTGACAGAATTACAAGCCTGGTAGATGAAGGGAATGCAGTGGATGTAGCCTACCTTGATTTCAGCAAGGCATTTGACAAGGTGCCCCATGATATTCTTGTAAAGAAGCTGGTAAAATGCGGTCTTGACTATGCTACCACTCAGTGGATTTGTAACTGGCTGACTGACCGAACCCAAAGGGTGCTCATCAATGGTTCCTCTTCATCCTGGAGAAGAGTGACTAGTGGGGTGCCACAGGGTTCTGTCTTGGGCCCGGTCTTATTCAACATCTTTATCAACGACTTGGATGATGGACTCAAGGGCATCCTGATCAAATTTGCAGATGACACCAAACTGGGAGGGGTGGCTAACACCCCAGAGGACAGGATCACACTTCAAAACGACCTTGACAGATTAGAGAACTGGGCCAAAACAAACAAGATGAATTTTAACAGGGAGAAATGTAAAGTATTGCACTTGGGCAAAAAAATGAGAGGCACAAATACAAGATGGGTGACACCTGGCTTGAGAGCAGTACATGTGAAAAGGATCTAGGAGTCTTGGTTGACCACAAACTTGACATGAGCCAACAGTGTGACGCGGCAGCTAAAAAGCCAATGCAATTCTGGGCTGCATCAATAGGAGTATAGCATCTAGATCAAGGGAAGTAATAGTGCCACTGTATTCTGCTCTGGTCAGACCTCACCTGGAGTACTGTGTCCAGTTCTGGGCATCACAGTTCAAGAAGGACACTGACAAACTGGAACGTGTCCAGAGGAGGGCAACCAAAATGGTCAAAGGCCTGGAAACGATGCCTTATGAGGAACGGCTAAGGGAGCTGGGCATGTTTAGCCTGGAGAAGAGGAGGTTAAGGGGTGATAGGATAGCCATGTTCAAATATATCAAAGGATGTCACATAGAGGAGGGAGAAAGGTTGTTTTCTGCTGCTGCAGAGAAGCGGACACGGAGCAATGGATCCAAACTACAAGAAAGAAGATTCCACCTAAACATTAGGAAGAACTTCCTGACAGTAAGAGCTGTTCGACAGTGGAATTTGCTGCCAAGGAGTGTGGTGGAGTCTCCTTCTTTGGAGGTCTTTAAGCAGAGGCTTGACAACCATATGTCAGGAGTGCTCTGATGGTGTTTCCTGCTTGGCAGGGGGTTGGACTCGATGGCCCTTGGGGTCTCTTCCAACTCTATGATTCTATGATTCTACTGCAGAAGCAACCACTGTATGTACGCATCTCCTTTTGTTGACACCAGCCCTTTGCAGGTGTGATGAGAGAGAAGGGATGCACTTGCTAGTCCTGCTTCCTCCATGACAGCTGTATGTCCAGATTCACCACTTTCCTTGCATTGAAGGTGCAAGAGATTTGGGAGGCCTCTGCATGCAGCTTAGAGCCCTGATCCCACATCTCCATGAGAGCCTCTATGAGAACAGCAAACTCCTGGTTCAGACCTTTGCTCTCAGAGCATGCAGAGTGGCAGGTCCAGACATAGGGATGCAATGGATGCTAAGACCTCTGCACTTCCTCAGGCAAGTTCAGTGGAACCTCGGGTTAAGGACTTAATTCGTTCTGAAGGTCCGTTCTTAACCTGAAACTGTTCTTAACCTGAAGCACCACTTTAGCTAATGGGGCCTTCCGCTGCCGCCTCGCCGTCGGAGCACGATTTCTGTTCTCATCCTGAAGCAAAGTTCTTAACCCGAGGTACTATTTCTGGGTTAGCGGAGTTTGTAACCTGAAGCGTCTGTAACCCAAGGTACCACTGTTCTGTGTGAAAACTGAATGGCTTCCATGCAGAAGCCATGCTGATTGCTCCTTAGCAAGGCTTGTTCTTCTATAATATACGACCTGCATGCTTAACATTTTAAGCCTTCAAAATGACTTCCCACCAATTTACTTCTGGACCGAAACTAGTATTGCATATATTGTCCTCCAGTCCTCCCAGAAGGGTAAAAGGTAAAAAGAACAGACCTTTAATAGTAACATTTGTTAGTTAAAAGATGAACAAATTGGCATTTGAGATCTTCAAAAGCTCTTTTGGGGTCATATGGGCCATATAGAAGAAGTTGTTTGCTTTTTTTAACGGGGCTTCAAAACATTTCCCAGTCCTCTGTTAACAGCTAGCAGAAGCTAGGGTTGCCCTGGCGGTGTCTTCACAACAGTGTCTTTCGCTCTTTTCCAACCATGTGTTTATAGGTGGCCTGGAATTATAGAGGCTGATCCAGACATTGGAGAGTACTTCCTGTTCTCTTCTCAGGCAGATTCACTTCCTGTTAAGTATTATGTATATTTATTTTATATTATATTGTGCTTTCATGTTGGTGGGATAAATCTGACTTTATCCCTAAAGTAATTACTACTCAGCTCCAGGTGAAAGGTTCTTACCCACATTAGTCCTTATCTGAGATGTGTTCACACGCTGTCTCTCGCAGGCATGGCCACCCACCACCACTGACATGCTCTCTGTTTCCATTCCCATTTCAGTGCAAGTACCATGTGACCTTCTTGGGCAGCTCTGTGACCCGGGCTTGGATCTCTGCCTCCATGCTGAGGAACTTTGAGGAATCTTATGTGAAGGGAAAAGGCGTGGTAAGTGGGGCTTTTTGCTAATGGCGGCTTGTTCACAAAATAAGGTGTCCCTGTCTCCATGAGGTTATGGGTTCTAAGAGGGTCCAATGAACAAGAGGTGCCTTTTGAAAGGGAGCAGAATCTGGAGGAAGTTACAAACAATAGTTGGGAAAAGTGAATACTTCCCGACGCTTGCTCTTTTGCGGGTGGGATCCAGACCAGTCGCATTCGGGCATAAGAACATAAGAAGAGCCTTCTGGATCAAGGCAATATGGCCCATCTAGTCCAGAATGCTGTTCTCACAGTTGTCAGTCGGATGTACCAATGAGAAACCCACAAGCAGGATTCCAGCACAAGATCCCTCTTCCCCTCCTGTGGTTTCCAGCAATCAGAAACATTGTGGGGGCAAAGTCCTCTGGCTTTTTTCTGGCCCATGTAAGACCAGTCCGGATAGTTGGCCTTGGTGAAGATTTGACGTTTTCATCCCCAAAAAGTTTTTGATTTGAGTTTCTACTGAAATGAGGCTGCATTTTAATGTTGTATTTTAATCTTGTTTTTAAGTTGTATTTTAATCAATTGTTTTTATACCTGGTGTTAGCCGCCCTGAGCCCGGTCTTGGCTGGGGAGGGTGGGGTATAAATAAAATTTATTATTATTATTATTATTAAAGCATAACCATCATGGTCAGTAACCATCAATATAGCCCTCTCCTTCATGAATTTGTCTGATCCTCTTTTAAAGCCAGCCAAGTGGGTGGCCATCCCTGCCTCCTGTAGGAGCGAGTTCCATAGTTTAATTATGTGCTGTGTGAAATACTTCACTTTGCACGATTAAAGAGGAATGGGCACTCTTGTGCAACAAACCTGCTTCCCCCTCAAAAAAAAAAAAAAGCAGATGTTATGCAGTAAGGAAAATGACAGCAAAATGCACTGGAAATTATGGGGTAACAGTTGCCTGATACGACATTGTATATCCTCCCTGCAAACAAATCAAAATGAGTGCTCAATAAACAGGTTGTCTGCAAGCTGCCAAAATCTGCTAGCAAAGCTGGTGTGTGATTTCTGCAAGCTTCTTAATCTCAAAATCAGAGGAGAACTTTGTCCCCGTCCCCCATTCCCTCCATCTGCAATCCAGCCCTGCAATTTGGAAAGACAGTTGCCTGATTAGGCCCCAGCTGCACAATGAACTTGGATTAATTTCAGAGCTGTCCAGCTATCATGACTTCCCCCAAGGCACCTTGGGAATTGTAGCTGTAGGAGGGTCAATTTAGGCGCAGTAGTGGCAAATCTGTGTATTTAAACTCAGATTTGCTCCAGACTTGTAGAAAGAGGAGCAAAAGTGGCACGCAGATAAGGATTGCAGAATTTCCCCCTCATCTGTTGATGTTAAGAAGCACACAGTCTCCACACACAGCCTCTCTCTCCCTCATTTCTTAAATCATAGCTATGTTCTGTATTTTCTTTTTGAGGCCAAGCTAAAGAACAAAGGTGACAAGAGGGACTTTGAAGCTGCTGTGAAGATGGCAAATGAAGCAGAGCAATTAAGCATTCAGGTGTGACACAGGCAGGTTCCAAGGCCCCCACCCCCATAAATCTAGGTTGATTTCTCTCTGGAATAATTGCATCCTTTGCTTTCACGCTTTTTGCAGAGGATGTTATTGGCAGATCATTGGGGCCCAATATCTTCTGTGTTCTCCTGTACTACATGATCCATTTAGCAATTTTTGTATGGAATGAAATGGAAATCTTATTGATTTATTTAGAATATCCCACTTTACAGCCAAGAAGAGCTTTCAAAGCAACTTACAAAACATTCTTGCAATGGAAAATCCCATTCTAGTATTTTATCGGAAACAGAAATAACATGAGATTCTTAAGGATGCATTTCCTGCCATCATACTTGATCTTCCCTGGTGTTGCCCTCTAACCTCCACCTACTAGGCAGCAGGGCCCATTGGGAACCTTGGAGGCAAGTGAGTGACTGAGCAGCTGGAGCGCACTCAGATTTCAGCACCGTCCTGTCTGCTGTGGGGTAGCAAAGGTTATTGTGGGTCTTTAGAGCCACTGATTTAAAAAAAAAAAAAGAATTAAAAAGCTTCTCCTTTCCAGCTTTGGCCCATCATTGTTTTCTGTTGTGGGATTCTTGGTACATTGCTCCTTAATTAGTCATTTTATGTTCCCTGTGACTAATTTTGTGTGGGGGAACAACAAGGGGAGCGGACTTCCTTTCGTTATTTCATTTCATTTTCTATCATCACTAGCAACTTGCAGCAGCTGAATAGCATCCTCACAAGCCCTTGTGCTAATGCACAGCTCCCCATTCACATATGTGGGTGTTGCACGGTGGTGTATTCTGTGAATCCTGTTTTGAATGAGTGGAGGAAGCGCAATACCACTGCTTGCACAATTTTTTTGTTTTGTTTTAACTTTTAGAATCCCCTTATGAGCCTTTTCTTTCCTCACCTAAAATCTGCCATGCTATAAAATGTGCGGCCACACAAGGTGAACTGCTGCTGTTAAATGAGGAAGTTGTCTAGCTCCACTGTTGGTTTTGCATCCCTTCTCCTAGGATAAGACCACTATACAGCAGGGGCTGATAGTTTTGCCCTGGGTCTGATTTACTAATCTGCATGCATGTTCTTAACCCAGTCCAACCCAGATCCAATAGCAAGGAAGAAATCCGTGCACTCAAATGCATAGAATCATAGAATTGTATAGTTGGAAGGTACCCCAAGGGTCATCTAGTCCAACCCCCTGCAATGCAGGAATCTCAACTAGATCATACATGTCAGATGGCCATCCAACCTCTGCTTCAAAACCTCCAAGGAAGGAGAGCCCACCACCTCTCATGGGAGTCTGTTCCACTGTTCTTCCTAAAGTTTAGTTGGACTCTCCTTTCTTGTAACTTGAATCCATTGGTTTGGGTCCTAGCCATGAATATATTATGTGTGGGGAAGAAAATCCTAGCTTAAGCCAACTGGGGCTTCTAGTTGAGCAGGGCTAGTTTATAATGCCAAGGCTGGGGTTTGGAGTCTGTGGCATAAGAAGAGCGTGGTTCTGAGGCCATGCAGAGATAGCCTGTGCTCTGAGTTGCCATACATTTGGAGCTGGGGCAACTGACCTCCAGGGCAAAAGGCATGGCAGCCGGGAGCCCCAGCCTTTCTCTCCTATTAGAAATTGGGTACTAACTGAAGCATATCAGTACTATAACACCTACTCTTCTCTTTCACCGCACCAGGAGAGAATAAGGATATTTGGATTCTATAGCCGATTCAGCGGGAGAGAGTCACTTAAAAACAACAGAGACTTGAAAGGTACCTTGACATGCAGGATGGGGTCAGAAGTCAGAATATTGTCAGACGAGCTGAAAAACAGACCCCCCCACCCTGCACTCTTTGTTCCTTTTTGCATTGTAGATCATGTACACGTTACCTGTAAGCCTCCTGCCAAGAGGATCCGAGAACCAAAGGGTGGGAAGAAAAATGTATCAGCATCAAACGAGAGCCAAGAAAAGGTTGGTTCAGTCTTTGCACTTTTAGAAATGTTTGGGCTTCTCCCCGCTTTTAACAATCTGGCTACTGCAGGCGGCCCCTTCATATATTTTCCTAACAGTCCATTGTGAGGAAGGTAGATGTTATTGGTCTAGTGAAGTTTTAGTAGGTCCATCATGTTCTCTCTGTTAACATTAACAAATAGTATCTCTCTCCTAGCTTCTGCCTGAGACACCAGTGATGAAATCTGATGGAGATTTCAAAAAGAAAACCAACATAGAAGGTGAGGTTTTGACCAGTCACCCTCCCCAGCAACCTCAACCTCAGGCCTCTCTTCTCTTTTAAGCTATGTGCCATAACTATGAGTGCAAGCTAGCGTAGGCTACTGGCAGGATCAACTTGGGGCTCTTCCAAACTGGTGTGTGGGTTTTTATGGGGGGGGGGGGGCAGGGTGTATTCTGCAACATGTCATTGATGCAATCAAGACTATACAGTGGTGCCTCGCAAGACGAAATTAATCCGTTCCGCGAGAGTCTTCGTCTAGCGGTTTTTTCGTCTTGCGAAGCAAGCCCATTGACGGATTAGCGCTATTAGCGCTATTAGTGGTTTAGCGGCTATTAAAGGCTTAAAGGCTTAGGGGATTAGCTGCTAAAAGGCTATTAAAGGCTATTAAAGGCTTAGCAGATTAGATAAAGGGGGGGGAAGCGAAAAAAAAATCTCAAGACTCGCAAGGTATTTTCATCTTGCGAAGCAAGCCCATAGGGGAATTCGTCCTGCGAAGCAACTTCAAAACGGAAAACCCTTTCGTCTAGCGGTTTTTCCGTCTTGCGAGGCATTCGTCTTGCGGGGCACCACTGTAGTTTCCACTTTATTAATTGTTCTGCTGTGCTTCCCCAATGCTACCATGTTGTTCCCATCTGTAGGGGCAACTTTTGTGCTACAGTAAAACAAAAACAGGGCAACAGCCACCCTGGAACATTTGTGTTTACTATTTATTTATTTATTTATTTATTTATGCAAATATTTAGAAACTGCACTTTTGTATAAAGAGAGAGAGAGAGAGAGATACAAACCACAAGGTGGTATACAACCTGAAAATACAACACTGCAGTAAAAACAATTTTAAAATGTCAGGCACATCAGTAAAAGCTGGATGGCAAAGAATCTGAGGTTTGAAAGGCCCATTTAAATACAGCGGTACCTCGGTTTACAAACTTAGTCCATTCCGGAAGTCCGTTCTTAAACCAAAACCGTTCTTGAACCGAGGTCCGCTTTCCCTAACGAGGCCTCTCGCCGCCGGTGCCCTTCCACCACTCAGATTTCGTTCTTAGACCGAGGTAAAGTTCTCAAACCAAGACACTATTTCCGGTTTTGCGGAGTTTGTAAACTAAATGGTTCTTAAACCGGACTGTTCTTAAACCGAGGTACCACTGTAATATGGTTTTTAGAAGACATCTGAAAACAAACAGGGATGACTCCTGATGAACCTCTACTAGCGAGGTGTTCCACTAGGCAGGGAGTTTTACAGGGCTCGGTCCCTGGTAAGGCCACCAGAACCTGAGGGGCATGTGGGGCCTCCAAAAGTGCGCATCAGAAGGCCTCTGTGATTGAGACGTAGCATAAGGAACCAGGTGGTCCTTAGGGTACTTTAGGCCCAAGCTGTTTAGGGCTTTGGCAATTAACACAAATACCTTGAACCCAGGATGCGGGTGGCGCTGTGGGTAAAACCTCAGCGCCTAGGACTTGCCGATCGCATGGTCGGCGGTTCGAATCCCCGTGGCGGGGTGTGCTCCCGCCGTTCGGTCCCAGCGCCTGCCAATCTAGCAGTTCGAAAGCACCCCCGGGTGCAAGTAGATAAATAGGGACCGCTCACCAGCGGGAAGGTAAACGGCGTTCCGTGTGCTGCGCTGGCTCGCCAGATGCAGCTTGTCATGCTGGCCACGTGACCCGGAAGTGTCTGCGGACAGCGCTGGCTCCCGGCCTATAGAGTGAGATGAGCGCACAACCCTAGAGTCTGGTAAGACTGGCCCGAACGGGCAGGGGTACCTTTACCTTTACCTTTACCTTGAACCCAGCCCTCTGGCAAATTGCTAACCAGTGCAGTCTGCTCAGCAGCAGAGTAGTATGCTGTCAGTAGTCTGCTCCTGTGAGCAGTCTGGCCACCACATTCTGCGCTAGCTGCATCTTCTGGACCAGCCTTTCTCAGCCTTGGGTCCCTAGATGTTGTTGTACTACAACTCCCATCATCCCTGACCACTGGTCCTGCTAGCTAGGGATGGTGGGAGTTGTAGTCCAACAACAACTGGGGACCCAAGGTTGAGAAAGGCTGTTCTGGACCATATAGAAGGGCAGCCCCATGTAAAACATATTGCAGTAATCACGTCTTTGGGGTTATCAGTGCATGAACTCCTGGGGTCAGGCTTTCCTAGTCCAGTAGTGGTTGCAGCCGGCATACCAACAGAAACTGGTGGAAGGCACTCCTAGCCACAGAGGTCACTTGGGCCTCTAATCACAAAGATGGATTCAGGAATACCTCCAAGCTGCGAACCAAATCCTTTGGGGGGAATCTTACCCTGTCTAGAACAGGCAGTTGACCTTTACCCTGGACACAGGAGCCATCCACCCACAAGGCCCCTGTATTTCTAAGTGTCAAGGTCAGCTTGTTGGCCCACATCCAGTCCACCACTGCATCCAGGCACTGGTCCAGGGCTTGCACAGCGTCTCCTGACTCAGATGTAATGGAGAAATAGAGCTCAGTGTCATCAGTATACAGATGACACCTTGCACCACGCGTCCTAATGACTACTCCCCGTGGCTTCAAATAGATGTTGTGTAGCATTGGGGGGTAAGAGGTGCCCTTTGGCACTTCACAGGGTAAGCACCAGGGCCCCCAAAGAGCATTCTCTCTACTTGGGGCAGGATCCTGCAGGGTAGGAAGAGAGGCACTGTGGCACAGTGCCACCAGTTCCCATCCCGCAGAGTCAGCCCAGAAGGATACCGTGGTCAATGGTATCAAAAATTGCTGAGAGATTGAGCAGGGCTGCACTCGCCCTGTTCTTTTCTCTATAAAGGTCATCCATCAGGGCAACCAAGGCTGATTCGGTCCTGAATCCAGGTCTGAGCCCAGACTGGGATGGATCTAGTTGGTCAGTCTCATCCAGGAATGTTTGCAGTTGTTTCGCCACAACCCTCTCTATCGCCTTCCCTAAAATGGGGATATTTGTGACCAACTGATAGTTGTTAATTGGGTCCATAACCAGCTTCTTTAGTAGTGGCAGCACTGTCACCCCCTTTAAAGGGCCAGGCACCTCTCCCTCACACAGTGAAACATTCACTACATCTTGGACCCACCCGATCAAGACCCCACAGCTTGTTTTCACCTGCCTTGAAAAGCAGAGATCCATAGGGCATGTAGTTGGGCATATACCTGCCGGAACCTTGAAGTGTTATGAAAAGTTATAGGATTTTAGCAGGAAGGTATGGGGCATACACCACTTGCAAACAAAGCAGTGTGACCTCCTTCAAACTTCTTGCAGGCACAAGCAGCACTGAAAGTCTGCTGGTTTGTAACCACCCCACAACATCATGAGCATGATGCATACTCAATAAAAAGGATATCTGGAGGGGCTCCAGGTTAACATTAAATCCATCAAAAAGAAGAAGGAAAGTAGCATATACAGTGGTACCTTGGGTTACATACGCTTCAGGTTACAGACTCCGCTAACCCAGAAATAGTGCTTCAGGTTAAGAACTCTGCTTCAGGATGAGAACAGAAATCGTGCTCCGGCGGCGCGGCAGCAGCAGAAGGCCCCGTTAGCTAAAGTGGTGCTTCAGGTTAAGAACAGTTTCAGGTTAAGTACGGACCTCTGGAACGAATTAAGTACTTAACCTGAGGTACCACTGTATACAACTTGTTCACACAGGGGCAAAACAAATCAAGTCATCAACTGAAGGTACCCCACTTTCATCAAAGAGGAGCAGGAAAGAGATGGCAGTCCCCAAAGCTGCTGCTGTTCCAAAAGGATCTGTCCAAACGAAGGCACGGGATGCTCAAAAAGGTAAGAGAGCGCTCCTTGTTCTGTATGTGAGAAACCTATAATGTTTGCTTCTATGTCAGCCCAGAAGCACAACTGGGAATGAAATCCCAAGTTGTGAAGCCTTTTTGTTATAGTTCAATAGTTGTCTGACATTCTATTTAGCACCCAGCAAAGGAAGGCGGTAGAAGGGACTGTTTTGCTCTGGCAAGACGGGTTGTTCTGCGCCCTTAGATACGGGAGAGGATATTGTTCTCCTCATGCAGGATAACTCTCTGGGGAGATCTTCACTGGCTTTTGTGTTCCTCTCAAGGTTCTAAGAGCTCGTTCGCTGCTCCATGGTCTAAGAGTGCCACAGCTGAGCAGCTCAGCTCTTGCAGATACGGCAGCAGCCCTCCCTTAATGCCCTCCAGTTATCCAAGCAAGAAAGACAGTATGAGCAAGGCTGATGTCTCCCCAGTGACAGAAAGTGAACTGATGTTGAACAGGGGTGTTGTGGGTCTTGAGGAGTCGAGTGAAGCCGTGGCCCAGGAGAAAGAAGAAGATGAAACCTTCAGCAGCCAGGAGATGGCTGTCTTTGCTGAGGAGAAGAATTACTCTTCTGATGAATTTTCATTGGTCTTGTTTGAGGAGTAGCCTTTCAGAAAGGGGTGTGTCCTGACCTCAAGTGTAAAGGGTGGATAACTTCTTCATCTATATAAGCCTTCCCCACCCAGCCTGGTGTCTTCTAGGTGTTGTGGACTACAACATAGTCGTGCGTTTGAGAGCACTGATGGAAAGTAGACATACTAAGCATAGCAGAGGATGTGAGGAAAAGGTTCTTGCAGCTTTGATTCTTGAGTTTAATCCACCTAGGAAGTTTGTGACAGCTTGTTTTTAAACAGGGCTGTGAAAATCCCCCTTTCCCGTTCCTTGGTTAAACAGGCAACTGGAATCACAGCTATAAACAAGGCAAGGAAAGTAAATTCACCCTTTAATAAATCTGATTGACTTGTTTAGAACTTAGTGCAAAAGAGAAACCAGGTGAAATGGCAATCGAAATTTAGGAGTTGTTTTCCACCCATTTGGAAGGTTACAAAAAATCTTGTCTGTGTTTAAAGATGTACAACATTTCCCCCGGTTGTTTATAATTACAATTCAGCAAAGCTCTATTAAAATCTGGTTTTGGATCTAACCGAGTGTCCTCCTGTTTTACCGATTTCATAAATGCTAGAAGCATGGTCGCACACTTGTACGGGGACTGATAAAATGTACAAACCACACACAGCTACCCCAGTTGGGAGGAATAATTAAAGCCACTCATTCGCACAAACATAGACTATGGAATGATAGGCTGTTGTCTGCAACAAAGGCACTAACAAGTTTGTATCAGAAAGCTTTGTATTTAACTTCTGAGCACCAGCCTGATCTTATTAAAATTTTATTCAAGGTACAATGGCACACGGACAGCAGACCAGGGCTGGGGAACCCATGGCTTTCTCAGTGCTGTAGGAACACAGTTCCTGTCATTCCTTACCATTAGCCTTCAGCAGGGGCTGAAGTCGTCCCACAATATTTGGTCACAGGTTTCCCTGCCATACACAACCAATCTTGAAAGAATCTTGTTCTGTCACTTCTCACGTGGCTCATTAAACAGCTATCTAATGTGTTCATGTCAGCCCTATATGCTTCTTTCAGATCCATTAGCCTGCTCGTCTCCCTGCCTCATTCAAGCTCAGTGCATGAAAGATAGCTGAGTTACACCAAAGTACACTGAAGTGTGCATTGCATTGTTGTTCTTCTACCTATCGTTTGGCGGATTTGTTCTTTTAACTTTGCTGTAAGAACTCAAAAGAGAAAAACTCTGGGCTGTAGGAAGGGGAGGGGGATAATTAGAAACCACAGTTTCCTTGAGATATGCACCGTATACACATACTCTTCAATTTCCCCTTCGTTCTCTTCCCATGTATGCATTTATAGAGCTCAGAGCAATGTGGTAGAGTGGTTAGAGTGTGGTCTGGAACCAGCCCGGCTGTAGGAAACCCAGACAAAATTCCCATTCGGCCCTGTAGTTCACTGGGCAGCCTTGATTCAGACTACCTCGCAGGTTTGCTGTAGGGATAAAATACGGGAGAACAATGATCGACTTAAGTTCCTGGGAGGGAGGCTAGGATAAAAGGCAATAGAAATACAATGTAATCACAGTAACACCAAAAAATAATTTAAAAATAAAAGCACCTAAACAGCTTGTTCAGCAATGGAATTTACCATTAAATGGAATCCTCCATTCTCTGAACTCGCTGAACATTATTCTAGCTAGTAGAGAGGAAAGGTTGGAAGGAACAATCAATGTGTTAATAGCTTCACACCTCTCCTCTATAGCTTCACAGTGGGGTGGCACTAGCCATGTGCCAAGATTCAGAACTCCACCTGCTTCTAACTGTCACTTAACAGCTGATAGAAAGTTCCAGAATCCGTGTGGTTTAAGTGGTCCAGGTACATGTAGCTGGTGAGCTGTATCTTGGTCAGTTTTACTGCATAAGTAACTCCTTCATTTACTCTCCTTTCACCCAGTGATTGGAATTTAAGGAGGGCCCTGCTGGATTAGACCTGAGAGCTCGGGAGAGGCAGAACTAGCCAAAGAGCAGTGAGCACGTGAGACAAACATTTGTTTGAGTCAGTGTCCTTCCGCAAAAAGCACTGTGACTGGGGATTCCTGATAAAATACCGCATTTTTCGCTCTGTAAGACGCACCAGACCACAAGACGCACCTAGTTTTTGGAGGAGGAAAACAAGAAAAAAAATATTCTGAATCTCAGAAGCCAGAACAGCAAGAGGGATCGCTGCGCAGTGAAAGCAGCAATCCCTCTTGCTGTTCTGGCTTTTGGGATAGCTGCACAGCCTTCATTCGCTCCATAAGACGCACACACATTTCCCCTTACTTTTTAGGAGGGAAAAAGTGAGTCTTATAGAGCAAAAAATACGGTAATTGCCTCTGATTAAAAGTTAGACCTGTCAGCCACCTTGGACGATTCCTCCCTCTCAACCAAGGGTGTATTCTGTAAGCTTGGTTTTGCTTTTTGCAAAAAATAGCAGGGTTTGTTTGTTGTGACTGAGCAAGCAAAGCACCACAAGGTTTCAGAGGGAGGGAGCGTTCCCTACTTCAGCTTGCGGGGGCCTCATACAGATCCCTCCTCTCTCAGGGAAGCACCAAAACACTCCCAAGGCACCCTGATTCAGCTGGGGTTTGTTTCTATTCCTCTTTGCTTTCGAGAACACCTTCCGAGTTTCTCCATGTCTTTCCGCTCTCCCTTCCTCGAGTCTTCCTTGCAAAAAGGGGATAATCAGATCATTTGAAAATGTCTCACTGACGTTAGCTAAAAGTATGGAAAAACTAAGCCGCTCGCTTAATTTGCATAATTTATTCAGATCAGGGAATGTGACTTTCCCGCTGTTTTGCAGACTTTGGGCATTTATTCTTGGTGGAGATTACACGGTGCATGGAGCATAATTAAGATCCCTGCCCCCACAGCCTATATTCTCTCTATGGATTAGTTTATCAGTACCTTTCAGTTAAATTGGCTGTGGCCTGGAGTGCCATTTCACGTTTCAGGGTGTGCCTGTGTCGTGGGACAGAATGACAGATGAACGGCAGGTGGGCAGGCCACCGCTCAAGTCTTTCTTTGGCGTGGCTTCCTGTCTCTGGACTCTTGCTTCTTGCCCGCCCAGTGGCTTCTGGAGGAGAGTGGCTAAGTTTTTTTGACCCGAGGAGGAGCCACTAGCTCTTTGCTGCCTCCACCCACCCCTTTGTCTCTCTCAGCTGCCTCTTCGTGCCCTTGAAGGCCTTGGTCTGAGACGCTGGGAGAGGAAGACGCAAACCACAGTGCTGAGGGAAGTGGCGTCTTGCCCAAGGTCACCTATGACAGAGACAGGAATAGAAAGGGGGAAGGGGAGCCACTTCCTGGCTTCCCATCCCACGCATGCCATGGCTCAGAAATAGGAAGTTGGCATGGGATTCTCACACTGATTTAATATACATGACTGGGCACAACATGCTTTTTTGTTTTCTTGGCTAGGAGGCAAGAACTTGAAAGTGACTTCTACAAAAGAGACTCCCAAAATATTTAGCTAACAGGACCTGCCTTCTCTCTCCCCTCCCCTTCTATTCATGTTCCTCTGTCTCCCCTCTTTCCTTTAACTATGTCAAATATCTTGGATAAATTGCTGAGGCATTTTATTCGTAAAGAACAAAAAGGATTTTTTCGATTTGTGAAAGGAAAAAAAGGCAGGCCCTGATTTTTGCGGGGGGGGGGGGTTGTGGAGGAAGGATATTTCTTTTTCTCTCTTTTCTCTTTAATTTTTTTTTTTTAACCCAATAGCTTGAAGTTCATGCAGCATTTTTAGGGGGTGACTCAGCGTTTGGCTCCAGCCACTTGTGTGTTCCAGACAGATGCCCTGGTCTAGATGTTGAGAAATGCTTGTTTTCGTGGCCGGCTGCCTTGAATGAGGCCAGTCCATCCCCACAGCATTCCGCTTCTCCCCCCCATTTTCTTTTCCATATGGTAATAAGCATTGGTCTTGTGCATAAGGATTTATTTATTAATGTGGGGTATTCAGACAGACCTGGACTTCTGTCTTTATTTGGGTGTTTTTTTTAAAAAAAAAGTTCTTCCCCACCTTTTCCACTTCAAACGAAAGCACCCATCATGGCAACAAACAACTGGGATTGAAACAAAATTTGAAACGTCACCGCACAATCCAAAACCAGCAGGCTGATGCCTAAATTATGGAGAGGGAGACAAAATCAAGCAAGGGCCAGACCAGGCGAAGAAAAATGTCTTAAGAGGGCAGAAAATCAGCAATGAGATGGATTCGAGACAGTATGCTTCTGAATACTAGTTGCTGGAAACTTCAGAAGAAGGGAGTGTTGCTGCTCCCAGTTCTTGCTTGCAGTCTTCCTTTTGAGGCACCTGGCTGCTACTGTGACAACAGGGTGATGAACAAGATGGGGCACTGGCCTGATCCGGAAGGCTCATCTTACGTTTACCTCCAGGGGCAAGGCGTTTTGCATTTCAGGGATTTAGTGAGGCAGAGCAGTGTAGGCAAGGATCTGGGACTTCTGACCTTACATCAGAGATGTGATGCCGCTTAAGTCAGCCCAGAGGTGATTCCTCCTGACATTAGATGCTCTTATTCTCAAACCAGGGCTGTCGATCAGCAGTGTAGAGGACCTCCTTTGTATGCAAAAGGGCCCTTGCTTCTGTAAAGGTAAAGGTAAAGGGACCCCTGACCATTAGGTCCAAACGTGAACGACGCTGGGGTTGTGACGCTCATCTCGCTTTACTGGACAAGGGAGCCAGTGTACAGCTTCCGGGTCATGTGGCCAGCATGACGAAGCCGCTTCTGGCGAACCAGAGCAGCGCACAGAAATGCCGTTTACCTTCCCGCCAGAGCGGTACCTATTTATCTACTTGCACTTTGACGTGCTTTCGAACTGCTAGGTTGGCAGGAGCAGGGACCGAGCAACAGGAGCTCACCCCGTTGCGGGGATTCAAACCACCGACCTTCCGATCGGCAAGTCCTAGGCTCTGTGGTTTAACCCACAGCGCCACCCGCGTCTGTACTTAATGGTATCTCCAGGTAGAGCTAGGAAAAACTCCCTACCTGAAACCCTGGCGAGTTACAGCCAGTCAATGGAGGCGGTGCTGAGCCAGATGGAACCCAACTGTCCTTCCTTGGAGGGTTTTAAGCAGCGGTTTGACGTTCATCCTTCATTTGAGATTCCTGCATTGCGGGGGGTTGGACTGGATGACCCTCAGGGTCCCTTTCAACTCTATGCTTCTGAATGGGCTGGCTCTGCATAAGGCAGTTTGTTGCGTTCCTAATCTCTGATGTCCACCCCTCCACACAATGCATCGTTAACTTATGAAGCTCTCATTTCACAGCATGGCGGCGATGGCCACCAACTTAGGTGCCATTGGAAGAACATTAGAGAATCTCATGGAGGAGGAAGAGAGAAGCTCTTTTGAAGGCTCCACAGTTGGAGGCAGAAAATGCGTATGAATGCCAGTTGATGGAGAGGAGAGATTTGAGCTCCTGTTCTCGAATCCTGCTTGTGGGTTTCCCATTATGGGCACCTGTGTGGCCACTGTGAGAATCGGATGCAGGACTAGATGTGCCGTTGGCTGGATCCAGCAGACTCTTCTCATGTTCCCTGTTCAGGGAAGTTTTTAATATTTAACACTGTACTGTTTTTAACACTTGATTGGGAGCCACCCAGAGTGGAGCCAGATGGGCGGGGTATAAATAATAAATTATTATTATTATTATTATGGCTGTTGCTTGCATTGAATGCAGGGAACCTCCATGGGTTACAGCTGCAAGGAAGGACAGTTGCCTTTGTGCCCTCCTTGTGAGGCTTTTTGGGAGCAGGCACTGTGGGTTAAACCACAGAGCCTAGGACTTGCTGATCAGAAGGTTGGCGGTTCGAATCCCCGCGACGGGGTGAGCTCCCGTTGCTCGGTCCCTGCTCCTGCCAACCTAGCAGTTCGAAAGCACGTCAAAGTGCAAGTAGATAAATAGGTACCGCTCTGACAGGAAGGTAAACGGCGTTTCCGTGCGCTGCTCTGGTTCGCCAGAAGCGACTTAGTCATGCTGGCCACGTGACCCGGAAGTTGTACGCCGGCTCCCTCGGCCAATAAAGCGAGATGAGCGCCGCAACCCCAGAGTCAGTCACGACTGGACCTAATGGTCAGGGGTCCCTTTACCTTTACCTTTTTAATTGGCCACTTCAGGTGAACATGCAGGACGTCGGGTCAAACAAGACCTGCAGAAAGGGACTTTTTATTTTGTGCTTGCTTGCTATGGTCAGTAGGAGGTCAGACAACAGAGGCACCAGGCTAAAAAACGAGGAGGTGCCTTACTTCCTTTAAAAATACTTGCAGCAGCTTGTGAGGTCATTGAAAACAATAATAGAGTGGTACCTCGGATTACAGACGCTTCAGGTTACAGACTCCGCTAACCCAGAAATAGTGCCTAGGTTTAAGAACTTTGCTTCAGGATGAGAACAGAAATCGCACGGCGGCAGCGGGAGGCCCCATTAGCTAAAGTGGTACCTCAGGTTAAGAACAGTTTCAGGTTAAGAACGGACCTCCAGAACGAATTAAGTTCTTAACCCGAGGTACCACTGTACACCTTAGAATCTTAGATCTGTTGGAAGGAACCATCTAGTAGTCCAACCTCCTGGAATCCAGGAATCACTGCTACAGAATCGCTGGCAGGCGGCCATCCAACCTCTGTTGAAAAACCTCCAATGGGGGAGAGTCCAACAACTTATGAGGGAACCCCTTCCAGTGCTGAACGGCTCTTACTGCCAGGAAGTTCCTCCTAATGTTTAGTCGGAATCTCCTTTCTTGTCATTTGAATCCATTGTTCTGGGTCTTCCCCTCCAGAGCAGCGGAAGGCAAGCTTGCTCCATCATCCATGTCACAGCCCTTCAGATGGCTCACCTCTCAGTCTCCTCTTCTCCAGGCTTCTCCTCCGCATGCCTTCCAGCTTGCCAATATCCTCCTTAGACACTTCCAGCTTTATGCTGGACATTCCCCCCCTGCCCCCCATGCCTTGATTGCAGCCTTCTCCAACCATGTGCCCTCCAGCTGGTTTGGACAACTCCCATCAAACACCAGTGGTTGACGGGAGTTGCCATCTAAAACATCTGGCAGGCACCATGTTGAGAGAGAGGCTGCTCTAGGAGGAGAACCAATTGGGGCCTGCGTGGGTTGGCTGGAGCAGAATGAAACACACATGCAGTTCATTATCAGACAAGGGAGAGTTAACATCATCATCATCATCATACTTTTTCTTCTTTGGCAATCACTTGTAGCTGAGTAATATTGTCTTCCATAAACACGGTTTTAACAATGAGTCCGTAAGTGACTGTGGAGGCCAATTCTGGATCTGCACGTCCTTCCACAGTGGGGACATTGGTTTCCGGGCAGGAGTTGATCACGGTGTGGATTTGCCAAGCGTGCCTTCCTCGTAGCACGTTTCTCCCTTGCGTCCTGAGTCCGAGTGTCTTCAAAGCCCACAACACCTTTGGTAAAGGCTGTTCTCCAACTGGAGCGTTTGCAGGCCAGTGTTTCCCAGTTGTTGGTGTTTATACTACAATGCTGAGGTTAAACCAACGCTCCCATCCCTTTTCTCCTTTCCTTTGGAATATAAGGGTTATGCCCAGGGCTGGGGTCCCAGTCATTGGAGGCTGGACCATTCAGCCAAGGGAGTACTGCCCCACTAACTTCAGCCTGCCCCAACCTGCCTGCCTGCCTTCTTATTTACACCCAGCAAGGGGGTAGTTGACGCGGGTGGCGCTGTGGGTTAAACCACAGAGCCTAGGACTTGCCGATCAGAAGGTCGGCAGTTTGAATCCCCGCGGCGGGGTGAGCTCCCGTTGCTCGGTCCCTGCTCCTGCCAACCTAGCAGTTCGAAAGCACATCAGAGTGCAAGTAGATAACTAGGTACCGCTCCAGCAGGAAGGTAAACGGCGTTTCCGTGCGCTGCTCTGGTTCGCCAGAAGCGGCTTAGTCATGCTGGCCACATGACCCGGAAGCTGTACGCCGGCTCCCTCGGCCAGTAAAGCGAGATGAGCGCCACAACCCCAGAGTCGGCCACGACTGGACCTAATGGTCAGGGGTCCCTTTACCTTTACTTTTTAAGGGGGTAGTTTGGGCTGTCATTGGCTCTAGCGCCACCTACTGTTGGGCTCCCTGCCTCCCGCCCTACCAGCCTCAATGGGCACCAGCCACCACGGCCTGGTGCCTGCCACATCTTTACAACCACAGCTCCAAAACTTGCAGGGAAAGGCCACAGCTAGGTGGCAGAGCTTCCCCAACAGCATCTCCAGGGAGGGCTGCCTCCTGAAAGAGTGTTAGAAATTAGCACTTTTGTTTTATTTTTGTAAAAAAAAACCTCAAAATCATTTTATAATGCATACGAAACAGAGAGAACAAAGCTATAACAACAGATGAACATTGAAAGATGAAAAACAAAACCTGTAAAACGAAAAGCACTTAGAATGAGTACAGTTGCGCGTCAGTTAAAATAACAAAGCCCAAGTAAAGAACATTAGCATTATCTGATTCTTAAGTGTCGTTACAGATTTGCCAGGCTTGTGACCAGGGTTGTCTTGAGAATTGTCCTTCTGCTGTCTATGTAATAAAGGAATGCCAGATCATATAAGAAGCACCTGGAGGTTCTGGTCCTTGTGGACATCTCAAGTTCACCCACCTCATGTCACCATCACAACCCCCCCCCCCCGGGTGGTAGGTGAGTCTGAGAGGTAGCAACCGTCCAAGGCTGCTCCAGGGGAATGAAGACGGATTTGATCTTGTCTGGGGTTAGACCTGACAAACCATGCTGGGATGGCAATAGATGGCTGTGTTTGCCAACCTGGTGCCCTCCAGATGTGCTGGGGCTGGTGGGAATGGTGTCCTGCACATCTGGAGGCTGCCAGGTTGACAAAGGATGCCATACCAATGAACGTCCCAGGAAAGCTCTCCCCGTCTGAGCTTTTGCACGCGACACCCAAATTAGTATCTCAAAACATACTGCGGAATCACACACAAACACCCCACCACCACCACCACAATCGAGCCCCTTTTGTGCAAATGTCTGTATCAATTTACGCAAGCGGCGATGATTCCATTTTCTCCCTGCTCTCTCCCCTCTCCCCACATTTTCCTATCTTTAGGGCAGGTTTAAAAAATTGCAGTCATCCTTTTTATCTCTCATTCATCCCCCCCCCCACCTTTCCTGGAAAGAAAGGGGGGAATAAACACACACACACACCCCTCCATCTCCCAAAAAGTGTCCCTTCCTGGCTGACATTGGGATGAATGGAGGTGTTGGATGGGGGGGGGGGGAGATGCCCCCTCTTTGCTGCTGGAATTCGGGTGTTGCAAGAGGTGGGTTTAAAAAAATAATAATATTTTAGATAACCAATTCTCTCTCCCTTTCCCCCGTTCCCCTCCCAGCTGTGTGAGAAACCCCGGATCCAACGGAAATCCGTGCTTTTCCATGCCGGATACGCGGCTTGCAAAAGCTCTCTCTGGCCGCTGGAAAGGGGGAGGCGGGGGAGAGAGGAATGGGACCCGATGGTCACAGCAGTAGGGGAGGGAGAAGGATCTTTCGCGGTGGGGGGGTGGGCTGGGGAAGGAGGAAGAGCCTCTGCATCTTTCAAAACCAAGACCTAACCTTGCCTTCTCTTCTGATTCAAGGATCCGGAGGCACGTAAGTCGCTTTCTTTTGTTACAAAACCCTCTTTTCCAGTGGTGGGGATAACGTAGACCAAGTTGCCGGCGGCGGAGGGGGGGGAGGAGGGGCGGGGAGGGAAAGGAATATATTGATGGGGGCTACCTGCTTCGTTCCTTCGGGGACTCCAGCTGGCAAAAGCAAGGAGGGCTCGGGTTTTTATTTTCCTGCCTTCACTAGGAAATATCCAACCCCCCCTTTGCCAAAGCATGCGTCAAACCCATCCACAACAGCAGCACCCCACATCCTTTCTAAAATCTGGACACAGAACCGTTTCCTTGAGTTTATGGGGGCTGGAGGGGGGGTTGCTCTTGGAAAGGTGGGGGGTGTCTCACCCCACCAGATGTTTCAGATATACATTTAGATGTTTCAGATACGATATTCAGATATTCATTCTGTCTCCCCACCCCCCCTCAAGAGCCTTCCTTCCTTTCCCTTAGAGTCTCTTTGATTATGATTAATTCTATTTATTTATTTTTGCAACAGTTTTTGACTGCAGGAAGGGAGGAAAATGGTTGGCTGGCATAGAAGAGAGACAGCCATGAGGCTCAGACCAGCCGACAACGGAAGCCTTGCAATGCATTCCTAAGGAAACTGTTGGATCCTTACACACACACACACGGAAAAAAACACACCCCACATTTGCACAAGGGGGAGAAAAGAACCCTGAAAACCCTCAACCCTGCTGATTTCCTACCCGTTGCTCTAGAGTAAGCAGCCTCGAGGGGGTGATGACGCACATGGGGGGGGGTGGCAGGATCATTGGAAGGGATGCGCTTAAAAGACTCACCTCCATGGACCTGGGGAAAAAATGGGTTTGATGGCTATTGACCGGGCTTGGGGTGTGGGGTTTTCTTTTTTTAATTGGAGGGGGTGGGGAGACTCTTGTCTGGAAAGCTGAATGGTCAGATTTGCTCTCGGAGAACTGGACGGTGTAGAATTTTCATAGCAGCATTCTCCTAAACTGTCGCTGTCTTTGTATAATGTAAGGTCGAAAGTGTCTCTGTGTGTATATGTATATTTGTATGTGTCTGTGTGTAATGCTATGGAATACAGTTGTGTGAGGGAGAGAGATTTATCATATGCAAACCTCTCGGGAATGACTTGTGCAAGAAAGCTGATATTCTTGCTTCCTCCAACCTGGTGCCCCCCAGCTGCTTTGGACTACAACTCCCACCCTCCAGCTGGGAAGGCTGAAGAGAGTTGTAGAGCAAAGCGGCTTGGACTGGAGGTCTCCGGAGCAACCTTGCCCACCCTTGTCGCTTCACAACAACAGACTCTCCTTGTGGAGATTCACCAAAGTCCCGCTCTGAACATTTTCCGGGGGCATTGCAGGGATTTGTTTATTTAAGTTGTGGCAGGGAGTTAATCTTCTCAGGCTCAAATTTAACCTGGCTGTATTTTATAACACGTATTTTTTTTAAATACGTCCTCCCAGAGGTTGGGCATTTTAATAAACAAACCTGTGGTATTACCTTGCTATCATAGAATTGTAGAGGAAGAGAACCCAAGGAAGGGCCATCTACCTCGGCCCCCTGCAATGCAGAAATCGTGGCTAAAGAATCTGACGAATGGCCACCCAACCTCTCTGTATAATATCTTCTAAGGAAGGTTGAGTGTTGCACATTTGAACGGATGCATAAAGCGCTGCTAGATCAGGCAGTTTCTTTTCGTTTTAGTCCAGCATCGTTTGTGTGTGTGTGTGTGTGAGAGAGAGACTCATAGAATTGCAGAGTTCCCAAGGATCATTTAGTCCAACCCCCTGCAATGCAGGAATCTCAGCTAAAGCATCCATGACAGATTTGCCATCCACTGCAGTCCATGCTGCTAAAACAAAACACTGAGACTTTGTTCTAGCCAAGGCTTTGCTGAAAGTCATGAACCTTGTTGGCTCTGGAAACCTGTGAATCTGTTTGTTGGTGTCGTCAGGCAAGAGTGGGCGGGTGCGTGGGCCAGATCAGTTCCCCAAACTGGGGAAAGGGTTACCGTCTGGGTCAAATGGTGAATCCGCAAGGTGCCATCTTTTCAGTGCAGTAGGCAGAGACCTTACAGGCTGAAATCCTCTTACTCATTCCTGGTGCTGCATCTATATAATCTTGGGTGGCCAATAGCAAGGGGAGGGGTGTGTCAGTGGGTGGGGCATGTGAAGCCCACCCTCCCACTGGGGAGGAGCCAGCCAATCCTAACCCTCCTCTCTCTGTGTGTGTCTTCCCCATCTCCAGGTGGACAAGATGCTTTAGCCTCCTGACTCTAGCACCGTGTCGAGCTCCTCCTACCCCTTCGCAGCCATGCCGCCGCGCCCCTCGTCCGGGGAGCTGTGGGGGCTCCACCTCATGCCCCCGCGGATCATGGTGGACTGCTGCCTCCCCAATGGCATGATCGTCACGCTGGAGTGCCTGCGCGAAGCCACACTCCTGGGCATCAAGCACGACCTTTTCAAGGAGGCCAGGAAATACCCCCTTTTTCACTTGCTGCAGGTAAGCCGACCCTGGGCAGCTAAGGAAACGGGAAGCCGGGAGAGGGAAAGCTTCAGCCCGCTCTGCAGGAGAGGGATTTAGCGAGCCAGGAGCAAGGACCTCTGGCTTAGTAGACCACAACATTAAAATGAGTTCCCAGTGTGATGCAGCAGCAAAAAAGGCTGATGCAATTCTAGGTGGCATCAACAGATGTCCAGTGTCCAAGTGAAGTAATTGTTGTGGTTGTTTAGTCGTTTAATTTTGCCTGTGATAAACCTAGGTTCAATTTGACCTCTTTTAAACAACAACACTTTATGGCCTCTGAGCATCTCCCTCTCTAGACTTGGGAGATATTTGTTGTTTAGTTGTTTAGTCGTGTCCGACTCTTCGTGACCCCCTGGACCAGAGGACGCCAGGCACTCCTGTCTTCCACTGCCTCCCACTTTGGTCAAACTCATGCTGGCACCTTCAAAAACACTGTCCAACCATCTCGTCCTCTGTCGTCCCCTTCTCCTTGTGCCTGGAGCATCAGGGTCTTTTCCAGGGAGTCTTCTCTTCTCCTGAGGTGGCCCAAGTCTTGGAGCCTCAGCTTCAGGATCTGTCCTTCCAGTGAGCACTCCGGGCTGATTTCCTTCAGAATGGAGAGGTTGGATCTTCTTGCAGTCCATGGGACTCTCCAGAGTCTCCTCCAGCATCATATTTCAAAAGCATCCATTCTTCGGCGATCAGCCTTCTTTATGGTCCAGCTCTCACTTCCATACATCACTAAGTGAAGTATTAGTATCACTCTATTCTGCCTTGGTCAGACCACACTGGGAGTGCTGTATGCAGTCCTGGGCACCTCAGTTTAAGAACAATATTGACCAGCTGAAGTGTGTGCAGAGGAGGGCAACCAAGATGATCAAGGGTCTGGAAACCAAGCCTGATGAGGAACGGTCGAGGGAGCTGGGTGTGTTTAGAAGGGAGAAGACTGAGAGATGATAGGATTGTCACATGGAAGATGGAGCAAACTTGTTTTCCGCTGCTCTGGAGGGCAGGACCCAAACCAGCGGATTCAAGTTATAAGCGAAGGCTGGGAGAGACTCTCAATAAACCATAAACAGTATATACTATTCATTGTATTGAATTGCCGATTTCAACAGAAGTAACTCAAAGTTCAGCGAAAAAAGTAGAAGCCCAGTGGATCAGTTCATTCTCTAATCAGTTTATGCATAAGGTCCATATATGTGAAAGTGTCTATTCCACCTGTCTGTTCATAAAGTCCAACAATCCACACGAAAGGTTGTTGCAGTTCCACGGAATCCTTTCACAGAGTCTACGACAAGGATTTCCAGAATATTAGCCTTGTTTTCGCCATCTTGGGCTTCATCAGTGGTACAAACTCTAAGTAATGCAAATAAATACAATATCGTAATCTCATATATTTTACAGCAAAATTAATATAAAAACCGTCAACAACCGTACATACCATATATGATATCACAGGACAGTTGTTCTTATAGCATAGTAGTAGCTGCTGTAAGCAGCAGCTTTTACAGAGTAGAGTTATATGGACAAGCACAATATTGATTCAAGTACTTTTGGGTGAGACTCTCTGCTTGAAAGTCCTGGAGAGCCACTTCTGCCACTCAGTGTAGACCAGACTGAGCTAGATGGACCAAGGGTCTGACTAAGGAGAAGGCATCTTCCTATGTTTCCCTATATCATCCATCAGTTTCCTTTCGAAGCTATCTAAGCCCATTGCCACATCTTGTGGCAATGAGTTCCATAAGCCAGCAGTGCGTTTTGTGTGACGAAGTTACTTCCCTTCTGCTCTTCCTGTACCTATCCCCACATCAATACCGTTGGGCGACCCTGCATTCTAGCATTATGAGAGAGGAAGGAAGGAAGACATAGAATGACAGGATCATACAATCACAGAATTGTAGAGTTGGAAGGGACCCCCAAGGGCCATCTAGTCTAACCCCTGACGATGTATCTGGGAAACGATTGGGTTAGGGAAGGAAGTCTAGTGCATGGGAAGATGGGTCTCTGGGAGGTGTTCAGTGTCTCCCTTTGCTTCCCTACCCAGGAGGAATCTTCCTACATCTTTGTAGGGGTGACGCAGGAAGCCGAGAGGGAAGAATTCTTTGATGAGTCCCGGCGCCTTTGTGACCTCCGTCTCTTCCAGCCCATCCTGAAGGTCATTGAGCCGGTGGGAAACCGGGAGGAAAAGATCCTCAACCGGGAAATTGGTGAGTCCGAGGCCAAACTAGACAAGGGGGGGTCAGTCGAGTGGTACCCAGAAGGCTTGATGGTCAAGTGTCCCTCCTTTGCTCCCAGGGTTTGCGATCGGGATGCCCATCTGCGAATTCGAGCTGGTCAAGGACCCCGAGGTGCAGGAATTTCGGCGGAACATCCTGTCGGTTTGCCGCGAAGCCGTGGAGACCCGGGGATCTGCGGGGCCCCCGAGTCAGGCTCTGTATGTCTACCCCCCCAATGTGGAATCCAGCCCAGAGTTGCCCAAACACGTGTACAGCAAACTGGACAAAGGTAAACTGGGGCTTTATTAGAGGCAGAGGGACAGGAATTGGGTGTGTTTCTATAGCATGCATTTAATTTTTACGATGGAGGGGCGAAATGTTTTGGCGAGGAGGCATTGTTGTGTGTTTTTAAAATCTGGGGGAAGGAGAAATGTGGCCGGAGGAGAGATACCACTTTCCCCCTGAGTGAACCCGATTAGATTAATTTCCTGATGGCTTCCCTTCAAAGCCATTTTGGACCATTGTAGGTTCAGGTCTTTGTGACCTGTTTCTGCTGTTAGTATTTGTGAGAACGTAAGTTCAGTTATGAGAGCAAGGATATGCCCGGGGTCCATTTTTCCTCACCGGATGTCGCCTTGTGATGTGTTGCGCACAAGACACATCATATGGGGACTTTCGGCGAGGAAAAATGGCAGGCGCCACGGCAGCGAGCAGCTCCTGAAGCCAGCCAGAGCCAACTGCGCTACCAGGTTGGCTCCGGGCTGCTGAGGCTGTTGCTATCACGTTTCCTGGGGACAGATTTGCAAATCTGGGGACGGGATTTGTCCAGGGACAAATTTGCAAATCCAAGGATGGGATTTGTCCAGGGACAAATTTGCAAATCCGGGGACAGTCCCCGGGAACCGGGGATGTCTGGTATCCCTACTGTAGAGTAGGCCAGGCTGAGATATAGTGACTTCGCCAGAGGGTCCTCCTATTCCCTCTCCCCCCGCCTCCCCCCACCCCGGCCACGCTGACCATGCGCTCTCTCTCTCTCTCTCCGCCGCACCATACCAGCTCACCCGAATGACAGTTCCTTGTCCTGCTTTTCCCCCCCACCCTCCTTCCGTCTCCTGAAGGTCGGATCATAGTTACCATTTGGGTTATTGTGTCTCCAAACAACGACAAACAGAAATACACCCTCAAGACCCCCCACGACGCGTTGCCGGAGCAGGTGATCGCCGAGGCCATCCGGAAGAAGACACGGAGCATGCACCTGTCGCCGGAGCAGCTGCGCCTGTGCGTGCAGGAGTACCAGGGGAAGTACCTCCTCAAGGTGTGCGGCTGCGACGAGTACTTGCTGGAGAAATACCCGCTCAGCCAGTACAAGGTGAGGTGGCCCTTCCTGCCCACAGCCCTGCCTCCCTCCCTCCCTTCCACACCCCACTCACTGCCTCCCCTCTCCCTGCCCCCCCAGTACATGAGGAACTGCATCACCATCGGCCGCCTGCCCCACCTGATGCTCATGAGCAAGGAGAGCCTCTACAGCCAGCTGCCGGCCAACGTCTTTGTGCTGCCCTCCTACGCCCGCCGCTCGGCGACCTCTTCCCACGTCAACGGAGACGTCCCCACCAAGTCGCTCTGGTCCATCAACAGCCTCCTGCGCATCAAGATCCTGTGCGCCACCTACGTCAACGTCAACATCCGGGATATCGATAAGGTTGTGGGCGGAAAGGAGCAAGTGAAGCCAGGGAGGGAATAGGGGGCCATACAACTCGCATTGCACAGACCGACTCCCTATTTATTTTCATATTTTATATAAATTTATATACAAAGCAAATCAAGGGGTGGCAAATTTTGCTAAATTTATTCTGTGGCTCCTTGGAGAGGAAGGGGCCAGTGGCGTTAAGAGCAGGAGACCCCCCAACTCTTTCCTCTCTTCCTCTTAGGACTCATAGAAGGGACCTTGAGAGTCACCTGGTCCAAACCCCTGCAATTCTGGAATCTCAGCTAAAGCATCCCTGATTCAGATAGCCACCTCTGCTTAAAAACATCCAAGAAAGGAGATTCCACAACCTCCTGAGGGAGTCCATTCCACAGTCGAACAGCTCATACCGCCAGAAAGTTCTTCCCAGTGTTCAGTCGGAATCGCCTTTCTTGTAACTTGAATCCATTGAATCCCTTTCCAGATCTACGTCCGGACGGGGATTTTCCACGGCGGGGAGCCCCTTTGCGACAACGTCAACACGCAGCGTGTTCCGTGTTCCAACCCTCGGTAAGTGTGGCATAACTAACGGGGAGTTGCCTTATACTGACCCAGGGCGTTGGGGGTCCACCTCGCTCAGAACGGCCTTCATTGAGATCCGTGGCTTTCAGAATCTCAGGCGGGGGGGTGGGTCTTTCCCAGCCCTGCCTAGAGATGCCATTGAGGATTTGACCTGGGACCCCTATTTGCATGCAAAGCTTAAACTGCTCTTCTCTGGTGGGGGAAGGAGAAAAGTATGGGGACGAGGGGATCCAGCGCCATGAAGAGGGTGGTGGGGGTGAGTTGCAGCCCCCCTGTACTGACACCCCACTCCCCCTCTTCCTCACTGCCAGGTGGAACGAGTGGCTGTCGTACGACATCTATCTCACCGACTTGCCCCGGGCTGCCCGACTCTGCGTTTCCATCTGCTCAGTGAAAGGCCGGAAAGGGGCCAAGGAGGTGAGCCGGGATTTGGGATTTCCCCGTGGTTTAATTCAAGGGTCAGCTGAGACCTGTAGGAAGCTGGTTCGTCCTGAGTCAGAGCATTAGTCCATTCAGCTCAATATTAAATATAACAATGACAGGCAGCGGTTTTCCAGGGTTTCAGATATTTGTCTCTCAGCCCTGCCTGGGATTGAACCTGGGACCTTGCAAACCAGGTGCTCTCCCACTGAGCTGTGGCCCTGCCTTAATCCTTGAATGTGTAAAAGGGTGGTGAAGAAGAGAGCACCGCCGAGGATGTGCACAAGCCGTAGGCCATGGGTAGGCAAACTAAGGCCCGGGGGCTGGATCTGGCCCAATTGCCTTCTCAATCCGTTCCGCGCACGGTCCGGGAATCAGCGTGTTTTTACATGAGTAGAATGTGTACCTTTATTTAAAATGTATCTCTGGGTTATTTGTGGGGCATAGGAATTTGTTCATTTCCCCCCACAAAATATAGTCTGGCCCCCACAAGGTCTGAGGGACAGTGGACCGGCCCCCTGCTGAAAATGTTTGCTGATCCCTGTGAGCCTAGGCCTTCCTCCACGCTGCAGCTACAGGTTAGGGGTCAGGCGGTTTCAGGAGCCCCAGCACCTCTTTTCTTTTGGGGAAATTAAGTTCACCTGCAAACCAAGACACCTGGATTGTCTGTGATGGGGAATCTTGGGAGGGGCGAGGTCTTCAACCGGCTGGTTGGGACACACGACAGAGTTCCGGCCCGATTCAAGGCGGGTCGCAGCAGCAGCCCTCCTGCCGTGCAAATAAATGTTTTAAAAAAGAAAGAAGTGGTTCTCCAAATACATGTTTGGGTTAAAGGTGGGTCCCCTGTCTAAAAAAGACTGCTGTTTGAGAGTCCGCTAGCTTAAGGGACGGAGGCACTCCTTCTGCGCCCTGACTCAGCCCCCCATGGTCTCTCTGCCCCCTTGCCTAACAGGAGCACTGCCCCCTGGCCTGGGGCAACGTCAACCTCTTTGATTACAAAGACACGCTGGTGGCTGGGAAAATGGCTCTGAACCTTTGGCCCGTTCCCCATGGCCTGGAAGATTTGCTGAACCCCATTGGAGTGGGGGGCTCCAACCCCAATAAAGTGAGTCTGCTAGTCAGCTTTGCAATACCGTTGTTGTTGTTGTTGTTTTGTTATTGCATTGCTTTTTGTCCAAGTTAGGTTTTATTACTGTTTGTAGCCAGGGGCCATTACAATATGGACATAAAACACATATGTGCAAAACACACATCACCAATCCAATTAGAGTACAAATAAGCTGGATTTAAAATGCTCCATTGGGTTAAAAGCTTCCCTTAACATGTAGCCCTGATCTGAGTGAGAAAGGCCTCTCTTTATCTTTTTTGCAGCTAGTGCAAATAAAGCGGCCTTTAACTAATGCCTGTTTCTGCATCAGCCTGCAGCCACCTTATCTTAAAACCATCTGGTTGGCCTTCCAAGAAAGTCTGAAAAGGGAGAATAAAGGCTTGTCCCGCTCTTTCCAGGCACAAGTCCACGCTTAAAAGCTTTGTGTCTGATCATTTTTCGGTTTCTTTTGCCCTTTCAAAAACCCACTCTTTAGCGCTCAATCGGAACAATAGTCAATTTGTGTTTTCCATGGATCGTCGTTGGCTCCGATTAAGCTTTAAAGGGTGGGTTTTCTCAGGGAAAGCTCTGGGGCGGAAAATAGGTGCTCAGACAAGGAGCTTTAAAGCACAGACCATGCCTGGAAAGAGCAGAGGAAGTGTGGATAAGCTCTAAACAGAACCCTTGGTGGATTTATAAATAATAATATAAGATATAGTGCACTACATCTTCAATTTGTTCTCCATAAGAGTACATATGTACACAGAAACATTCCTTTACTAGCTTCTTATAAAACCTGCTTTGGGCCCCTCCACGCATCCTTTTTATTCTGCATTCATAACGACTTGTGCTCATCATGGTGTCAGGGTAAGGTAAAGGGACCCCTGAGCATTAGGTCCAGTCGTGGCCGACTCTGGGGTTGCAGCGCTCATCTCGCTTTACTGGCCGAGGGAGCCGGCGTACAGCTTCCGGGTCATGTGGCCAGCATGACTAAGCCGCTTCTGGCGAACCAGAGCAGCGCACGGAAACGCCATTTACCTTCCCGCCGGAATGGTACCTATTTATCTACTTGCACTTTGACGTGCTTTTGAGCTGCTAGGTTGGCAGGAGCAGGGACCGAGCAACGGGAGCTCACCCCGTTGCTGGGATTCGAACCGCCAACCTTCTGATCGGCAAGTCCTGGGCTCTGTGGTTTAACCCACAGCGTCACCCGCGTCCCAGTTATACACAAACTCGCTTTCAATACCATTTGCTCCCGCAAAAGATTTCCGAATTAACAAACTCCTTCGTTGCCAATTGGCACAGGTGCCCCCCGCAACTTTTTGCTAAAATCCTGCAGCTTTTCATCCTGGAAACATTAAAGAGGACCCTGTACTTGCCCTACATTTGTAAGATTCAGGATAAAAGAAGGCCTTCACGCAGCGCATAGTTAAAATTATGGAGGCACAGGAGGCAGCAATGGCCACCAACTTGGATGGCCTTAAAGGAGCCTTTTTGTTTTCCCTTTGGGGCATCTGCGTGGTCACTGAGAGAACAGGCTGCTGGGCCATGGATCTGATCCAGCAGGCTATTATTAGGTTCTTACACACCTGCGATCTCATCACCTTTGCTTTCCCCTCTGTAGGAGACCCCGTGCCTTGAGCTGGAATTCACTTGGTACAGCCACACCGTCAAATTTGCTGATGCCACCGAGATAGAGGAGCACGCCAACTGGGCCATGTCCCGGGAGCTTGGACTCAACTACTGTATGGTGGGACTGGTAAGAGATCCAACTCCATCGTAGGACTGTAGGGGGGGAGAAATGGCTCTCGTGGGCAGAAAGAAAGGGGCGTCTGACTTACTCGGATAGGTCTCCCTGTTCCATGGCACTTACTTTCCTAGGCTTGGGGTGAGAAGACAAGGCAATGCCATAGGACACTTTAGCCTTCCCCAATCGAGTGCTGTCTGAATGTTGTTGGACTACAACTCCCATCAGCCACAGTCTAGGGCTGATGGGAGTTGTAGTCCTCAACATCCAGAGCAGTGGGCAGTAGTGCCCCCTGGGGGGAATTACTTAGGCACTAGGAGGCATGTGGGCAGCAGGAGGGTGCTGGAGGTGGAAATGACTACCAGGGTCTGAAAAGCTGGTATCGCCGGATCAAGCTCATCCATTTTGCTGAATTAATTAAGCTACATCTTTTTAACTGGATTTTGAATAAATGTGCAATTCATTGTTACTGTTTTGAATTTTACGGTGTCATTATCTCCCTTAGGAGGTTGTGCAAACCGCAATACTGAATAGTGCCTTTTGTGTAGGGTAGAGGGCAAGGGGGATGAGCTTTTATAGGGCCAAGGCTAGTTTGGAAACCCCTGGTCTGGAGGGCACCAGGTTGGGGAAGGCTGGGAAACACATTAAGGCTTCTCCTTCTTCTTGTCAGATAAAAAAAAGACAATGCTTCAAGAGAAAACGAGAGAGAAAAGTTCCCTCGTTTCCATAGTGAAACCTTTCCTAGTCAAGAGAGTAGATCTATATATATTTAGCTGAAGTGCCTGGCAGGGAAACCAAATGTAGGACACATGGATACAAGGCCTCGGTTTTGCAGCTCAGTTTGTTAACTTGCCAGGGATTGTTCCACTGTATAGGAAGCATCTCTGAGGCTACACATCTCTGATCTGGGAGGGACTGGCCGGCCAAGTGATAGAGAGAGGGAGGGATGGGAAGGAGCCAAACTGGGGGTTCTGAACCAGGGTGATAACCTTCTGCTTCTGTTGCCTCCTTTGTCCAGAGCAACCGCCTGGCCCGGGACAGCTCCCTGGATGAGAGTGAGCTGGAGCAGCTGAGAAGCATCTGCAATCGGGACCCCCTTTCGGAGATCACGGAGCAAGAGAAGGACTTCCTGTGGCGACACCGGTGGGTGGGTGGGCGCCGGGGATCCTGGGTGATCTCTGTAGCGGGAGAGGGCCTCCTGCCAGATTTCTCCACCTCCCTGCTAGATGAGATTTGCACATTCAAAGGGAGGGGTGACTTATTTGTTTAAACAAAGAATAAATGACACTGGACCATCTTAAGGCGATGGGTGCCCACCTCTGATGAAGAGAGCACAGCAGAGGTTATATTTTCTGAGAATCCTCCGGAAAAACAATCTCTCAAAGGACCTGTTGGTGGCATTTTACCATTGCACTGTGAAGAGTGTATTAACTTATGGTCTCTGTGTGTGGTTTGGGAGCTGCACGGCCAGGGAAAAAACAATGCTGTCCAGGGTTGTAAAGACTGCGAAGAGAATAACTGGGTGCCCTCTTCCCACCTTGGATCAAATCTATGTTGTCAGGTGCCATAAGAAAGCTGCAGAGATAGCGCAGGATAGTGCGCACCCCAGAAATGATCTCTTTCAGCTTCTGCCTTCTGGAAGAAGGTACAGGGTTATAAAGACCAGGATTAGCCGCCTGAGAAACAGTTTCTACGCAAATGCAATTCTGGTTCTAAACGCAGCATAAGGAGTCTCTATAGTATATTGTATTTTAAAATGGGGTTTCAGAGTTTTTAGGGGTTTTTGAATGTTTTATGTAGATTTTCAGTTTCATTGTTCTGTATGGGACAAGGACAATAAAGATATTGTATATCGTAAAGGCAGGCCTGCATTAAGACTGCACCTGTTAGCAGAATTAGTTCCAGTGGGTTAGTGCAGCAGATGGGATATGGGGGAGGACTCCTGGGTTTGTGAGCGGTGAGAACAGGAGGTCTGGGTCCTGTCTATCCCTCAGGGGTTCTTTAGCTGTGATTCCTCTACTGCAGGGGGGTTGGACTAAATGATCCTTTAGCCCCCTTCTGACTCTACAGCCCTATGATTATTTTTTCCCCTTCCAGGCACTACTGTGTCAACATCCCGGAGACCCTCCCTAAATTACTGCTGTCTGTCAAGTGGAATTCGCGGGACGAGGTGGCTCAGGTGAGACTAAGAGCTTTCTTGGGTGTCTCGTCAGAGACACAGCCCACCTTCCCCCTCAAAGCTCCTGGCTGGGATTGGATAATAATAATAATAATAATAATAATAATAATTTATTTACTGTATTTTTCGCTCTATAACACGCAACAGACCATAACACACAAGTAGTTTTTAGAGGAGGAAAACAAGAAAAAAAATATTCTAAAAGAAATAGTGGATATATGATTTTTGTCGTTCATGCTGTGGCCACAGACATGTGATCTGACAGTGAGTTTGGAGTAGCCCAATGCAAAAATCCTGAGGATCCATGTGGATCCATGCTTTGTAACCACAGAGGAGGGAAGGAAGGGGAACCATGGATCCTCTGCTCACGACTGCAGATCCCCCCCGCCACCCGCAGGCATTCGCTCCATAACATGCACAGACATTTCCCCTTACTTTCTAGGAGGAAAAAAGTGAGTGTTATGGTGCAAAAAATACAGTATGCCCCGCCCATCTGGCTGGGTTTCCCCAGCCACTCCGGGCGGCTTCCAACAAACCACTAAAATACAATAACCTATTAAGCATTAAAAGCTTCCCTAAACAGGACTGCCTTCAGATGTCTTCTAAAAGTTTGGTAGTTATTTTTCTCTTTGACATCTGGTGGGAGGGCATTCCACATGGCAGGTGCCACCACCGAGAAGGCCCTCTGCCTGGTTCCCTGTGATGATTTCCTGCAAATCATTTCCCTTGTAATTCCCAACCTGCCTCTTCCTTCTCCCTCCGCAGATGTACTGCCTCCTCCGGGAATGGCCGCTGATTAAACCTGAGCTCTCCATGGAACTCCTCGATTGCAATTTCCCAGATCCGGTGGTGAGGGAATTTGCTCTGAAATGCCTTGTGAAGGGCCTCACGGACGACAAGCTTTCCCAGTATCTCATCCAGCTGGTGCAGGTAACCACCTCTGGTGTTATTGACTGTTATGTACTGAGTTGAATAGGATCCGAAAGGCAGCAGTCTGATTGGTCCTAGAACAATAGGGTTCAGAATGCAGCAGTCTGATTGGTCCTAGAACAATAGGGTTCAGAATGCAGCAGTCTGATTGGTCCTAGAAGAATAGGATTCAGAATGCAGCAGTCTGATTGGTCCTAGAACAATAGGGTTCAGAATGCAGCAGTCTGATTGGTCCTAGAACAATAGGGTTCAGAATGCAGCAGTCTGATTGGTCCTAGAACAATAGGATTCAGAATGCAGCAGTCTGATTGGCCCTAGAACAATAGGATTCAGAATGCAGCAGTCTGATTGGTCCTAGAACAATAGGGTTCAGAATGCAGCAGTCTGATTGGTCCTAGAACAATAGGATTCAGAATGCAGCAGTCTGATTGGCCCTAGAACAATAGGATTCAGAATGCAGCAGTCTGATTGGTCCTAGAACAATAGGGTTCAGAATGCAGCAGTCTGATTGGTCCTAGAACAATAGGATTCAGAATGCAGCAGTCTGAGTGGTCCTAGAACAATAGGGTCCAGAATGCAGCAGTCTGATTGGTCCACAGGAGCCACCCAATCCAGCTCCAGGTAGAAGTGAATCCACAACCAGATTGGCCTACAGGTGAATCCCGGAATTAGCCAATCACGTGGGGCCCATTGTGTAAATAATGTATATAAAGCAGATATTCTGGGGGAACTTCTATTCCTCCTCACCACTATGAGCTGAATAAAGAGCATGAAATCCACTCTCGACTCTGAGTATATTTCATTGACCATGGTTGGCTTTTTAAAATTATTATTCTATTCCTCGTAAGTTCGCCTTGAATGCATGCTAAACAGAAAGAGGGATATGAGTTGATAAACTCAATTAGACTTTGCCTAACTTGTGCCCTCTAGGCACTTTGGACCGCAATTCCCACCAGCCCTAGCTAGCATGGCCGTGCAGAGATACAACAATGGGGATTTCTGCCTCTTGTGCGCTTTTTGTCCTGGCAGGACCAACACGGCAACAGGGCAAGCTGCACTCCTTCCGTGGCTCTTTCTCTTTTGCATGGCACGACACCCACAAGCTAGAAATAAGCACACACCCTTTGACACCTTTGACTCTCCCCCTTGAAGGTTCTCAAGTACGAGCAATACCTGGACAACCCCTTGGCTCGCTTCCTGACCATGAAAGCCCTGACCAACCAGCGGATTGGGCATTTTTACTTCTGGCATCTCAAGTAAGTGCCGGGATGAGAGATGTGGAACTGATGGGTGTGGTGGGGTTAATAGAAGCGGAGCTGAGAAGGAAGTTTGCAAGTGTATAGGTCGGCCCTCAGGACTTGGGGCAGGACCTTTGTCTACGCTGCGTATACACCATGCATTTAAAGCATCAAAACAATGCAACGCGCTGCGACATTTCATCGCAGCTCCCACTTGTGTGCTGTCACCATTATCGTCACCATCGCCAGCTCATTTGCACGCATGCTGCTTTTCCGTGTTAGAGCCCTGCTCAAAGCAGCTCACAGCTACGTGCAGAATAAACGTTAGCAACATTTCGAGATGCTGTGTTAATGGTTTCAAAGCAGAATGCAGTTTAAACAAGAATCATAGAATCATAGAGTTGGAATACACCAAAAGGGCCATCGAGTCCAACCCCCTGCCAAGCAGGAAACAGTCGCACTAATATCAATCAATAGGGCAAAGAAACATTGAAGCAATGCCTACCAATAAAATAAAAAAATTAAATTGCAGCAGCAACAATATCCAAGGCAGGTGGAGACACTTGTCCTTGATGGTTCCAGCAGACTCCCCAGTAGCAATGTGCTGTAGGAGGATACTGTAGTTCCACTGAGCTACTATCCCTCCCCAGTCCTAGAAACATATAATAGTAATAATAATAATAATTAATAATAATAATAATAATAATAATATATTTATACCCTGCCCATCTGGCTGGGTTTCCCCAGCCACTCTGGGTGGCTTCCAACAGAATATTAAAATACAATAACCTATTAAACATTAAAAGCTTCCCTAAACAGGGCTGCCTTCAGATGTCTTCTAAAAGTCAGATAGTTGTTTATTTCCTTGACATCTGGTGGGAGGGTGTTCCACAGGGCAGGCGCCACCACCGAGAAGGCCCTCTGCCTGGTTCCCTGTAACTTGGCTTCTCGCAGGGAGGGAACTGCCAGAAGGCCCTCGGAGCTGGACCTCAGTGTCCGGGCAGAACGATGGGGGTGGAGATGCTCCTTCAGGTATACTGGGCCTTTGAGGCCGTTTAGGGCTTTAAAGGTCAGCACCAACACTTTGAATTGTGCTTGGAAACGTACATAGAAGTGTATGGTTGTCCATCCCCCTGCAGTGCTGGAACCACAACTAAATATTCCATTGCTGATGGTCATCCAAGGAAAGAGAGCCTTGCAAGCGAGTCCCGTTTCAGTGCGACGGTCCCAGGAATCAAGCTGGTGTGGGTCTTTCAGAATGGGCTGGGTTGGGGGTAATGGGCTCTGAGTCGGAACTTTGTTGCCTCCCGCAGGTCAGAGATGCACAGCAAGCCCGTCTCTCAGCGCTTTGGGCTGATGCTGGAGGCCTTTTGCCGGGGCTGCGGGATGTACCTCAAGCACCTGAACAGGCAGGTGGAGGCCATGGAGAAACTCATCAACCTCACCGACATCCTCAAGCAAGAGAAGAAAGACGAGACGCAGAAGGTACCTGCCTTGGACCCCCAAGTTCCCCTCCAAGCCGCGCTGCTGCTCATTGCCTCCACAACGAGAAAGCCAAACAGAGCCCAACGCACACAAACTTGTTCAGAGGGGTTAAGTCCAGGGCTTGCGTTCTGGGGGAGAAGGTGGAGGAGGGTGGGTGCAATGAAATCTACAAACCTCATGCCCCACTTTTGGCCAAATAACCCTACTCCACCTGCCTGTATCCTTCTAAAAACTGCCTTAAGAGGCTGTCACAAAAGCCACGGAGGGCGTCCTAAAAGCCCTCTCTGCTTCCCTGCTGTAACTCAAGCCCTGGACTAGACTGCTCTCCTCTGTTCTGAGCATAGCTGTCAACGTTTCCCTTTTTTAAAGGGAAATTCCCTTGTTCCGAATAGGATTCCTTGCAAGAAAAGGGAGAAGTTGACAGCTATGATCCTGAGTAGGCAAACCAAGGAGAAAACCCCAGGACTCAAAAGAAACCAGGAAATCTTAAACCGCAACAATATTTGTGGCACCTTGAAAGTTTTAACATATTTCATTACAGCCATAAATTTTTGGGGCTTCGTCCATGAAAGGTTATGCTGTAATACAGCTGTAATAATACACTGATGTTGGAAGATTCAGGGCAGAGCAAAGAAAAGAAAAGGCCTTCCTGCAGCGCGTAAGTTAAACTATGGAGATTGCAGGACAGGAGAATTGCTTGTGTGCTCAGGTCCTGCTAATAATAATAATTATAATTTATACCCCGCCCTCCCTGGCCAAAACCGGGCTCAGAGCGGCTAACATCAAGTATATAACACATTAACATAAAATCAGGCAATTAATTAAAATACATCCTAAAATCAGAATAAAATCCAATCAGATGGCAACCCACAGATTAGGGTTGGGAACCTTAAATGCTTAAATGTAGAGCTAAGTCTTCGCTTTTCACTTGCTACACGCAATCCTCCCTAATGGGCGCAGGCTAGAAAAGGGCGGCGGGGTGTGTGTGTGACGATTGTACCACAGCAGGCCCAATAGGAACCTCATGAACACAGCTGTCTTCCTGCCACCATCATGGGTTTCTGCTGGAGCAGAACTGTGGAGAAGGGCCAAAAAGGTATTTGTTCCATCAACAAAACATAAACACATAATACACCGTATTTTTCAATGCACCTGACCATAAGACGCACCTAGTTTTTAGAGAGGGAATGCAAGGGAAAAAATATTCTTTAAAGGGAGCGCTGAGCAGAGCATGTATGCATCCCAGGCTCTGCTCAACGCTCCCTTTCACGAGCCGCGTGGAGCGTGTGTGCGGCGCTTGCAGGCTTTTCCCCGAGGAGGGAGAAGGGCAGCCCGTCAGTGATGGGCTGCCCTTCTCCCTCCTCGGGGAAAAGCCCCCAAGAGCCACACACACGCTCGGCGCGGCTCTTTAAAAGGAGCGCGGCTCTTGGGGGCTTTTGCAGGAGGTGGGGGAAGGGACACCCATGCGCTCTGTCCCTTCCCCCACCTCCCGCAAGAGCCGCGTGCTCTTTAAAGGGAGCGCAGCTCTTGGGGGCAGCGATCCCTCTTGCTGTCCTGGCTTATGGGATAGCCGCACGCAGCCTCTCCCGGGCAGCGGGATGAAGGCTCCCCCAAGAGCCGCGCTCCCTTTAAAGAGCGCATGGAGCGTGTGTGCGGCTCTTGGGGGCTTTCCCCGAGGAGGGCGAAGGGCAGCCCTTCTCCTCGGGGAAAAGCCCCCAAGAGCCACACACACGCTCCATGCGGCTCTTTATAGGGAGCGCTGAGCAGAGCCTCCTGCCTGCATTTGCTCCATAAGACGCACACACATTTCCCCTTACTTTTTAGGAGGGGGAAAGTGTGTCTTATAGCGCGAAAAATACGGTACTATTGCTGTAGAAAAGCGCCCATACCTATTGTGGGTTTCCCATTGGGGCATCTGGGCGGCCACTGTGAGAAACAGGATGCTGGACTAGATGGGCCATAGACCTCATCCAGCAGGGCTGTTTTCATGTTCTTAAGTCTTCAAGGTGCCGCAAGACCCGTTTTTGCTGCAGCAGATTAACCCAGCTCCCCGTTTAAGAAAGCTCGGCTGTGGTTAATTTTCCAAACAGAAGAGGTTCTGGGGCTCAGGCCTGCGTGGAAGCAGACCCACTTCCCGTTGTGTGTGAGTGGCTGGGCTTAACTGCAGCTGTGTATAGAGACACTTTGCAGAAGCTCAGGGGCTCTTTCTCTTCCTCTCTCTGTCCCCACTCTCCTCCTCGCCCTCCTCCCAAGATGCAGATGAAGTTCCTGGTGGAGCAGATGAGGAGGCCAGATTACATGGAGGCGCTTCAGGGCTTCATCTGTCCCCTCAACCCTGTGCACCAGCTGGGCAACCTCCGGTGAGACCAAGGGGAAGGTTTTGGCCATTTAAAGCAGCGGGGGTTGGGAAGGAGGGGGCAGGAAAGGGACCCGGACTCCTGGGTCCCCCGGAAGAGGGCTGGTGGCAGGGGGACAGCTCAAAGCAGCCTCCGAGCACACAGCTGTGACCAGATGTTCCCTCTGCTCCAGGTTGGACGAGTGCCGGATCATGTCTTCGGCCAAGCGCCCCTTGTGGCTCAACTGGGAGAATCCCGACATCATGTCCGAGCTGCTCTTCACGAACCACGAAATCATTTTTAAAAATGGAGATGGTGAGTGGGAAGGGAGCTCAGGGATGGATGAGGGGGGGAGAGAAGAGCCGGGAGCATTGCTTGCAGCAGAGGGGCGGGGAACCCTTTTCATCCCGAGGGCCACACCCCCCTTTTGGCAAGCTCCCGAGGGCCACATGCAAATTGTGGGTGGAGCCAGAGGCAAAAGTGGGTGGAGCAATGAATGTAAATTTTACCTTCGTACCATAGACTAGTTTCTACACATCCAGCCGGGCAGAAACACTTGAGGGCAAACCAGGAGCAGTGAGGGAGTTGTGAGAGGGCAGATAACAGTGGTTTGGAGGGCCACATTCAGCCCTTAGGCCCAGGGTTCCTGAACCCCTTTTCTCCTTCAGACAGCACCCATTCAGTTCTCCCCCCAGGGGCTTGTGTGAAGCATGATGGGAAAATCCATTATTGGATGTGATTCCACTGCCCACAACATCTTGCAGCCCGGCACTTAGGCAGATCTTTTCTCCATCTGTTTATATACCCTTAAAAAACCCCAAACCATCAGGTTACACCCAGTGGCTGCGAGTTACTTCCAGTGCAAGTTTTGGCATTTTATTTATTTATTTCATACATTTATACGCGGTTTGATGCCAAAACGGTCTCTAAGCAGTTTGCAAACTGTATAGAAAACCGTCGACGAAACTGGAAAACTACAGTAATAACGAGAACAATAAAATCCCCACAAAGCAAAAAGCACTTTTTTTTTGCTTTGCAGGGAAGAATCTTAAGAGTCAGGGATCCGTTCCCTCTTCACACACCTTTCTTTCTTGCCAAGGCCCAGCCCAGACAGCCATCTGACTCTCACCCAGGTTGCTACCTCCTGCCCAAGACTCTCACCCACCCAAGGAAACAACCCTCCGTGGTACTGCTTCCCAAGCTTCGCCAAGCTCAAAAATAACACTCAAAATTGATATATACAAATATACACATATACCGTATTTTCCACTCCATAAGATGCACTTTTTTCTTCCTAAAAAGTAAACAGAAATGTCTGTGCATCTTATGGAGCGAATGCGTGGTCCCTGGAGCCAAATTGCCCAGGGGCAAAAAGTAGATCATGCTTTTTTTTTCAGAAAGAGGGAAGGGGGTGTTGAAAGGAAGCAGCTGATCGGAAAGCGATCGGGGAGGGAGATAAGGGACGCTAGAGATAAAGGAGGCTGCTTGGGAGGGGGGAGGTAAAAGCCCATGGATCCTCAGGATTTTTGCATTGGGTCACCCCAAATTTACCATCAGATCACATAGCATGCCCATGGCTACAGCCTGCACCAAAAAAATCATATATCCACTGTTTCGTTCAGAATATTTTTTTTCTTGTTTTCCTCCTCTAAAAACTAGGTGCATCTTATGGTCAGGTGCGTCTTACGGAGCGAAAAATACAGTACCTAATATACACAAAAATATGAACCTAACTTGAAGTGGGGTGGGACGTTCTCAGCCTTGCTTCCACCCCAAAGGATTCTCTTTCGTATCTTGTCGTGTCCCTTTGTTGTCGTTCCCTTCTTGAGTTCCCCATTCCATTTTAAGGAAGAGACACGCCAGGATCCATGATTTCCATTTTTCTCCCCGCATCAGCACCAAAGCTCACACCCACACGCCCAGCCTCTCAGCCCATCAGAGGACAACTCACTCCCGACCACTCCAGCCGCTTCTTTGTTTTAATAATCTCCTCTGTGATCCCCAGACCTCCGGCAAGATATGTTGACTCTGCAGATCATCCGGATCATGGAGAGCATGTGGCAGAACCAAGGACTGGACCTCAGGTAGCGTTAAGGCAACGTGTCGTGGGGTGGGACTTTTGCCTACTCTTTCATCCTCATTTGACCTTTGCTTTGAAAACAAGTGAATTCTCTTTTGCTGGAGAACACACACACTGCCCCAAATCCAGAAGTGTCTAGGTGTGTTCCTGAAGTGCTGTTTTCAGAGGCGAGGTTGCAGACTTTTCATGGGTTGGCTTTAAATAAAGTCGGGGTGCCAGACTATAAACAGCTGCACCCTCCCTGCCACCAAGAAGGGGTCCAGCGAGAAATCCTTATCAAAACAGCAACCATTGGGGCTGTGGGTGGGTATGAAATAATCCCCGTCACGGGGATTCGAACTGCTGACCTTCTGATCGGCAAGCCCTAGGCTCTGTGGTTTAACCCAGAGCGCCACCTGCGTCCCTTAGAGGTAGGCTTGTTAGGATATTTCCGTTCCACCTTAAAAGGGAGCAGGCTGTGAGTCACAGAGTCTGCGTATTTCCTGTTCACAGGATGTTTATGTTTTCTGTTGCTTTCGTTTTCTCTCTCTGTGTCTGGAGACACTGACGCAGGCAGTCATGTCTTTCTTTGTTCTGATCAACGCAGAATAAAACTTGTAAATAATGCTCTCCTGAGTGCGACTTTTGCTGTGCATTATCTGCTGATAAAGAGTGTGCATGAGCTCTGGAATGTGGCAAGATATTTTCTAGAAACTCATGTCGCTAATAATAATAATAATAATAATAATAATAATAATAATAATAATAATATCTTTATTGTCATTGCCCCCTTCGGGGACAACGAAATTACTTGACTGCTCCATAAAAACACTAATTAATCAATACAGTATAACACAGCAAGGGAGATTAGATGACTTTCAAAGTCCGGGCTTCCCATTCAGGGCCGAGATCGCTCTGGAGAAGAAGCTGTTCTTAAGACGGCTCGTTCTTGTCTTCATCGTCCTGTATCTCCGTCCCGACGGCAAGAGCTCGAAGAGACAGTGACCAGGATGCGATGGATCTTTTACTATGTCCAGTGCCTTCCTATGGCACCTTGTGGCATAAATCTGCTCTAAGGTGGAGAGTGGGCAGCCAACAATGCTCTCTGCTGCCTTAACAACCCTGCACAACCCCATCCTGTCCTGGGTAGTACAGCTTCCGTACCACACACATAAGCCATAAGTGAGCTCGCTCTCAATGGCACAGTGATTGCTGATACTGCGTGCCTACGGGAGATCGATGGATCGTCCGGCAGACGGCTTGGGGCCATGATGGACTTTGTCTCCCTGGCAGTATCCCAACAAGGCTGTCCCTAAACCTGGAGGCTCCATTTAGACTTTCTGACCTTCCATGACTACAGTGGTACCTCGGGTTAAGAACTTAATTAGTTCCAGTGGTCCATTCTTAACTTGAAACTGTTCTTAACCTGAAGCACCACTTTAGCTAATGGGGCCTCCCGCTGCTGTTGCACTGCGATTTCTGTTCTCATCCTGAAGCAAAGTTCTTAACCCGAGGTACTATATCTGGGTTAGCGGGGTCTGTAACCTGAAGCATCTGTAACCCGGAGCGTCTGTAACCCAAGGTACCACTGTATGCCTAATCCCCTGTTTCCCCCCAAGCCATCTCAGTCTTCTGTCTTCCTCCCGGTCCTTTGCAGGATGCTGCCCTACGGCTGCCTCTCCATCGGGGACTGCGTGGGCCTCATCGAGGTGGTGAAGAGCTCCCACACCATCATGCAGATCCAGTGCAAGGGCGGCCTCAAGGGGGCGCTGCAGTTCAACAGCAACGCTCTGCACCACTGGCTGAAGGACAAGAACAAGGGAGAGGGGTCAGTTACTGTTATTTGCTCCATTCCTTCTGTTACCCGAAAAATCCGAGGGCTCCCTTGGACAAAAACAAAGACACCAACCAGGATAACTTGGAGCAAAACAGCAGCCTGTAGGCTTGGCCTTTATTGAATACTGTCGCAACAGGGTGTTCCCCTCACTTGCAGGAGAGAGGAAAGACACAGAAAGATGGTGTGCAAGACCTTATAAAAACTTTTGAAATTCCCATCCTCTAGGTCAAGCCCACCCCCAGAAACATCATGCATACATTACAGAAAGGAGGGGTTGAGGGAGGAGTTGTGGTGGTAACCTGAGTGTCCTGTCACCTGGCTGGTTCCTCCTTTCCCCCTGCCCATGAGTCACTTCCAGGAGACAAAGGGAGTTGGCAGTTTCCTGCCCCCAGAGGGAAGATCTGATCATTGTCCTTTGTTCCAGTCCGTGCTGAATCCACTCCCATATGCAAGTTCTTTGTGATCTTGATGGTCTTCTGTCTAGGACCATCAGGGTTGGCATAGCAACTGGGCAGGGCTCCGGTGGATGTGCTGGGATGGTGAAGGGATTATGGCTGGCAAGAACCAAGCCACCCCCCTTTGATAGTCCTTGTCATATGGAGTAAAAAAAAAACGGAACAGTGCAAATCCGATGTATGGTTGATTTTCTATGAATTTATAACAGAAGTGTAGCGTATGTAGTGTGTGAGTGTGTGTGAAGTTTGTACAAACTGAATGATGGGGGGGGGGTTTCCTGCTACACTTCCCTCCCCTCACCATGGGGTCCCAGGGTGGGTTGCAGCCATTTTTTAAGATGCAGCACTAAACTCAGTTTCAAGCAAACGACGGCCACTTTTTAAGTGGGTCCTAAAAATATGCGCATCTTGCATGATGAAGGCCTGGGCAAAATGGTGCGTCCTCAGCAGATGAGGAAAGCTGTCCAGCGAAGGTGCCAGGCGCCTCTCTGTGGGGAGGGAGTTCCACAGCCGAGGGCTCACCACAGAGAATGCCTGGCTGTAGCTGCGTGGCAGAGCACCTGCTTGGCATGCAGAAGGTGTGGGTTCAACCCCCAAGGGCATCTCCAGGGAGGACTGAGAGAGGCTCCCTTTCTGAAACTCTGGAGAGCCGCTGCTGCCAGTCAGGGTGGACAATATTGAGGTAGATGGACCCCAGTGATATACAGTGGTGCCCCGCAAGACGAATGCCTCGCAAGACGGAAAAACCGCTAGACGAAAGGGTTTTCCGTTTTGAAGTTGCTTCGCAGGACGAATTCCCCTATGGGCTTGCTTCGCAAGACGAAAATACCTTGCGAGTCTTGAGATTTTTTTCGCTTTTCCCCTTTATCTAATCTGCTAAGCCTTTAATAGCCTTTAATAGCCTTTTAGCAGCTAATCCCCTAAGCCTTTAAGCCTTTAATAGCCGCTAAACCGCTAATAGCGCTAATAGCGCTAATCCGTCAATGGGCTTGCTTCGCAAGACGAAAAAACCGCTAGACGAAGACTCTCGTGGAACGGATTAATTTCGTCTTGCGAGGCACCACTGTACCGTATTTTTTGCTCTACAGGACGCACTTTTTCCCCTACAAAAATGAAGGCGAAATGTGTGTGCGTCCTATGGAGCGAATGCAGGCTTTTGCTGAATCCTGGAGAGCGAGAGGGGTCAGTGCGCACCGACCCCTCTCGCTCTCCGGGCTTCAGGAAGCTATCCGCAAGCCTTCTGAGCGCTGCGGGAGTTCCCGCCGGGCTCCGAAGACTTGCAGATAACAGCCTGCAGCCCAGGGAACTCCGGGAGCTGCGCGCAACCTTGCCGCTGCTCCCAGACCTGCTCTGGAGGCTGGGGTCGGGGGAAGCTCGGGCTTCCCTCGCCCCAGCCCCGTGGCTAAAAATGAAGCCAAGACAGCGAGCGGGATGCATCCCGCTCGCTGTCTTGGCTTCTGCCGAAGCCGTGTGCAGCCTCTCCTGGCTGGAGAGGTTGTGCGTGGCTAAAGAGGAAGGCAAGACAGCCAGCGGGATGCATCCCGCTAGCTGTCTTGGCTTCTTTGCTCTTTGGGGCGGGGGGGGGAATAATATTTTTTTTCTTTATTTCCCCCCTAAAAACTAGGTGCGCCCTATGGTCTGGTGCACCCTATGGAGCGAAAAATATGGTAGTATAAATGGACCCCAATGGCACAGTATAAAGGCAGCTTCCTTCATTCTGGGCCAAAAATTATGAGGATGGTAGAACTACCAAGAGATTGAGAGGGTCTGCAGGGAAGGGGGGGGGGGGCTTTCAGCTCTTGGGGGCCTGAGTCACTTTGGGCTTTAAACGTGAGCACCAGGAATTGGGCCTAGAAGCAAACCAGCAACCAGCAGGGTGGCGGCAGTGGCCAGCTGTGGGTCAGGAAGAAGTGGGGGCTTTTGTGGATCTTGCTCCCCCTCCAGGAAGGGAAGGGAAGGACTGGGATATTTGATACAGGTCTCTCAATGGCGCAGGACAAGGTTGGCAACGTTCCAGGTGTGGGGAGAATTTGCTAAAAGGGCTTATGGGGTCTGCTGCTGCAGAGACTGGGGTGAGGTGATGAGGAAGAAGGGATGCCGTAGCTCATAGCTTCTGCATGCAGAAGGTTGTAGGTTCCATCCCTGGCATCTGGGAAGGATTCCCTGGAGAGCCACAGCTGCCAGTCAGGGTAGACAACACTGAACAAGACAGACCAATGGTTTTACTCGGTGTAAGGCGGCTTCCCATGCTGCTAATCCTGGTGTGTTCAGCAAGGCCCTAACGTTTCCCTCCTTCCTGGATCCAGCTATGACGCTGCCATTGACCTCTTCACGCGTTCCTGTGCCGGTTACTGCGTCGCCACCTTCATCCTGGGCATCGGGGACCGCCACAACAGCAACATCATGGTCAAGGACGATGGGCAGGTGAGTGGATTTCTGTACTCGCTGCGAGAAGCCAAGTTACAGGGAACCAGGCAGAAGGCCTTCTCGGTGGTGGCACCCCCCCTGCAGAACGCCCTCCCACCAGATGTCAAAGAGAAAAACAACTACCAGACTTTAAGAAGACATCTGAAGGCAGCCCTGTTCAGGGAATACTATTGTATTTGAATATTCTGTTGGAAGCCGCCCAGAGTGGCTGGGGAAACCCAGCCAGATGGGCAGGGTATTATTATTATTATTAATAATAATAATAATAATAATAATAATAATTACACAAATGTGCACACTTCCCTCCCACCCACGGCCTTCGTCCCAGGAAAACAAGCAACAGTGAAAAATTCCTCCCCTTCTTTCTTTCTTTCTTTCTTTCTTTCTTTCTTTCTTTCTTTCTTTCTTTCTCTCTCTCTCTCTCTCTCTCTCTCTCTCACCTTGCTGCCTTCCCCACCAGCTGTTCCACATTGACTTTGGCCATTTCCTGGACCACAAGAAGAAGAAGTTTGGCTACAAGCGGGAGCGAGTCCCCTTCGTCCTCACACAGGACTTCCTCATCGTCATCAGCAAAGGGGTGCAGGAGTGTACGAAGACCAAAGAGTTCGAGAGGTAAGAGATGGGCAGCCTTCAGCCACACGTCTCCTTTTTTTTTGGTTAAATCATTTTTTATTAATTTTCCAATAAAAAACATCCAATTAACATATCAAATCATAATCCAATTAAAATAAAGAACTGAAAAAGACCAAATTATCATCCAAATTAGAATTATTAATTTTTCGGGACTTCCCATAGTCTGGACCTTAAAGCATAGCTCCAAATCTCAACCCTGCCTCTCCTCGTTGTTTCCATATTTCCACATCTCGATTTTAACGCTTTAAAGTTCTCCGTCTCTGGCTCTCCGATTCTCAATCATGTCAGACATCATATATCCTTTCATCCATCGAGTACAGCTTTATTTGTAAGGACACACATCTCCTGCATAGCTGTCAACTTTCAGATTTGAAAGTTGACAATCAGCAGCCTCGAAAATAAGAGATCAGCAGCCTCACCTGTCCCGGGGACAGTCTACGGGATATCTAACAATCCGGGATAGCAGCGGAAAGCAGCGGGAAATGGCACTGGAATGAGGGAATTTCCCGCAAAAAAAGGGAAGGTTGACAGTTATGGTCTCCTGATAACTTGCTGGGAAACCCTTCACTTCCCCACCACCTGAAAACAACACAAACTAGGCATCCTTCGCCCACAGCATCCCTCAAAATCCAGGAATCTGGCTTCCCCACACTCCCTTCCCCCAAACCACAGAGACAAGGACTCCCTCCCCCAATTGTTTGTTGTTTAGTCGTGTCCGGCTCTTCGTGACCCCATGGACCAGAACATGCCAGGCACGCCTGTCTTCCTCCCTCAATTACACCCCCCTTTTCAAGAATGGCATCGCTTCTGCAGCGTTCAGCTGTGTACAGGAGCCACACATACACACACCATGAACTGGGACTTCACACTTCAAATGACACACCCACCCGCCTTTGCAGCAAACACTGGTTTTCCTCCCCAGTTTGCTCCTCCCTTCTACTTTCCCCCTTGCACGCTCATACACTTGATCTGAGAACGCAAGAGCCTGGCTGCTGGATCAGGCCCAAGGGACCCCATCCAGTCCAGCATCCTGTTCTTGCAGTGGCCAGCCAGATTCTCCAAAGGGAAGCCCGCATTCGGGACCTCACAGCCACAGGGACACTCTCCCTGCTTGTGATTCCTAGAGCTATCCTGCCTCTGACCGTGGCGGGAGAAGATAGCCATTGTGGTTAACAGCACAGATGAATGAATGAATTTTATTATTACGGTCACAGACCAGTTCCGGGTCACTTACAATATCAGGAAAATCATAAAACACAACAGGGATACATTGAATTGCAATTGGGTACAACAGAGACAATTCAGATATAGCGACAGTTTTATATATATGTATATATATATATTTATAAATATATATATATATACACAGTGGTACCTCGGGTTACATACGCTTAAGGTTACATACGCTTCAGGTTACAGACTCTGCTAACCCAGAAATAGTACCTTGGGTTAAGAACTTTGCTTCAGGATGAGAACAGAAATTGTGCTCTGGCGGCGCAGCAGAAGCAGGAGGCCCCATTAGCTAAAGTGGTGCTTCAGGTTAAGAACAGTTTCAGGTTAAGAACGGACCTCTGGAACGAATTAAGTACTTAACTCGAGGTACCACTGTGTGTGTGTTTGTGTGTGTGTGTGTGTGTGTGTGTGTGTATATATATTTATCACTAAAATATAACCTAAAATTATCATTTAAAACCTTAATCCTTTTGGTAGTACAGCTTGTTCCCTAAATTTTATGGAAGCACAGATCATCTCTTACGTTTTTTTAATACCTAGAAGGAATAGCTGTGAGTTCCAATCTACATTTGAGAGAACGTTCAAAGATCACATCTTTTAATTCCTAATGAATCTTGAACAACACACTAGAGCAGAGCTTTCCGAACTGTGCGTCGCGCCACGTTACGCAGTGTGCAGGTGTGTCTCATGAACGCTCCCTGCGCTCCCCCTGGGGCTGGAAAGGGGTTAGTTTAACCTCCGGTTTGCTAGTAAAACTGAATCACTGTGTCGCAAAATGACGCATGTCTAAAAAGTGTGTCACGAACATGAAGAGTTCGGAAAGCTCTGTGCCAGATGCACATGTGTACACATGAACTTCAGAAATATTCCAAAGCATTCTGCCTCCAACATTGGAGGCATCTTGCCTAGAGGCCATCAATAGCCGCCTCCTCCTCCATGAATTAGTCTAACCCTCTTTTAAAGCCATGTAAGTCGGTAACCGGGACGCGGGTGGCGCTGTGGGTTAAACCACAGAGCCTAGGACTTGCCGATCAGAAGGTCGGCGGTTCGAATCCCCGCAATGACGGGGTGAGCTCCTGTTGCTTGGTCCCTGCTCCTGCCCACCTAGCAGTTCGAAAGCACCTCAAAGTGCAAGTAGATAAATAGGTACCGCTCCGGCGGGAAGGTAAACGGCGTTTCCGTGTGCTGCTCTGGTTCGCCAGAAGTGGCTTAGTCCTGCTGGCCACATGACCCGGAAGCTGTACGCCGGCTCCCTCGGCCTGTAAAGCGAGATGAGCGTCACAACCCCAGAGTCGGCCACGACTGGACCTAATGGTCAGGGGTCCCTTTACCTTTAAGTCTGTAACCCTCGTTGCCTCCAGTGGCAGGGAGTTCCACAGTTGTGACGTCTTATCTGCCCTGAATCTTCCCACATGTCAAGGCCCTTCTCCCTCCCAGGTTCCAGGAGATGTGCTACAAGGCCTACCTGACCATCCGCCAGCACGCCAACCTGCTCATCAACCTCTTCTCCATGATGCTGGGCTCGGGGATGCCGGAGCTGCAGTCCTTTGACGACGTGGCCTACCTGCGCAAGACCCTGGCGCTGGACAAGTCGGAGCAGGAGGCGCTGGAGTACTTCACCAAGCAGATGAACGAGGCCCACCACGGCGGCTGGACCACCAAGATGGACTGGATCTTCCACACCATCCGCCACATGCCCCTCAGCGAGGCCGGCCACGACTGACAAGGACCCTCCGCCACCGGGGAGAGAGGAAACGCCGGCCCTCCAGAGCGGCAGGGAGAGGATCCGGGAGCGCCGACGGGGCTACCAAGGCAAGGGGGCGGGGAGCCCCGTGTGAACTCGGGCAACCGGGTTCCTGATCCCCTCTCGGGACCGGCAGGGAGAGGATCCAGGAGCGCTGGTGTGCCTTGCAGGACGCGAGGAAGGGAGGGGAGAGGGTCGCCCAGCCCCCTGCACGGGGGGTAAGGGGTCTTGAGGTTGAGAGAGGTTGGGGGGCAGGAAGTGGGGACCAGTTGCCTTCTGCAGGTGGTAGAGATGTAGGCATGGAAACGGACCCTTTTCCCTCCCGGAAGTGTGTATGCGTGTGTGTTTGCCCCACCCGTTCACCCAATTTGAAATTCTCTTCCCCACTTTTCACATCGGGGGCTAAAACAGGAGACGCCCTTCCGCTCTGCCCTCCAGGCAGGTTTATACTTGAATTGCCCCCACTGCCCTTCTCTCCCCCTCCTTGGCAGAAAAACGGGGAGAGGGAGGTGGAGAGGGGGGTGTGGTCAAGGGGAGGGGGTTTTACTGTGGGGGAAATGGGCAGAAAGTGGCAATACTTGAAAAAAAAATGTCCAGGGTTGGAAAGGAAACAAACAAAAATATGGTTATTTTCTCTCTTTTTTTTTTCAAATAAAATTTTGAAAAAGAGAGTATTGGTTGGAAAAGGAGAATAGCAGTAATTCCAACTTGGGTTACAAAGGCTTTGGGAATTGCCTTGTGTGAAGCAGTTCATTGGGTTAATTCTGTGCGGAGGAGGATGCAGTTCTTTCTGTCTGCCCCAAACCACCTGCCTGTCGATCTCACGTCATGACTCCCAAGTTAATCTGCAACTAATCCAGAATGCGGCAGCTAGACTGGGAGCGGCCACCAAGACCACATAACACCGGTCCTGAAAGACCTACATTGGCTCCCAGGACGTTTCTGAGCACAATTCAAAGTGTTGGTGCTGACCTTTAAAGCCCTAAATGGCCTCAAAGGCCCAGTAGACCTGAAGGAGCTTCTCCACCCCGGACACCTGGGTCCAGCTCCGACGGCCTTCTGGCGGTTCCCTCCCTTCAAGAAGTGAGGTTACAGGGAACTAGGCACAGGGCCTTTTTGGTGGTGGCGCCTGCCCTGTGGAACACCCTCCCAGCAGATGTCAAGGCAATAAGCAACTATTTTACTTTTAAAAGACAACGGAAGGCAGCCCTATTTAGGGATGTTCTTAATGTTTGATGCTGTATTGTTTTTAATATTTGGTCGGAAGCCACCCAGAGTGGCTGGGGAAACCCAGCCAGATGGACGGGGTATAAATAATAAATTATTATTATTATTACTATTATTGGGGGGGCAGGAAAACCACCTCTCTCCGCACCACAAATGATGTCCGGAGCATGTGCTGTCTGGGGCTGATGGGAGTTGTAGTCCAAAATGTCTGGAGGGCTCCTGGTCGGCAAATACTGTGTCAGCAGGATGGGCAGACCGAGAGCACGAATGTGTCGGCTTGTTTGTGCGTTTGAGAAGGAAGCACTGACCCTGCAAGGACAGCGGAGGAAAGGAGCTTGAAGAACTCTTTTTGAGCGCCATCTTCTAAAAGCGCAATCTGGAGAATTTTGCTCTCTCTTGCTGATGGTGTGGGTAAGTGGCAACAGAAAATGTATTTAGTGCCCAAGGAAAATGTGTTTCGTACTATTTCTCACCCACCCTGATGGCACTGCACAACTTTACACACGCTTTAGCAACATTCCCACCCCCTTGACTCCAGTTCCTGCCCCCTCTTGTGCTTCAGCCTTTGGGGGGGTCTCCAAAGAGACAGTCGCGCCATCTAGGGGCCCTGACACCCTCTCCTAGCCCACTTCCCCCAAAACCTCCTTGGTTGACTAGGCATCAGGGCTGCTAACTTAAACTCACCACACTTTGCTCTGTAACTATGAGCAGGTAGTATAAAATTTAGCGCTGAGCCCCCCAAAGCAGCCCATTAAATCTTCTCAGACACAGGAGCTCAACAGCCTGGTCCCCCCCCCCGGCAACAGGTATAGTGGGATAACTAGTCTCTAAATTCACAAATAGGCTGGAGCTGATGGGAGTTGTAGTCTTAAAATGCGGGTTTGCAAAGGCTGAACAAGAGTCTCGGCAAGATCAGGAAAAGCTCAGCTTTTTCTCATAGTGACAGAGGGCTGCTTATTTCTGGTGGGTGAGATTCTGGGATCCCTGGAGAAATGCAATGAGCTGCTGATGACACGGTATTTGTCAGGAATCGGTGGTTGAGGGACACCGAGATTCCTAAAAACTGGTCTTGGTATCTCAGAATAACGACCATAAAGGAACACTTGTCCCATTTTCAAACTCGCCTCTGATCCTGTTCCTGTCTGTCATCAAACAGGAATTCTTTAGTTGTGATTCCTGCAGTTGGACTAGATAAGCAATTCTACGATTGTACGACTCAATTCCATCCGTGTGTTTGTCCACTTGATGAGCTGGACAATAAAGTCGCTGGACAAAGAACCATGCAAACGTAACAAGAAATAATTTATAGTGATCTTTGCCACTGATAAATTAACAAGGCTTTGGTTCTTATTCATGAGGTAGGGCGGATTTTCATCGTATCGCATAGCAATAAACATTTATGGCAGCCTTCAGGAAACCCAGCGCTCTTAAGCAGACGTTTTGGACTACAACTCCCATCAGGCTCGGCATCGCACAGGCAGGGCTGATGGGAGTTGTAGTGCCAAACATCTGGCGGGCGCCAAGTTGGGAAAGGCTGACATAGTCATCAGTGCAACTGATAAATATTGAAGCGAGGGAGCTGGGAGTCAGCAAAGGGGCACTGAAGAAACTGGAATACGGGGAACAATTAAAACAGGTGCCAGGTAAAGGGTGAATGTGAAGCGCAGGATTTCGCTCTATTACATAGCAATAAATCAATTCAATTTATAGCAGACACTGCTGCTGATAAATTAGAAGGAGGAGAAGGGAGGGGAAAGGAGGCAATTAAGTCAGGGAAACACAACCACAGCCTGCTCTCCACTCGTGTGGCAGGATGTGGGCAATTTATAGTGAGCCTTTGCCACGGATAAATTCAGAACAGGCAAGGAGAAGATCAAGCTGTGATTCCTGCATTGCAGGAGGGGGTTGGATTAGATGACCCTCAGGGTCCCCCCAACTCTAATTCTATGATTCCAGCGGAGAGGAGAATAAAAGGAGGTAGAGCTGAAACAAATTTTGGCTGCGCATGACTAGAATCCGCTGGCCCAAATTAAAATGCGCTTTCTGCATAACTGAAGTGTGTCGCAACATTCCCAATTACGGATCCTGGTGGATTCGAGACAATTCTTCAGGGGTGGGGATTTCACGGCTCAGATTACATTTTTTCACTTTTTGGAAATGCATTCAAAAAGTTTGTTTCAGCTCCAGGGATGAGAGGGTCCCCCCCTTTTTTTACGTGTTTTGATGTTTAGAAATTGTTGTCGATGTTCCAGACGTCTCCGCTCAGGGCATTGGCCGCCCCCTGGAGCGTCCAAGTGACGAATGCCAGCTGGCGGCGGAAGAGGACTTCATTGAAGCTCTGGGGGGCCTCCCGCAAGAGGCTGACGTGCTCCAGCAGGGCCTTGACGGTATGGCCCCCCCGGCCGTGCAAGATGTGCCGGAAAGGGGTCTCCGTCACCGCCACGTACTGGGAGAGGAAGTAGAATTCCACCTGGGGCAGAGAGGGGGAGCCGTTAGTGGAGCAAAGATACCCAAAGTCCACAGCAGTCCCCAAAAAACTAGCAGAACCCCATCTGTACCAGGCAGGAGCTGGTGAATCGGGGAGGAAGGACAGAGGGCATGGAAGCATCCTCTGCAAAAGGCTGCTCCTTTAATTCCAGGTTAACTAGGTAAAGGTAAAGGGACCCCTGACCATTAGGTCCAGTCATGGCCGACTCAGGTTGCGGCGCTCATCTCGCTTTATTGGCCGAGGGAGCTGGCGTCCAGCTTCCGGGTCATGTGGCCAGCATGACTAAGCCGCTTCTGGCGAACCAGAGCTGCACACGGAAACGCCGTTTACCTTCCCGCCGGAGCGGTACCTACTTATCTACTTGCACTTTGACGTGCTTTCGAACTGCTAGGTTGGCAGGAGCTGGGACTGAGCAACGGGAGCTCACCCCGTCGCGGGGATTCGAACTGCCGACCTTCTGATCGGCAAGTCCTAGGCTCTGTGGTTTAACCCACAGCGCCACCCGCGTCCCTCTCCAGGTTAACTAATAACTAATAATAACTAATAACTAAAACTCTGCAATCCCACACAAGAGAGCTTCCTGCAAACCACTGGTGGCAAGAAAGAAAGGGAAGCTTTGGTGCATCAAGGGGGCAATTGTGCCAGGAATCATTTTCAGGCTGAGGGCCGCATTGCCTTCTGCACAAACTTCCAGGGGCCACAAGCTGCTGTCAGGCAGCGCCAGGGGCAGAACAGCAACTCGTACGGTTTCTACAGACATGCCATACAGGCGCTTCAAGAGCTCAGGGACACATCTTAGCCAGGCAGAAACACTCAAGGAGGGGCAAAAGCAAGGCTAGGGACAGGGAGTGGTGGCCCCGAGAGAGATCCGAGGGCCAGACAGCGAGACCTGGGTCCCTGGGCTTTCCCTTCCTTTCTCTAGGTTACTAATCATGGGCCATACACAAGGAATAAAGGGACCCGGGTGGCGCTGTGGGTTAAACCACAGAGCCTAGGACTTGCCAATCAGAAGGTCGGCGGTTTGAATCCCCGCGACGGGGTGAGCTCCCATTGTTCGGTCCCTGCTCCTGCCAACCTAGCAGTTCGAAAGCACGTCAAAGTGCAAGTAGATGAATAGGTACCGCTCCGGCGGGAAGGGAAACGGCGTTTCCGTGCGCTGCTCTGGTTTGCCAGAAGCGGCTTAGTCCTGCTGGCCACATGACCCGGAAGCTGTACGCTGGCTCCCTCGGCCAGTAAAGCGAGATGAGCGCCACAACCCCAGAGTCGGCCATGACTGGACCTAATGGTCAGGGGTCCCGTTACCTTTACTTCCTTTACACAGGGAATGTCCATGCTATCAGGGTGGGGAAATAGATTAGGACAACGGCTGCTACGCTAAGCCCCCTCGCCGTCTGCCCCACGCCTCGCCTCACCCGCATTATGCGGACGTTATACATGCGCAGGAGCCTCTCGTTCTGCTCCTCGGAGCTGTAGATGTCCTTGCGTAGCTTGTCCGCCGCGCGCATGTAATCGCCTCTGGCCGAGTACATCCATTGCAGGGTCAGCCCTCGGCTCTGGCGGAAGCAAGCGGGGAGGTTGAAGCCTTTGAAAAGGCGGGCCCTTTGTTTTTCCCGGGGAGGGGCGCAAGGCAGGCTTTACCTTCAGCAGCGCCGTGTATTCGTTGAAGCGAGCGATGTGCTCCAAGAGGACGTCCCCGTAGCACCAGTAGTCGAGGGGCAGGAGGTGGTCGTGCGTCAGCTTGATGAGCAAGTGGCCCACCACCTCCGCCACCGTCTTGGCCACGGCTGGCAGGCGCCCGTAGAGAGCCCGGTTGAGGTTGTCGTAAGTGTCCGCCATGGTGTTGAGGAACGGGTAGCGGCGGGAGTCCTGCGGGCAGAGAACCACATGGAGGTCGAGGGGTGTTGGCGAAGCTCCAGGAAGTGGAGAACTGGGGTAACGGCGGGGGGACGCTGCTGCGTTTGTGGGGGGGTGCATGTGTGTCCACAGCCTTTCTCAACCTGTGGGTCCCCAGATGTTGTTGAACTACAACTCCCATCACCCCTAGCGAGTGTCGGAACTCCGCTCAGCCAAGCCGATAGGGCCTCATCTTCCTCCGAGCCGAGCTTTGAAATCGCCTCCGACGTGTTTAATGACCTGAGCCTTTGATAAGGCCTCAAGCACATTCTATCCAGCAGGGTTCCCAGCACAGGGAAGAGACGAGAGGTTTGGGCTACATAGTAAAGAGTTTTATTTCTAAACTACGCAGAACAGAAAAGACACCCTCTCTCTATGAAAGCAGAGAGCAACTGAACAAAGGAAACAGGAAACCACTAACGTCACATCCCGTCTCCCTTTCCAGTGAGACTTGAAGGTCTCTGGAATGTAAACAGAGTCCTGCGACTCCACGCAGCTGCACAGTGATAAGAACAGAAACTAACAGCTAGCAAGGCCAGAGCTCAGGGATGATGGGAGTTGTAGTCCAACAACATCTGGGGACCCACAGGTTGAGAACCGCTGCTATAGGGGCATAAGAGGGTGGCGAGATTTCTCTTGCAAATGTGCACTCAGTGGCATTAAGGAATAAGAAGAACCATGTTCCATATCACCTCGCCTCCCTATTTTTAGAGATCCTTTTTATTCCGCAATCATGCCAACTTGTGTTCATTATGTTAATGGGGCAGTTAGACCACAACTCTTGTTTTCAATGCTGTTTGTAACTGTGGACATTTTGGGGGTTCGTTTCCAATCGGCATTTCCTCCTGAAATCCCGTAACTTTTCTGAAGATTCTTTTATCTGTCCCGAATCTTCCAACATTCAGATTCATTGGGTTTCCGTGAGTATGAAAAGGGATTACTGTAATGCTCGGCATTTCCTTCCACACCAAGGTGTTCCCTCCAAGTTCCCAAGCAGCCAATTGTTCCTCCCCACTAAGATGAACGCTGGACTGAGACAAAACGGGTTGGGGCTCTCACCTCGGCGAAGGAGAATTCCACAGCAGGGACCCCCCCAAAGGAGGTGAAGGCGAAGGCGCTGCTGTCCATGGGAAGGGGGCGGATTCTGACATAAAGGAGAGCATAATAATAAAGCTGTTAAAAGAGTAAATAAGAGTAGAAGGGAAATAAAGGGATACGGTATATTGTATGGCGATGTAGTACCCCTTTGTGCATTTGTTCCCATCCTGTTTTAAGGCAGCCATCTTTTTTTTGACAGCCACGTTGTTATTCGACTCTCAGCGTGGCTCATACAAAGTCAAAACTTGGTGGTAGGGTTGGGTGGGTTCGTTTATTCGGTATATGCTCAGAGGCACTAACTTTCTCTTTTAAAATAATCATTACTTGCAGCTTTCTAGATGCTAGACTGAAATATACTCCGAGTCGAGTGTGGATTTCATGCTCTTTATTCAGTTCATAGTGGTGAGGAGGAATGGAAGTTCCCCCAGAATGTCTGCTTTATATACATTGTTTACACAATGAGCCCCACATGATTGGCTAATTCTGGGATTCACCTGTAGGCCAATCAGGTTGCGGATTCACTTCCACCTGGAGCTGGATTGGGTGGTTCCTGTGGACCAATCAGACTGCTGCATTCTGAATCCTATTGTTCTAGGACCAATCAGACTGCTGCATTCTGGACCCTATTGTTCTACGACCAATCAGACGTCTGCATTCTGAATCCTATTGTTCTACGACCAATCAGACTGCTGCCTTTTGGATCCTATTCAACTCAGTACATAACATAGACCCAACCGTTGAGACAGATATCAGGGCTCAGCCCCGGCTCAGCTGAGAAGAACCTCAGAGGAGCAGCCGGAGGGGCAGACCCGGGTTCGAATTCCCCCTCTAGGCTATGAAGCTCACCGAGTGTGACCTAAGGGGCCAATCCCTCACCCTCAGCTTGACCTACCTTACAGGGTTTTTGTGAGGATTACATGACATAAGCCACCTTGAGCACCGTGGAGGAAAATGTGAGGTATCAATGCAATAAGTAAGTAAATAAATAAATAGCAAGAAGGGTTGGAAGGGGAAGTCAAAGACCAAGACTGTGAGCTCTTACACCTCTGTCTCCCAGCGCTGACCCTGTTCGGTCACCTGGCCGAAGATGCTTTGCCCACTGCGGCTGGGACTGTCCACCTGCAGAAGAGAGAGAAACAGACCAGGAGGCAAAGGGTCAACCCTGCCTCCCTCCGAACCTGTAACTTAGAAAACTACCGTATTTTTCGCTCCATAAGACGCACCTAGTTTTTAGAGGAAAACAAGGGGGGGGGGGGATATTCTGAACGAAACAGTGGATGTATGATTTTTGTGGTTCATGCTGTGGCCACAGACATGTGATCGGATGGTGAATTTGGGGTGACCCAGTGTAAAAATCCTGAGGATCCATGGGCTTTTACCTCCCCCCTCCCAGGCAGCCTCCTTTATCGCTAGCCTCCCTTATCTCCCTCCCGATCCCACCGATCAGCTGTTTCCTTTCAACACTCCCTTCCCTCTGGTTTGCCTTAGTGTCTTTTCCTTAGATGGAGCAGTTTTTTGCTCCTCCTTTTCTTCTAATTTCTCTCCTTATTGCTTTGGTCTTCCTGTTTCCCCCCCTTTGCAAGTTTGCTGCCTTTACCTCCCCCCTCCCAGGCAGCCTCCTTTATCTCTAGCGTCCCTTATCTCCCTCCCCGATCGCTTTCCAATCAGCTGCTTCCTTTCAACACTCACTTCCCTCTTTCTAAAAAAAGAGCATGATCTGCTTTTTTGCCCCTGGGCAATTTGGCTCCAGGGACCACGCATCCGCTCCGTAAGACGCACAGACACTTCCCCTTACTTTTTAGGAAGAAAAAAGTGCATCTTACGGAGTGAAAAATATGGTAGCTAAGAACGTAAGATAAGCCCTGCTGGATCAGGCCAACAGCTCAGCCAGCCCAGCATCCTGTTCTCACAGGGCCAGCCAGGTGCCCTTTATGGGAAGCCTGCAGACAGGATCCAAGCACAAGAGACCTCTTCTCTCTTGTGGTTTCCAGCAACTGGGATTCAGAAGCATCGCGTCCTTAAAGGCAGAGCACAGCACAGCCATTCTGGCTAGTAGCCATTGCTAGCCCTCTCCTCCTCCATGCATTTGCCCAATCCTCTTTCAAATCCTGTGGGAGGGAGTTCCACTGTCTAACTCTGTGCTGCATGCAGAAGGACTTCCTTTTTTAAAAATGCATCTTTATTAATTTAAAATAAATACATTTATGAGAAAACAGATGTACATACAAGTAAACAAACATACAATTAAACAAATAACAGAAAAATCAAACAAACCGCCACACTATAAGATGCAAGAAGATTAATATAATTATCATCATATATGCTCCTGATACTGAACACAATTATAAAACTTATAGAGAAGAAATTTAAAACTGACTTCCAATTAATCTCGCAGAAAGACTTCCTTTTACCTGCCCTGAACCTTCCAACGCTCAACTCCACTGGATGTTCACCATGTTACTTTATAAATCTTGAACCTAGGTGTCTAGGCTCCCTACCACCTTCCCATCCCAGGCACCCCATAACTCATCTGCCGTGCCCCCCTCCTCGTCTTGCCCCCCACCCTGGAGCCCCCTCCCTCCAGATCCAGCTGCTTCAGACCCCAGGGTCCTGGCAGGGTGGGGGGAGCTGGGCTTACCTGCTTAATGATGCTTTCGATGAGGCCGACAAGTGCCGGGCTGGTCTTGGCGAAGAATTTGTCGTCTCCTGGAGGGTGGGAGAGAAGACAGAGGCTGAGCACCGGCATCAAGACTCTCCTCCCCACATCTCTGCCCCGCTTATCTCCCCAGCCCCCTTCTCCTTTCTTCAAATGCCCCCTTGCAAAAGGCCAGATCCTCTCTGCTCCTTCGTAGCTCAGCAGCAGCTCCTGCCCAGGCTCAGTCCAAGGTTGGCGTCTCCAGGTAGCAAAGCCCTGCCTCAAACCCTGGAGAGTCGCTGCTGCCAGTCTGAGTAGGCATTACTGAGCTAGATGGGCCTCAGTCAGTGATCTCGTTTAGATGGACCTCAATGGTCTCGTTTAGAGAAAAGTCCCAAACGCTGCAATATTTCCTCACGAGGGACTTTTCCCATCCCCTTGACCAGGGGTCAGCAACCTTTTTCAGCCGTGGGCTGGTCCACCGCCCCTCAGACCACGTGGGGGGCCGGACTATATTTTGAAGGAAAAAATGAACAAATTCCTATGCCCCACAAATAACCCAGAGATGCATTTTAAATAAAAGTGCACATTCTACTCGTGTGAAAACACCAGGCAGGCCCCACAAATAACCCAGAGATGCATTTGAAATAAAAGCGCACATTCTACTCCTGTGAAAACACCAGGCAGGCCCCACAAATAACCCAGAGATGCATTTGAAATAAAAGCACACATTCTACTCATGTAAAAACACGCTGATTCCCGGACCGTCCGCAGGCCGGATTGAGAAGGCAATTGGGCCGGATCCATCCCCTGGGCCCTAGTTTGCCTACCCCGGCCCTTGACTGTTTTGGTTGCCCTTTTCTGAACTTCTCCCGACTCTGCAATATCCCTTTTAAGGTGAGGTGACCTGTACACAGTTATTCCAAACGCGCCATGGACTTGTATAATGGTGTTACGGATGTTGCTGGATTCCTTCCCATAACGCCCCCTCCTTTCCCCACTCACCCAGGACCACGTTGTCCAGGCTGATATAGGCAGCGGCCTTAAGGTGCAGCATCGTCAGATAGCCCTGGGAAAGAAAGGAGCAGGATTTAACAGAAGGTGGGCTGGGCTGGGAGGGACTTGTGAATAAGACCACTCAGCCGCAAGAGGGACAAGGCACTGGGGAGGGGGGGGTCGCCTTCCAACTCTATGATTCTGTGAAAAATGTCTTTGACACCTCCCTCTCCATGGAGGCGCAGATTGCAGCTACAACAAAGGCGGCATGTTTCCATCTCCGCCAAGCTAAGCAGTTGGCTCCTCACCTCTCTCGCCCTGACCTGGCCACTGTGATCCACGCGACGGTCACCTCCAAACCGGATTATTGTAACTCACTCTACGTGGGGCTGCCCTTGAGACTGACCCAGAAACTCCAGCGGGTGCAGAATGCCGCGGCGAGACTCCTTACGGGGTCCTTGCCACGGGATCACATTCACCCGGTGCTATACCAGCTGCACTGGCTCCCGGTGGGGTACAGGGTCGGGTTCAAGGTGCTGGTTTTAACTTTTAAAGCCCTATATGGCCTAGGACCCTCGTACGTACTGGACTGCCTTTCCTGGTATGTCCCACGGAGGACCTTACGGTCTTCAAACAAAAACATCTTGGAGGTCCCAGGCCACAGAGAAGTTAGGCTGGCCTAAACCAGAGCTAGAGCTTTTTCGGCTGTGGCCCCGACTTGGTGGAACGCTCTACCACAAGAGACCAGGGCCCTGCGGGACTTGACATCTTTCCGCAGGGCCTGCAAGACGGAGCTGTTCCAGCAAGCCTTTGGCCAAAGCACAGCCTGACTCCCTCCTTTGGCAATCTTCACAGAACTCTACCCAATGGTTGCCATCAATTTGATCTGAATTAATTTTATACTGAAATGATTTTAGAATGTTGTATTATTTTATTGTTGTTAGCCACCCTGAGCCCGGCTTCGGCTGGGGAGGGCGGGATATAAATAAAAAATTATTATTATTATTATTATTATTGCTTGCCACTCTTCCTTCTATGGCAGGAAGGGATCTTAGCTGGGACATTGGAGCCCTCCCCTAAACTGGGTTGGGAAGGGGAGATGGGGGTGGGGTGGGGTGGGGGACTTGTCTCACTTCCTTTCACGCTGCATTTCTAGCCAAAGGTCCGGGTTTTAAAGCTCCCATTCAAAGTGCTTTTTTTCTTTTTTTGTCACTTTCCCTGGGGAAAATGTGCATTTTACTGCTGGATTTGGAGCCTCGAAAGCACAGCACAAAATAAAGTCTGGCTGAACCCAGCTGAGAGATGTGCCCCCCTTCTCCAAACTCAAAAGGAAAAGCTTCCCAGAATTTTAAAAATGTGAATTCTTGGACCTTTATTCCAGCCACGTTCCATTGCAGTGTGCTATGTGCAAGATTTCTGAATAATAATAATAATTTTTTATTTATACCCTGCCCTTCCAGGTTCAGAAAACCGGGCTCAGGGCGGCTAGCAACAAATTTAAAACACTTAATTGATGCAACAAAAAACAGCATAAAATACAGTGTAAAACGTGAATAACAATAAATTCAGGATTCAAAAATCAATTTTGGGGGGAAATCCATCCAATTCCGCCCTCCAACCCCCGAAACCCCACCCCAGGTGCCTGCACCCCCTTTTCTGTTTAAAAGCCCCAGTTCATTCATGTGTCCTGCTCACCTCAAGCCACTCGGTGGAGCCCACGCTGCCGAAATCGCCAGCATCCCAACTGGCAAAGAGCAAACTTCTCCGGAGCTGGAATCCTAAAGTGGTTGAGGAAGAACAGGGATGGAGATTCACTTACTGTTTGTTTCATAAAGTCCATACGCCGCTTGATTGTAAAACAACCACAGCAACAACGCTCAAAGTGGGTTAAAACAATAAAGTTATCATTTATTTATGCGACCACGGCTGCGCGGGTGTTATTGGCCCAGAGATGGAAAGAAGATAAAGTCCTGACCAGAGAAGAAGGGCAGATTAAGTACCGTATTTTTCGTTCTATAAGACGCACCAGACCACAAGACGCACCTAGTTTTGGAGGAGGGAAACAAGAAAAAAATATATTCTGAATCTCAGAAGCCAGAACAGCAAGAGGGATCGCTGCGCACTGACAGCAGCGATCCCTCTTGCTGTTCTGGTTTCTGGGATAGCTGCGCAGCCTGCATTCGCCCCATAAGATGCACACACATTTCCCCTTACTTTTTAGGAGGGAAAAAGTGAGTCTTATAGAGCAAAAAATACGGTAGATGGATTATGCCGAAATGGCTAAAATGGCAGGAAGAATCACAAATCAGGAAGGCCAAAATGTTAATAAGGAATGGGGGAAATCTATAACTTATCTTAAAGACCATTGTAAACAGTTAAAATCGTTAGTAGGATTGGAATATCACTTGGAGTTTAGTGGTGAATTTTGGATACAATGGAGAGGTAAAAGATCTGGATTCTTCTAAAAGATGCAGGAGGAAATGATTAACAATAGGACCCACAAAGGGGAGGAGGGAAGGCCAAGAGATTCCTTGGAATCTTGTTTTTATGTTGTATGTTGGATACGTGAATGTAAAATTTTAATCTGAAAAACCAAATAAATAATTTTTAAAAACCACAATAGAATTATCGGTAAAAACAGGAAAGATAACTCTTGGAAACGTTCAAAAGATGAAAGCAGCAATAATAAATAATAATAATAAACTTTTATTTATATCCTGCCCTCCCCAGCCGAAGTCGGGCTCAGAGCGACTGACATAAAATATATAACATTAGTGTCAGGGAACTGCCATCAGTGCCGGGGGGAGAGAGCAAAATCCAGAGGGATTCCGGAGAGCGTCCCGGGATTGGGAGAGGCAGCCCATCTTCTGGGGAAGAGAATCAGCGTAGCACCAGTGGAGAAGGGGGGCAGATGGGGGAAGCGGCGAGGCGGTCCCATGACTCCTTGCCGGGGACCAGCGGGGAGAGTAGGGGCCCTCCGCTGCCCACGCCCTCCTTGCGCAGAAGGCTTTCGCGCAGAGAGAGTAGGAGGAGACTAGGCGTCAAAGAGCTTCTTTGCTGGAAGAAGTTTAAGAAACGCCCACTGACGGATTCTGCCAGCGATTGAGACAGCCACGGGTGAGTGGCTGTCCGGACAGAAAAGGTTCACTCAGGCAACCCAGCCGGGTGTTTGCACCGGCTTACGCATGAGCAACCCCTAGAACCATTACAATTAGTATAAAATCAAACAATAATTAAATTACCTCCTAAACACAGGTCAAAATCAAATTAAAATCTAATTAGATGGTTTTCCGCAGGGTTAGGGTTGGGAACAGTAAGTGCTCATCGGCCCAACTGTTTACGCTAATCTTATATGGGCCTGTGAGAAGGCTGGGAGGCCTCTTTCATATTAATTCTTATACAAAAAGAGAAGGGGAGTCAGGCTGAGCCCTGACCAAAGGCCTGGCAGAACAGCTCCGTCTTGCAGGCCCTGTGGAAAGATGTCAAATCCCGCAGGGCCCTGATCTCTTGTGGCAGAGCGTTCCACCAGCCGGGGCCAGGACTGAAAAGGCCCTGGCCCTGGTCAAGGCCAGCCTAATCTCTCTGAGGCCCGGGATCTCCAAAGTGTTATTATTTGTGGACCATAAGGTCCTCCGTGGGGCGTACCAGGAGATCAAATCACATATTTTGTTTTATTTTAATAAATTTTATTAGTATTTTCCACACAACAGCAACACGAAAGATATCTAAAAATAACAACACACAAAAATCAACATTCGAAAACTAAAGAAAGCAACAACAAAAACAAAAAACCCCAAATCCATATCTTACAAGTTAATATTAAAAACACTAAAACAACAACAAGACATTGACTCAAATCACATATTGACATCCTACATGTCTAGGTGGGCTTGTCTAAACAAAAATGTTTCTAGCAGGAGCCAAAAAGAACCCAGCGAAGGCGCTTGCCTGATTTCAATAGGCAGGGAGTTCCATAGACTCCTTCCTCAAAGCCATGTATCTTCTTTCACCCCTCAAGGCAGCCATCTTTTCCTACAGCCACATGGCTACTCCATGCACTTCTCATTACCGCTCCTCCCTCCTGCAGCCGTCCTACTCACCGTTTCTCACCATCGCTGTGAAAGTGCGGGCCAGCTCCAGCAGGAGGGCTGTGCCCACTCCGGAACGGGCGGCCCCCGGACCCAGGGAATCCCGCTGGGCCCCCACGATGACATAATGATCTAGCAAAACAAGGCATGTGAAATATACTCGGAGTCGAGGGTGGATTTCATGCTCTTTATTCAGTTCATAGTAGTGGGGAATGGAAGTTCCCCCAAAATATCTGCTTTATATACATTATTTACACAATGGGCCCCACGTGATTGGCTAATTCTGGGATTCTCCTGTAGGCCAATCAGGTTGCGGATTCACTTCCACCTGGAGCTGGATTGGGTGGCTCCTGCGGACCAATCAAAGTGCTGCATTGTTCTAGGACCAATCAGACTGCTGCATTCTGGATCCTATTCTTCTAGGACCAATCAGACTGCTGCATTCTGAATCCTATTCTTCTAGGACCAATCAGACTGCTGCCTATTGGATCCTATTCAACTCAGTACATAACAACATGGATGGATGTGAAAAGGAAAAGCTCCCTTCGCGTGAGATCCGCAGTTCACCCTCCCCAAATACCGTTTCCCCTTTCGGAAAACACGGGAGTTCTGAGCACCCTACGCCTTAACACCCATGCGCTCGACCCCCCACCACCCGCACAATTCTTGCCCGGGGAACCACATACCGGGTTCGAATCTACCCTCGATGCACCCGAAGATGTTGTTGATCATCACGGATTGCTTCTGGTTCTGAACTCCCAGCTGCAGCTGGAAGTCGGGGCCCCCGGGTCCGAGCCGGTATGGGACATCGGGAAGACGGCCCTTCCAGGTTTGCGGGGCAGTGGGGCCTGTCAGCTGCCTGCGAGGAGAACCCTTGTGAATCCACAGGCCGCCTGACCTCCCCCTGCTCATGCTGCGCCCTGCGGGACCCCAGGCTGATTCCGGAGACCATCACAGAATCAGGATTGTAGCGTTCGAAGGGACCCCCAGGGGCCATCCAGTCCAACCCGCTGCAATGCAGGAATCCCAGCTAAGGAATCTCTGGCAGATGGCCAGACTACCCCAGAAGGAGCATGACATGTCCCTCACCAGAGGTAGCGCCCGCTCCCCTAATGCCCCATATAAAAAGGTAAAGGGACCCCTGACCATTAGGTCCAGTCTGGGGTTGTGGCGCTCATCTCGCTTTATTGGCCGACGTACAGCTTCCGGGTCCTGTGGCCAGCATGGCTAAGCCGCTTCTGGCGAACCAGAGCAGTGCACGGAAACGCCGTTTACCTTCCCGCCGGAGCGGTACCTATTGATCTACTTGCACTTTGAGGTGCTTTCAAACTGCTAGGTTGGCAGGAGCAGGGACCGAGCAACGGGAGCTCACCCCGTCGCAGGGATTCGAAACGCCGACCTTCTGATCGGCAAGTCCTAGGCTCTGTGGTTTAACCCACAGCGCCACCCGCGTCCCTATAATGCCCCATACACTCCATGCCAAATATTGCTTTGTCCCCAACCCTTTACACCCACACTCCATTCCAACCTTCACCTAGGAAGGAAACATGGCATGTTCACAGCAAAAGCACTTGAGCTGGGGGCGGGGCAAATCTGGGGAAGGGGCGTGGCCTGGGTCTAGGGGCGTGGCCCGAGGGCCAGGTAGAGAGGCCCCAGAGGACTGCATTCACCCCCTCCCCAGCCATGTCCTCCAATTTGCTTCCCATCGCACCCCACCCCTCAAGGAACCCTCCGTCCAACTCACCTGAGCAGGCGGGCGGCCACGTTGGCGCTGACCGGGTGTGCGGGGATGGAGGGGAGTCCCGAGGACTGAATTGGAGGGAACTGGGTGTGGTTGAATGAAGGGAAGCCGGGGCTGTAGGGGTCTCCGGCCCCCATGTGGACCTGCGAGTGCGAGAGAAGGATTGGGAACACTGAAGGGGAGCCTTCACAATGAGGAGCAGTCTATCCCTAGTATCCTAGCTGCTGGGGAGCAGCGATGGGAGAGGGCTGCTGCTTTCGAAGGGCTGTTTTAGTTTTGCAAAACTGACCTGTAGAATCCGAAATCAGGAGGAAGCAAAATTCCAAAAAGATTGGAGTACATTTATGGAGTACAGTGGTGCCCCGCAAGACGAATGCCTCGCAAGACGGAAAACCCGCTAGACGAAAGGGTTTTCCGTTTTTGAGTTGCTTCGCAGGACGAATTTCCCTATGGGCTTGCTTCGCAAGACGAAAATGTCTTGCGAGTCTTGAGATTTTTTTTTCGCTTTCCCCCCCCTTTATCTAATCCGCTAAGCCTTTAATAGCCTTTAATAGCCTTTTAGCAGCTAATCCCCTAAGACTTTAAGCCTTTAATAGCCGCTAAACCGCTAATAGCGCTAATCCGTTAAGCCGCTAATAGGATTGCTTCGCAAGACGAAAAAACCGCTAGACGAAGACTCTCGCGGAACGGATTAATTTCGTCTTGCGAGGCACCACTGTATAGAAATAATGTAGAAATTTGAAGACTCTGGCAGGACTGAAATAAATCTTACGGTGTAGATAGGATGGGATACAATAAGAAACTGTGGGAAAGTAACAGACATAAGAAAACCTGTTGAAGGGAGGGAAGGAAGTCAATGCTCAGCAGAGTGTGTGGAAAGAATGTGGGTAAATGATTGTTGAATTTTATTGTATTTTGTTTGTTTGTATTAAATGAAACACCAATAAAAAGCATTTAAAAGAACAACAACAAAGGGCTGTTTTAGGGCTTCCTGGCTGGGAAAGATGGTCCAGAACCACAGGTAGGGTCTCTCTCTACATAAGCCCCCAACCCAGCTCCCTCTCTCTCTCTCTCTCTCTCTCTCTCTCTCTCTCTCTGTCCCAGTGAAGGCTGTACTCACATGCCCGTAAATGCTTGTGTTTGGGGACAGCCCCAGCTTGCGGGGGTCTTGTGGGACATCAGCGGGGTCCGGGTAGATGAGAACTCCCTTGGCTTGCGAAGCCTCCGCGTTGGCCACCTGGGACAAAGAGAAGCTGGGAGCTCCAGAACAATGGGCGCCTCTTTGATTTCTCACACAACAATCCCTCTCGACCATCGAAGAAAAGAGATGCCCACGCCCCCCAGACCACGTTGCGCTGATTCACCTCTCCCAAGCCCCCCCAACGGCGCCATCATTTCCTTTCCCTTCAAGGCAGCCATCTTTTTTGACAGCCGCGTTAATATTTAGGGAAACTGCACCTTCCATTGTATCCATCAGCGCTCAATACCTCCCCTTCCATCAGTTCCACAAAGGTCTATCCTACAAGCAGGAAGGTGTGCAGAGGAGGGCGACCAAGATGATCAAGGGTCTCGAAACCAAGCCTGATGAGGAACGGTTGAGGGAGTTGGGGATTCTTAGCCTGGAACAGAGGAGACTGAGAGATGATAGGATTGCCATCTTCAGGTATCTAAGGGGCTGTCCCACAGAATATGGAGCAAGCTTGCTTTCTGTTGCTCTGGAGCGCAGGGCCTGAACTAATGGATTCAAAAGGCAAGAGAGACGATTCCGGCTCAATATCGGGAACAGACTCTCTCAGAAGATGGTGGACTCCCCTTCATTGTTGTTGTTGAGTCGTTTAGTTGTGTCCGCCTCTTCGTGGCCCCCTGGGCCAGAGCACGCCAGGCCCTCCTGTCTTCCACTGCCTCCCGCAGTTTCGTCAAACTCATGCTGGTAGCATCAAGAACACTGTCCCACCATCTCGTCCTCCATCGTCCCCTTCTCCTTCTGCCCTCCATCTTTCCCAGCATCAGGGTCTTTTCCAGGGAGTCTTCTCTTCTCATGAGGAGGCCCAGGTCTTGGAGCCTCAGCTTCAGGATCTGTCCTTCCAGTGAGCACTCAGGGCTGATTTCCTTCAGAATGGAGAGGTTTGATCTTCTTGCAGTCCATGGAACTCTCAAGAGTCTCCTCCAGCACCAGAATTCAAAAGCATCCATTCTTCGGTGATCAGCCTTCTTGATGGTCCAGCTCTCACTTCCATACATCACAACTGGGAAAACCAGAGCTTTAACTATGCAGGCCTTCATTAGAGGTTTTTCAACCGAGGTCAGATGGCCATCTGTCAGGGATTCTTCAGCTGTGCATTCCAGTGGGTTCAATTAGATGGCCTTTTCCAACTCTACAATTCCATGATTATACTCCTCATGAATCCTGTCTCCCCATCCACCCTTCTTGCCCTTCAATCTGGAGGACCATCTGGTGTTTCCAGGTGGCCCCCCACCAAGGTTTCTGGGATCAGACTCCTGCCATCTTGGAATATTGGCCATGCTGCCTGCTTGGGCTGCGGGAACTGTAGTCCAAGCAGATCTGGAGGGCCGCAGATGATACTCCCTGCCCATGGCCTCAACCCTTTTGCAGAGGGTCACATTCAGGAGCCCAGCCTCACCTTCTCGGCATAGCTGATCTCCCCGATCCGGACGATGACGAGGTGGCCTTGGGGGTTCACTCCGTGCTGCTTCAGCGCCGCAAAGTCCTCCCGGCGCCCATAGTTGGCGAAGACCAGGCCCCCCTGCAGACAGACAGCGGGGTGGAAAGGAAAGGCTGGGGCACAGCTTGTCCAAAGGGCCATATCCTCCCCTATGAACCTGCCCTGAGATCTTCTGGGGAAGCCCTTCTCTCAGTCCTGCCACCCGCACAGACCCGCTTGGCGGGGGTAGGGCCTTCTCGGTGGTGGCTGCTGCCAGACAACTTTGGAACACCCTCCCTAGAGAAGCCAGATTGGTTCCCTCCTGGCTGGTGGGACACAGCCAAAGTTGTTCTCCACACAGCGCAGAGTAAAACTATGGAACGGTGTGAGAACAGGAGGCTGGGCTAGGTGGACTAGAGGGGCTATTGGTCTCATCCTGCAGGGCGTTTTCTACGTTCTTATGTTCTTAAATTGGTTGGAGGTCGCAACGTATAAATATTTTTTTAAAAACCCCAAATGTTTGTATTTTTTAACTTCCTTCCCTTTTAAGAGCAAGCATCTTTTTTGACAGGCGTATTGATATTCTGGGTTGCTGTTTGAAACAGAATTAAAACTATCCACCTGCCCTGTCTCCTTCATCTATCTCAGGCAGAGAAAAAGTGTTACCAACTGGGAAGACCAGTGTTGAACAGGGGTTAGAGCAGGGGTCTGCAAACTTTTTCAGCAGGGGGCCGGTCCACTGTCCCTCAGACCTTGTGGGGGGCCGGACTATATTTTTTTTTGTGGGGGGGAATGAACAAATTCCTATGCCTCACAAATAACCCAGAGATGCATTTTAAATAAAAGCACACATTCTACTCATGTAAAAACATGCTGATTCCCAGGCCGTCCACGGGCCGGATTTAGATGGAGTTTGGGCTGGATCCGGCCCCCGGGCCTTAGTTTGCCTACCCATGGGTTAGAGCGTCAGACTAGGACCTGGGAGAGACCAGGGTTCAAATCCCCTTGGATGAATCACTGCCTCTCAGCCTAACCTACCCTACACGGTTGTTGTGGGGATTAAATGAGGAAGGGGGAGATTATGTACACGCCACCTTGAGCCCATTGGAGGAAAAGGTGAGGTATAAATGCAATAAATAATAAAGAAATGATTGTACCGTGACGGTGCCGGAAGCGCTGTAGGGGCAGTAGACCTCTGGGTCTTCCAACGGCAGTTTCTCCACCACGACCCCATTTGTGTCCACCCACTGCAGGAAATTGGGGCGCAGACTGCGGGAGAAGGACAGAGGGTGCTGAAAGAGCTGCCCCTGCCAAACAACCCCGCCCCAGGGCCCTTCACTGACCGGTCAGGGCGCTGCAGCCCCACATAATGGCTGTCGGTCCAGCTGTGGTCCAGGCCGTAGGAGCCGAAGGCACTGAGGACGTGGCGGGAGAGGGCGTCCAGGCGAGGGGAGCCGGGCGGGTGCGGGGATTCGCTCATCATTCTGCGCAGAGAGAAGGGAGAGAAATGTTCCATAAGAGCAGAGCCAGTGGCCCATCAAGCCCAGAATCCTGTCTTGACAGTGGCCAGGCGTCTGTGGGAAACCCGCAATCAGGATTCGAACGCAAGACCGACACTCTCCCCTCCTGTGGTTTCCAGCAACTGGTAGTCAGGAGCGTTGCTGCCCCTGATATTCCTTGTTCTGCGCTGTGTGAACAAGGACTTTCTTTTATCTATCCGGAATCTCCCAACATTCAGCTTCAGGGGTTGTTCATGAGTTCTGGGGTTACGAGAGGAAGGAAAGAGTTTCTCTCTCTGCTTTCTCCCTGCCAGGCATTATGTTATACGTAAACTTCTATCGCCTCGCTTCCTACACGCCTTTTCCCTAAGCTAAAATGACTTTCAGAAGATGTCTGGAGGCAGCCCTGTATCTGGAGGTTTTGTAATGTTTGAAGTTTTACTGTATTTTATATGTGCTGTAATCTATCCAGAGTGGCTGGGGATGGGCAGGGTAAAATAATAATAATAATAATAATAATAATAATAATAATATTCCAAAATGGTGCAACCTGTCTTCACAGCAGGGTGATACCATCCCCTTGATCATTTGAGCTGCCCTTCTCCAAATCCTTAGGTAAAGGTAAAGGTAAAGGACCCCTAGACAGCCAAACTTGACTATGGCGTGTGACATTCATCTCTACTTTCAGGCAGTTTGTCTGCAGACAGATTTCCAGGTTATGTGGCCAGCATGACTAAACCGCTTCTGGTGCACGGAGGACTGTGATGGAAGCCAGAGCGCACAGAAACGCCATTTACCTTCCCGTCACAGTAGTACTTATTTATCTACTTGCACTTTGATGTGCTTTCGAACTGCTAGGTTGGCAGGAGCAGGGACCGAGCAACAGGAGCTCACCCCGTCGCGGGGATTCGAACCGCTGACCTTACAATCAACAAGCTCAAGAGGCTCGGGAACCCAGAGACAGGGACCTAGGCTGCGTCCAAACCATACATTTAAAGCACATGGCTTCCCCCAAAAGAATCCTGGGGACTGTAGTTTGTTAAGTTTGGAAGCAGGCTGGAAGCTGGCGACCCAGAGACCTGCCTGCTCTGTGCTGGACCCAGAGCTGCGACGAATGGAGAAGCGAGATCTTTGAGGGGGTTTCTTGCTGTGAGCCCCTCCACCCTATGCTCAGGTTGTATATATGTGTCAATAAAACAACATATCCCAAGGACACCATAGTTTCTGATGACTTTCGTTCCAAGGAAACCAAACCCTAGATAAGCGCTTGAAGGAATCCCCCCAGTCTCTCACAGCTCAGAGACTGAGGTGGCGTGTAACACTGTGTTATTCAGCTTGCTATATGGCACTGTGCTCCAAACCACTGAGCCTCTTGGGCTTGCCGATCAGAAGGTCGGCGGTTCGAATCCCTGCGACGGGGTGAGATCCTGTTGCTCTGTCCCAGCTCCTGCCAACCTAGCAGTTCGAAAGCACACCAGTGCAAGTAGATAAATAGATACCGCTGTGGCAGGAAGGCAAACAGCGTTTCCGTGCACTCTGTTTTCCATCACGGTGTCCCGTTGCGCCAGAAGCGGTTTAGTCCTGCTGGCCACATGACCCGGAAAGCTGTCTGTGGACAAACGCCGACTCCTTCGGCCTGAAAGCGAGATGTTCGCCGCAACCCCATAGTTGCCTTTGACTGTACTTAACCGTCCAGGGGTCCTTTACCTTTACCTTTACCTATGTTATAGCAGAAACAAATGTACAGTGGTACCTCGGGTTACAGACGCTTCAGGTCACAGATGCTTCAGGTTACAGACTCCGCTAACCCAGAAATAGTACTTGGGGTTAAGAACTTTATCTCAGAATGAGAACAGAAATCGTGCTAAAGTGGTACCTCAGGTTAAGAAAGCTAAAGTGGTACCTCAGGTTAAGAACGGTTTCAGGTTAAGAATGGACCTCCAAAACGAATTAAGTTCTTAACCCGAAGTACCACTGTAATTAATTGTGTGATTCACAATTAACTTCAAAGCATTTCAGTGGAAGGGAAACGTCAGAAACAGCCCAGAAAATAACTATCTATGTAACATCCACCACCAAGAACAAAAAAAGCGATAGCGGCTGTCACTTGTATTCGCCTGCATGGTTTCCGATCCTCTACTCAGGCAAACACGCAAATGGTGGTACAGTAATTCCTGCTCCTGTTTCTGATGGAAACTCCGTCGTCCCTGGAGTCCCGTGGCCCCACGACACCCCCATCAGTTTGTTCCACGTCCTTCCCACAATTCTGGGGTGAGGGGAAAGGACCTCACCTGATGGTCCCTTCAATCTTCTCCTCATTGAGGTACTTCTGGAACATCTCTCGCAAGTCAGCCCAGTAGAGCGGGGCTCCCCTCTGGCCGTCTTCCGCCTCGGGGGGGCTCTCGTCGTTCACCACGGCCAGGTAGTCTCCGCAGACCATGCAGGAAGACCCTCGGGACAAGACGTACCCCAGGAGGAAGGCTGAGGAAAGCAGAGGACAGAGGGGGGCAGTCAGGCTTTAAAGCAGAGGGTTAATAGGGTCACAGGGCAAAAGGCCAAATTTAAATCCAAATTTAAACCCAAATTTAAACCCGGAAGTTTCCCCATAGCCTAAAATGTAGGGATACCTGGAGGCCTTATTAGAAACTAGATGTGTTAGGACTCATCCACATGTACCTTTCTGTGTCCAAGCGCTCCCCCCCCCCCACTGCTTTCCCCAGGGAAACCCACTCTTTAACTCTGACTCGGAACAAACAGCAATTCGGGTTTTCTGTGAATTGCTGTTTGCGCCATTGAGCTGTAAAGAACAGGTTTCTGCAGAGAAAGTGGAAGGGGGGAAGCACTTGGATGGGGACCTGTGCCTATAAATTCAGAGCAAAGGTAAATGTGGTTGACCCCCAGATATGACTGGGGGTCATATCTTCAAAATGCACCCAAGCCAGCAGTGCTTCATGTGGCTGTAAGTTCCATAGGTTAACCATGCACCAAGCCTTCCTTCCCCTTGCCCTGACTTCTTCTTAAACCTGCTGGGTTTAAGTCGTATGAGAGAGCGAGAGAGCTCTTTCTCTAGGAATCCTGGATCAGGCCAAAGGGAACCAACCTAGTCGAGCACCCTGTTCTCACAGTGGCCGACCAGATGCCCCAGAGGAAAACCTGCAAGGAGGATATACGAATATGAGAAGAGACCTGTCCAATCAGGCCAGGACATGGGCTTCTTGGCTCAGAAAGGAACAGAATGCCTGTCTAATAGCTGAGTGCAAAGGGCTCAATGGCCAGGAGAGGAATCTCTGGGCGGGATTTGTACCTGGGTGGAGCTCAGGGCATGAAGGCCGCAATTGGGAGGAAGGCCACCTGGAGCCACTGCCAGGTAGAGTGGGATTTGTGGTGGGTGGGCAGAGCTACCCAGCCATGGGTGGGGTCTATGGAGGAGTCAGAGGCAGAGAGACCACTTGGACCTTGGGGGAGAAGGAGTTGCATAGCCTTCCTTCCTTCACTTCCCCACCCCACCCCTTAGGAAGGGTTGTGTAGCTCAGCTGGTAGAGCGGCTGCTTGGATCGCAGAAGGTCCCAGCTGATAGGAAGTCCTCCCTCTGATTTCTTCCAGAGGTGCTGCCAGTCAGTGTCTGGCTAGATGGCCCAGTGCAACAGTTCTCAACCTGTGGGTCCCCAGATGTTGTTGGACTACAACTCCCATCATCCCTGAGCTCTGGCCTTGCTAGCTAGGGGTGGTGGGAGTTGTAGTTCAACAACATCTGGGGACCCGCAGGTTGAGAAAGGCTGACCCAGTGGGTCTGATGGGCAGCACATGGTTAATCTGTGGAACTCCCTCCCACAGGAGGCAGTGGTGGCCAACGGCTAGAATAGCTCTCAAAGAGGATTAGACAAATTCACGGAGGAGGAGAGGACCATCAATGTCTCCTAGGCAGGATGGTTATGTTCTGCCTCCAGAGTTGGAGGCAGAGATACTTCTGAATAGGAGTTGCTGGAAACTGCAGGAGGGGAGAAGACTCTTGGCCTCTGTGGCTGCTGTGACAAAGGGATCCTGGACCAGATGGTCCATGGCCGGATACAGCAGGCTCTCCTTATGTTCTTATGATTCAGGATGCATACACACCATAAGGACATCTGTCAGGAGTGCGTGCAGGAGCCAGGCCCTGTGACCAATAGGACTTTGCAGGACTGGGGCCTTCCTAAGTTTGTTTTGAAGAGGCAAGGCGCGGCCACACAGGTGAGGCCGATAGGTAACTCACAGCACCTGGTGGCAAGAGCCGGGAAGGGATATAAAGTCAGTATTTGCCTTCGGCTCTTTGCCACAGCAACACGTTCCCTGCTTTGCTGCGTTTGGCTGCTCGCTTCCCGATCCTTGAACCTTGGCTTCTAGACTCCCTGCTTCTTGGTCCCCGGACCCCTGATTTCGTGACTCCCTGCTTCTTGGTCCTCGGACCCCTGATTTCGTGACTCCCTGCTTCTTGGTCCTCGGACCCCTGATTTCGTGACTCCCTGCTTCTTGATCCTCGGACCCCTGATTTCGTGACTCCCTGCTTCTTGATCCTCGGACCCCTGATTTCGCGACTCCCTGCTTCTTGATCCTCGGACCCCTGATTTCGTGACTCCCTGCTTCTTGATCCTCGGACCCCTGATTTTGTGACTCCCTGCTTCTTGATCCTCGGACCCCTGACTTCGTTACTCCTTGCTTCCTGACCCTCGGACTCTTGGCTTCCTGACTCCTGGCTTCTGGACCCCCGTTCCTGCACCCACCCCGCCATCTTGCCCCCGGTCCTGACGTCCCCAGCCAGGACTTCGATCGCCCGTGAACCGGACCATGACAACATCATAAGAGCCCTGACAGATCAGGCTAGTGGCCCACCAGATGGCCCCACAAGAAACCCACAAGCAGGACTCGAACACAAGAGCAACTCTTATCTCTTACGGTTTCCAGCAACCGTTCAATCACATGGCTTCCCCCAAAGAATCCTGGGAACTGTAGTTTGTTAACGGTGCTGGGAACTGTACCCCTGTCTGGGGTAAAATTACAGTATTCCGGCTTCTTTGTGGAGACATGTGCTTGAAATGTATAAGACAGCTTCCTTGTTGACTCTTCAGTGAAATACAGTGGTACCTCGGGTTAAGAACTTAATTTGTTCCAGAGGTCCGTTCTTAATCTGAAACTGTTCTTAACCTGAAGCACCACTTTAGCTAATGGGGCCTCCTGCTGCTGCCGCACGATTTCTGTTCTCATCCTGAAGCAAAGTTCTTAACCCAAGGTACTATTTCCGGGTTAGCGAAGTCTGTAACCTGAAGTGTCTGTAACCCGAGGTACAACTGCATGAGAAGCTTGGCTCCCAGTGAGATGCACCTGCCCTTTTGTGTAATGCACCCATGGATGGTACTATATAATTCCTAATACAGTGGTACCTCAGGTTAGATACGCTTCAAGTTAAATATGCTTCAGGTTACAGACTCTGCTAACCCAGAAATAGTGCTTCAGGTTAAGAACTTTGCTTCAGGATGAGAACAGAAATCGTGCTCCAGCGGCAGCAGCAGGCCCCATTAGCTAAAGTGGTGCTTCAGGTTAAGAACAGTTTCAGGTGAAGAACAGAACTCCGGAACGAATTAAGTACTTAACACAAGGTACCACTGTATTTTACTATTTATATTTATATAACAAATCCTTATAATCACAATAGGGACACAGAGCCTCTGCACAAGGGAAGCCCAGGCAGAGCTCAGCCCCGTGGCCAGATCTGGGGTCCAGACCCGATTCCTCTCACCCACAATGAAGACCAGGAGTCCCACGAGAACGAGGCAGACCAGGGCTTTCCAGCGATCCTTCCACGGGCACTGCGCCGTGTCTCCTGCCTTCTCGCCGCCCCGGGTGGTCCCGGGCCCCTCAGCCTCCACCACCTTCATCTGCAGTCCTTCGGGGTCTCCGTCGCCCTCGGGCATCTTGCGGTAGATGGAGTAGGATCGCCGAGGCAGCTTCTTGTTCCTCTGGCAAGGGGGTGAGGAGGAAGGAAATGGGGAGTCGGTAAAGAGGGGGAGTCAGGACGGAGGCCACGGCCCACAGACCCAGCCGGGTGGCCAATATTGCAGCCTTACCGCGTCCCGCAGCCGGGATCTCCAAAAATCCATGCCGTCCGGTTTTGCGCGGTTCCCGCCCTGCGGAGAGGCAGATGTTTGGCAGCTTCCAAGAACGTGAAACGAGATTTCCGCCAACCCCACCCGCCGCTTATCAGGATTATCACTGCCACCATGCCATCCATCCCTCCCTCCCAGAAACATAGGGGGAAATGGGTGGTTTTGCAGACGTGACTAACCGATGGGTCCTTATTATCGGGGACGCTGCCTCGGGGACTCTTATCAGGCCCTGCACAGGCAGGCAGCCCACCCACCTGTCGTGCACGTACCACTTCCTCCGTTCTCAGGGCCAGGGTCAAATTTGCTTATTTCATTAGAACAGAAAGGCTGCAAGCATCATGTAAAGAAAAAGAAGGTACCTTCTATCATATGTGGTGGACCTGTTCCAAGGTAAAGGACTTCTGGGAAAAAAATTATAATGAATTAAAAAAAATGATGAAATATACATTTATTAAGAAACCAGAGGCCTTTCTCCTTGGGATAGTAGGTACTGAATTGCCCAAAAAAGATGTGAAAGAACTTTTGTATGCCACAAGAGCTGCTAGGATTTTACTAGCCAGAAAATGGAAAACACAAGAATTACCAACAGTAGAAGAATGGCAGATGAAAATGATGGAATTTATGGAGCTGGCTGATCTCACCGGGAGAATCTGCGATCAGAAAGAAGAGGACTACCAAGAAGGCTGGAAGAAATTCAAAGAATATTTGAACAAATATTCTAATATTAAAGATATGTAACCACTTGAAAGAGCCAATCAGGCCTAGGATTAAATTAGACTTAAATATATAAATAAGAAAATGTACTATAAGAAAGGTAAAGAAATTGGAATACGACTGTAATATTGTTTTAGGAAATAATGATATTGGAAACTGCTACATTCAAATTAAGAGGAAATTCAGATGGAGGAGATTAGAGGAAGTCAAGCAAAATGTTTATGAAAATGGATTTTAATTAACTAACTGAGTTTCTTTTTTCCTGTTTATGTATTTTAAGTCTGTTATTTTTTCTTCTTCTTTTTCACCTTTTTATTGTGTTGTTGTATATTTCTTTTTTCTTTTGTTATGTCTATTGATGAAAATTAATAAATATTATTGGCAAAAAGAAAGAAAGGAAGGAAGGCTGCGCGCATCAGCCCCTGCGGTGTGGGAATCCCTTGCAGGCAACCGCAGGGCCTGGAGACAGGCAGCCGGGTTATGCAGCCACAGCAGTGACCGGAGGAGGAATGACCGCTGGGAGGAGCAAAGGGAGAAGAGACAGCATGGGGCACCCGCAGCAGCGCAGCTGGACGCCTTCATCTGCCCCGGCTGCAACAAGACATGTCTCTCCACAGCAGGCACTACAGTGGTACCTCAGGTTAAGTACTTAATTCGTTCCGGAGGTCTGTTCTTAACCTGAAACTGTTCTTAACCTGAAGCACCACTTTAGCTAATGGGGCCTCCTGCTGCCGCCGCGCCGCTGGAGCACGATTTCTGTTCTCATCCTGGAGCAAAGTTCTTAACCTGAAGCACTATTTCTGGGTTAGCGGAGCCTGTAACCTGAAGCGAATGTAACCTGAAGCGTATGTAACCTGAGGTACCACTGTATAACCTTTCAGCAGTTTGACTTCACCCCCAAAGGAGCGCTTCTCCATTGTCTGCGGAGACAGGCGGATGCCAGCAACAATCACACACTCACACACATATACATCTATTGGTGAGGGATGCTCCATCCAGTTCAATATCGCCTACACTGACTGGCAGGGTTTCAGGCAGGGGGTCCCCCCCCCAAGTCCTACCTAGAGATACCATTGGAAATTGAACATGGGACCTTATGCATGCAAGGCTCTGTTGCTGAGCAGTGGTTCTTTCCTTAAAATAAAGCCAAGACGCTAGTCCTCACTGAACAATGGGAGCTGCCTTTGGTCCACCGACCTCAATATTGTCTACACTGAGTGGCAGCAGCGATACCTCTACGTATCAGACAGGTTATCCCTCCCAGTCCTACCTGGAGATGCCGTCGGGTTGAACCTGAAACCTTCTGCATGCCAAGCGGGTGCTCTCTGCTGCTGAACTACAGCCATATTCTCCACTATGGCTGCTTCTGTCTGCCCTTACCCGCCCCCCCTTTTTGTATTTTTTTGTATTATATTTGTATCCCACTTTTTCCTCCAAGGATCTCAAGGTGGTATACAGCGCTCTCTGCCACCCACACCCATCTAAACCGCCAAATTACAGAGTCACCCAGAGTGTTCCATGGCTGAGTGGGAGGATTTGAACCCTGGTCTCTTTGGTCCCAGTCCAGTGCTGTAGCCACTACACCAGCCTGCCTCTCTCTTTGGGGCAGCCCCTGGCTTCTCTGGGGCAAAGATTCTCCTCCAATGAACGCCCTCTTTCTTTCTCTCTCTCACACACACAAAGAGCAGGTTAAATATTAGCTCCTGTGTGTGGTGAGTCAGGAATTCAGCTCTGTAGCCTCAAATACATATATTCACGCCTCCTCCCAGCAAAACTCAAGATCTTGGCCTTGCCAATTGAACCCCCTTAAATCTGATTTCCTTTTGTGGGAACCCAGGAATCCTGCTATTTAAGGCACCTTTAACCAGCTGGGACCTGCTCCCAATCAGGCAGGAAGTTCAGGAGTTCTGGATCTGAGTCCCCCAGAAATTACCCCTTATTTGGGGGGAGAGGGGTCCCCAGTTTTTACACCATGACCTTCCAGACTCTGCCTCTGGTGTTTCCTGGACTTTGAGGCTCTCTCCTTGCGGGGCCTGCCCACCTCCGGCATCCTGATTTCACAAAGGTGGAGGTAAAAGTTATCTTATGAATCAAAAATAAAAACCCTTCCTTTGCCGGCTCAAAGTGGCTTTTATTTCCCCTCGCACCAGGATCCCCACACCCCAACACAAAAGTGGCAAAGGCCATTCCAGAAGTTGTAGGTGAAGTCTGGCCAGACAGGAATTAGGTCAGCTGGTGGGACCTGTAGCCTAAAACAGCAAGAGACAGTGTGGTGCAGTGGTTAGACCATGGGTAGGCAAACTAAGGCCCGGGGGCTGGATATGGCCCAATCGCCTTCTCAATCTGGCCTGCGGACGGTCCGAGAATCAGTATGTTTTTACATGAGTAGAATGTGTGCTTTTATTTAAAATGCATCTCTGGGTTATTTGCGGGGCGTAGGAATTCGTTTATTTCCCCCAAAAAAGTATAGTCCGACCCCCCACAAGGTCTGAGGGACAGTGGACTGGCCCCCTGCTGAAAAAGTTTGCTGACCCCTGGGTTAGACTTCTGAACTAGGACCAGGGAAAGATCAGGGTTCAAATCCCCCCACAGCCACAAAACACACTGAGAGACCTTGGGGGCCAGTCACCGTCTCACCCAGCCTAGCCTACTTCATGGGACCGTTGTGAGGATTAAATGGTGAGGAGGACCTTGAGCTCCTTGGAGGAAAAGGTGGGGTACAAACAGATAGACATATGGGGGCACCAGGTTGGGGAAGGCGAGAGAGATTGGGTGTGAGGCATGCCCAACGGTGCCCCAAAGCGATCCCCTGACGTGGCACTCACTTGAGATCCCAACCTTTAACCCTAAGCCCTTCCCCTGAAACAAGCAAACCAGAGAACCCTGCCACCGCTCACTCCCTTCCATGCCCAAAGCCCCTTCCCCTCCATCCATCCGTCACCCCGAAGACTCACTGATTCTTGGGGAGGCCTGGCTTTGTGGAGATGTTTTGGGTCTCCTGTCGAACTCAGCGCCTGCCCCTCTTTTGCTCCCTTGCTGAGTTGTTGCTCCTCCTCCCTCCGTCCCTCGTGGGCCAAACGCCCAGGTCACTCAACCCAGCCCGAGAGGAGAGTCTGACCTCCCTCTAGCCAGGGGTGGGGTGGAGGCAGGGAGGGTGTGCTTGTGTACATGTGCCGGGGTGTGCCCACGCAGCCCCACCTCCCTGACCCCCCTCCCCACTTTTGCCTTTTGCAGATTTGCCTTTAATAATAATAATAATTTTCCCAGTAGTGATGTATGGAAGTGAGAGCTGGACCATCAAGAAGGCTGATCGCCGAAGAATGGATGCTTTTGAATTCTGGTGCTGGAGGAGACTCTGGAGAGTCCCATGGACTGCAAGAAGATCCAACCTCTCCATTCTGAAGGAAATCAGCCCTGAGTGCTCACTGGAAGGACAGATCCTGAAGCTGAGGCTCCAATACTTTGGCCACCTCATGAAAAGAGAAGACTCCCTGGAAAAGACCCTGATGTTGGGAAAGATGGAGGGCACAAGGAGAAGGGGACGACAGAGGACGAGATGGTGGGACAGTGTTCTCGAAACTACCAGCATGAGTGTGACCAAACTGCGGGAGGCAGTGGAAGACAGGAGTGCCTGGCGTGCTCTGGTCCAGGGGGCCACGAAGAGGCGGACACGACTAAACGACTAAACAACAACAACAACAAAATAATAATAACGATAATAATAATAATAAATTTTATTTATACCCTGCCCTCCCAGGCCTGGGTGGCTAATACCAATAAAATCACAGTAAAAACATAATAGGGGAAGGGGGGGGGAACCCAAATTAAAATACAGGTTAAAATGCAATTTAAAATGCAGCCTCATTTTAAAAGTAGCCGATAGATCAAGACCATAAGGGGAGGGAAACATAAGGGTCAGACCGAGTCCAAACCAAAGGCCAAGCGGAACAGCTCCGTCTTGCAAGCCCTGCGGAAAGATGTCAAGTCCTAGTCTCTTGGGACAGAGCGTTCCACCAAGTCGGGGCCAGTGCTGAAAAGGCCCTGGCCCTAGTTGAGACCAATCTAACCACCTTGCGACTTGGGACCTGCAAAATGTTGTCATTTGTGGACCTTAAGGTCCTCCGTGGGGCGTACCAGGAGAGGCAGTCCCGTAGGTACGTGGGTCCTAGGCCGTGGGTCCTTTATTAACGTTTAATGACACGAATGAAGGCCGCGTTAAGAAGCAAGCGACTAAATCAAATATTGGCATGTCGGAACCGCGTCGCACAGCTAATGATGCTGATGAGTGTTGGGCGGATAAAAGAAAGTCCCTCTTCACGCAGATCACAGTGTTAACCTGTGGAACTCGCTCCTGCAGGAGGCAGTGATGACCACCAAGTTGGCTGGCTTCAGAGGAGGACTGGACATATTCCTAGAGGGAAAAAAGGCTTTCGATGGCTGCTAGCCACAAGGGCTCTACTCTGACCTCCAGAGCTGAAGGCAACAAGGCTTCTGAATACCCATTGCTGGAAACAACAGGGAGAGTTGTTCTTTTGCTCAGATCCTGCTTGCGGCTTTCCCATAATGGGCACCTGGCTGGAAACTGTGAGAACAGGATTCAGGCTTAGGCGGGCCATTGGCCTGATCCAGCCAGGCTCTTATCTTTAAAGATACAAGATGCATTCCTAGCATGAGTGTGTGAGCGAGGGATCTGAACAAGAATAGCAAAACTGGTTGTGCGACGTTTTTGAAAAGACAATGTTTTATAGCTGTGGCTCTGGAAAGGGTTTCTATGGAACCAGTCGTAGGCTTGGTGGGGATCCAAAAGGACCATCTGGTCCAAACCCCTGCAATTCAGGGATGAGTGATACTTTCATGTGTTGACCACACTGAGCCAGATTATGGGCCGCTGGTCTGAGTCGGTATAAAGCAACTTCCTAGGCTCCAAAGTGAAAAGGATCTAGTGAAAGTCCAAGTGAGAAGGATCTAGAAGTCTTAGTAGAGCAGAAGCTTAACGTGAGTCTGCAGTGTGATGCAGCAGCAAAAAAGGCAAATACTATTCTCGGCTGCATCCACAGAAGTCTAGTGTCCATGTCATAAAGGTAAAGGGTAAAGGGACCCCTGACCATTAGGTCCAGTTGTGGCCGACTCTGGGGTTGCGGCGCTCATCTCGCTTTATTGGCCGAGGGAGCCGGTGTACAGCTTCCGGGTCATGTGGCCAGCAGGACTAAGCCGCTTCTGGCGAACCAGAGCAGCGCACGGAAACGCCGTTCACCTTCCCGCCGGAGCGATACCTATTTATCTACTTGCACTTTGACGTGCTTTTGAACTGCTAGGTTGGCAGGAGCTGGGACCGAGCAACGGGAGCTCACCCCGTCGTGGGATTCAAACCGCCGACCTTCTGATCGGCAAGTCCTAGGCTCTGTGGTTTAACCCACAGCGCCACCCGCATCCCGTCCATGTCATAGTATCACTCTATTCTGCCTTGGTCAGACCACACCTGGAGTGCTGTGTCCAGTTCTGGGCCACACAATTTAAGACGGATATTTACAAGCTGGAGTGTGGGCAGAGGAGGGTGACAAAGATGACCAAGGGTCTGGAAACCAAGCTGTATGAAGAATGGTTGAGGGAACTGGTTATGTTTAGCCTGGTAAAAAGGAGACTGGGAGGAGATATGTTAGCATCTTCAAATATATATAAAGGGCTGTCCCGTGGAAGATGGAGCAAGCTAGTTTTCTTCTTTTCCCCTCCCACCAGGGAAGAAGGGGTGAGTGAAGTTCAACACAGGGAATCATATCAATATTATCCAACGGCTGAACTGGGAATCAAAAGCTGCCACTGGGGGAGGGGAAGGGGCCCACTCTGAATCAGACCTGGTGGGTGCGGAGTCCAGGGGACCCCAGAATAAGGTTACTAGATTTTTTTCAGTGAATCCGGGGACACTTTTCAACTTCAGTAAGAATGATAGGATTTTGTCAGGGGACTGATTTGTAAATCCGGGGACTGTCCCCGGAAACGGGGACGTCTGGTAGCCTTAGCCCAGAAGCCAGCCCCCACCATTCCCTTCCCAGGGGTGGGAGACCACCAGTGCCTCCTATTCTCCAACAGGCAACATTGCAGGGAGGCTGCCAACAGGGTGCAGATCCAGCCTCCAAGGAGCACACAGCAGCGCATGATACATTCCTTGGAGGCGGCATCTATAGCCCTTGTGGATCCTGCCGCCCAAGCAAGCATCTCTCGCCTTGCCTCATGGGTGGGCCGGCCCTGTTCCAACTCTACAATTCTATGGCTTTGTGAATTCAGAGTAAATGCAGCCGATTTTGGAAAGAGCAGAATCTTGTAAGCGGAGAAGGCGAGAGTTGGATGGTGATTAGGTTTGGGGTGTTATGACTCTGTTCCTATTTTCACCATTGTTGTGTTGCAGAATAGGCAGGTAAGGGGTGGGGGGTTCCCAGCCCAGTGGCCTCCAAACTACACCTGCTGTCAGTCCCAAGACAACATGCCCATGCTGGCTGGGACTGATGTGATTTGTAGTCCAAAACATCTTGAGATCACTAGGTTTGGATTTGCTGTAGTAAGGACTTTGCAATGTGCATTTATGTTAATTCCTCATCTGCCCTGAAGGGGGCAGAGCAGCACCCGGCTAAGACAACCGTCTTCATTCAAGGCACATCAGCACACCTTAATGCTTTCTAAGAAACTATAAGGGAAGGAGGCCAGATTGTGCAGGGCAAAAGGGAAGAGGGAGGCAGGAGGTGTGAATGGCTGTGTGTCAATTGGAACTTTTCCTGTGGTTTATTACTGTAGATCATGGCACGAGTAAATAATACTACGACAAGAGACCCTCCATTATTAACTTTCTCAAGGAACCAATATACGCTTCTCTCTAAGGACAGGTATACGTCATTTCTTGGCTGGCTCTTAATGTGGGTTCTGTGGCAAAATTCTCACACTCGCTTTCTGCAGGGTTTTGAGAATGGTTGGGGATTCTTCCACTCTTTAGATCAAGGTGTGTGTGTGTGGTAGGATTCGCTGCCTGCTCAAACTGTAATTTTGCTGCCCGAAGTAGCATTTATATATTCTGTCACTTTCGTTTCACATAATAAACCAAGCTTTCTTTATTCCTTCTCTGTGAGAACGTCTTGTGGGTGTAAGGTTAAGGGTCAACGTGTGTCCAAAATGGTAACACACGTGGTAACTCTGGCCCAAGTTCCCAAACCATACACTCGTGTGTATGAATTCACGTGAGTGCTGGGCACGCTTGTGGGATCAGACACATACTTGTGACACCCTCCTGCCATGCTATCGCAGAAGGGTAACACGCGTCACTGTGGCTCAGTTTCATTGGCCCCTCTGGAAACATGGCAGGTCCCCGGGGAGCTCTTGGGTGTGAGACGTTTTGCCAAAATCCCTGTTCCCATAACACCTCTTCCCAACCCCAAGATCATAAGAAGAGGCTGCTGGATCAGACCAGTGGTCCATCTGGGCCTGTGTCCTGGTCTCACAGTGGCTGACCAGATGCCCCAGTAGGAAACCAGAGGCCACCAGATTGGGGAAATCTGATTTAGGGCATATTTATGATTTTATGTATATGTTTCATACAGTTTATATGCTTTCTTGATTATAAAAACAAACAAACAAATTCAGGAGCAGTTTTCAAGAAGAATACTCTCACGTATATTCACGCGTTTACATATACAGTGGTACCTCAGGTTACATACGCTTCAGGTTACAGACTCCGCTAACCTAGAAATAGTGCTTCAGGTTAAGAACTTTACTTCAGGATGAGAACAGAAATTGTGCTCCAGTGGCGCGGCGGCAGCGGGAGGCCCCATTAGCTAAAGTGGTGCTTCAGGTTAAGAACAGTTTCAGGTTAAGTACGGACCTCTGGAACGAATTAAGTACTTAACACGAGGTACCATTGTATTCACATATTCACGTATGGTGGTTAAAAGGTTCCTTTGTTTGCGCCTGACCTAGAAAGTGGTGGGTGCAGAACAGGAAAGATGAACTCGCCTAGGAAGAAGGCTGCAGCGCTTGGGGCTTTTTAACTGAGAGGAAAAGA